AATGGCATCGCTTGGCAGCTGATCCTGGGATGGACTAGATGACCCTAGGGTTACCTTCCAACTCTACAATTCTCTTATTCTAAGTGTTATCGCATACTCTCCAGTGCATTTCCCCATTGCTTTCCCTTTTGGCAAAACTCAGATCTGGGGGGGGGGGGGGGCGGGAACAGAAAGCACAAGTCCTCCCATCATATTTCTTTGTGCAACCTGAATTTGCCATTATGTGATTGAATTCACCCAAAAGAGCAAGGGTCTGGAAGGGCTCTGGTTCTCCTAGACACCTTTTTTCAGAAGGGATCACTTGAAGTGGAAACATGAGAGGAGGGGTGCTTAACCCTTTCTGCCCATCTATTTACCACTGAGATTCTTCCCCCACCCCCACAATGTCCAGGAGAGAGCATCTCGCAGATACCATCCACTCAAGTGCATTCTGCACAATGTTGGAATCGGGCCTTTCATGTAGCAGTACCTACCCTTTGGAACTCCCTCCCACTGTGTATCAGACGGGGTGCCTTCCCTATTGTCTTTTTGGTACCTGCTAAAGACATTCCTCTTCCAACAAGCCTTCTCAAATCTTTATCCCAGTTGGTATCTGTCATGGATTTTAATTGATTTTATACATGTGCTGTTGTTGGATTAAAACTGTTTTCATATTTGTTTGTTTGTTTGTTATTTAAGCTTGTTTTTATATATGTAGGTTTTTTTAAAAATTACTTTACATAGGTAGCTGTTTTATATGTAATATTTCATTGCACATTGCTTCAGGAAACCTCATTGGAAGCGATTGATTGATTGATTGATTGATTGATAACAACTCAGATGTATTTGTACACCTTTTGATAAACTGGTGCAGTCCCAATGTTTTGGATTACAACTCCTATCATGTACGCATGACTGGGGGCTGATGGGAACTGTAGTCCAAAACATCTGGAGGGCACTATGTTGGAGAAGACTGTTCTTGTATATGACTCAATGTATAGCTCACAGGGTAGAGGTGATGACTGGCCCCAGGCCTGAGTCACCATTTTTGAGCTCGATCCTCCCTCCCTCTGAGCCACTCTTTTCCACCTGGCTCTGGTCAGTGGGCTATTGGCAGCCTGGTAAAAAAACAAAGTTGGTCCCTGCAATCCTGAAATCCATTTACCTCTGTCATAGAGGAATCTGCAACACAGTGTTGCAGTGTGAAGTATTCGGCCATGCCCTCTTCCAGGATATGCCATTCCATTCCTTCTCCTTCTATTATTTTCAGTCTGCCCACCACACCAACAGTCAGTATTCCAAGACAGCTCAGCATGCTCAATCTTCATTGGACTGTTTTGTCTGTTTTCCTCTCACTTAGGATTTATTCCACTTCTGCAAACTATGGGGCTCCTCCAAGGCTGATGATATACTTCATTTTTTACGTGTCATTTTCAATATGTGAACTGAGATCATTATCATTATACATCGCCTGTCCTGTTAGGGCCTATTTTTTCTGCCACAAGGAAGTGGCTGGTTTGTGTTTGTAAAGTGAGTCCCCAAAGTCCAATCTCTTAATCTTCCAAGAGTCTGTCCTGCAACATTTGCTCCCAGAACAAAGTCTGAGGATTCCAAATTCACCTTTTCCTCCCATGAGCAAAAATGGCTAGAGAATGGGTGAACTTAACAATTTCTGACAATTTCTCATTTTCCCAGCCCTCCATTCTCCACAATTCAACATCCGTTTGCATTTTGTTCCAGCACTCACAATATCTCACCATTATAGTGCAAACTTCTGCTGGTGTACACGCTTCTCCAAGCAATCTTCCCTAATATAATGCACTTTAGTATGTTATTTCCACTAAGATATATGTGTTTTAATGTATACCTTACTTAGCATATTCATTTTTGTACACATTACTTGTCTGGAGAGCCGCGTTGCAAAATTCAGAGAAGTGCAGATTTCTGAGGACGACTGAGTTTTTCTTCATATATTGTACAATTGGTTCGTGTTTGTAAAGTGAGTGCGAAACCCTGCCTTGGAATCCTCTTTCTCGATTCCATCTTGCTCTTGTAACATTTGCACACCCACCCACCCACCCTCCCGGCTCATTCCCTTGCGTCAGCCTCTGTGTGTGCCTGTTCCTTTCTCTCCACTGCATCTGAAAACGGCACCACCTGTTGCGGCTGTCCGCACCGTGTTACATTCAGATGCTCAGCTTAGTTTCCCCTGTTAATAAAAACAGGCTTGGGAATGAGGGTATATCTGTGGGAAAGTTGCAGTGTGTGGGAAGACAGTGGGGAGCCCTGGGGAGAGGAGAGAAGGGGGTGGGGTGGGGTGGGAGGGAAGGAGGGAAGTTGTGTGTGTGTGTGTGTGTGTGTGTGTGAGCACGCATGGAGGGGGTGGAAGCCGGGCTTTGCTAGCTGCTCTTCCCCTTCATTTAGGAGACAATGTGCCCACCCACAACTGGGCCAAACATAAGAGAAGGCACAACAATGAGTCAATTAGGGGAAAGGGGCATTTTTTCCCCCAAAGGGGGGAGGGGTAGAGATTCTGCCACATCATAACTGTCTCTTTTCTTCCTTGCAACCAGCCCCTCCTTGGGCTCCCTCTCCCACCAACTGCAGAGATCCCCTCCCCACCCCCACCCCACCATAGCTGTCAACTTTTCCCTTTTCTTGCGAGGAATCCTATTCGGAATAAGGGAATTTCCCTTTAAAAAAAGGGAAATTCGACAGCTATGCACCCCACCCCCAGCACTCTCCCTTTTTGCTAGAGTGGGAGTCACAGATTCATTTACAATTCACAGATACATAGGCAACGAAAGGGTCTTCATCAGGGCAAGCTCATCGCCTCTGACCCCTTACCAAAAACCCAAATCAGTCACATCTCTCTCTTGGGCTTTGCCCATCGTTTCTGAAGGTGGTGTGGCATCGTTGCCCATGATGTACATATTGCATAAAAATGCTACAGCAAGAGATAGAGAATCCTAGGCCCTAGGCCCAAATGTAGCCACCCCATGACTCTTTGTCTGGCCTCAAGGACTCTTCTCCAGGCTACAACTGTTCAGAGCCTGCTTTTGCCTGGCATGAATGCCTCCTTCAACCCTTATACAGTCATACCTCGGTTTACAGACGCTTCAGGTTGCGTTTTTTCGGGTTATGCACCGCCAAAACCCGGAAGTACCGGAATGGGTTACCTCTGGGTTTCGGCAGCCGCGCATGCGCAAAAGCGCTAAATCTCGCTGTGCGCATGCACAGAAGCGCTGAATTGCAACCGTGCATGCGCAGACACGCCACTGAGGGCTGCGAACACTGTGGGTTGCAAACGTGCATCCTGCACAGATCACATTCGCAACCCGAGCGTCCACTGTAATGCTTATTGCTTGCCTGGAGGGAAGATAGAGAGGGGTGTGTTTGTGAACATGTGTAGAAACCAGCCTCCTTTAGAAAGGTGAGATACATTAGCTTCTCCACCCACTTTTATCTCTGGCCCTGCCCCTCACTGGCATGTGGCCCTAGAAGGCTGTCCAGAAGGGAATGTGGCCCTCAGGCTGAAAACACTTATCCACCCATGCACTAGAGGCAGTTCCCCCCCCAACCTTATTAACGTCAGCGGGTAATCTGTTGGGGGAGCACATGCTGACTGTGGGTGGAGAAAGTGTAAACGATGGGTGAAATGGGTGGCCCCCCCGCAGTCTCTCTTTCTGGCACCCACTTTTTCTCACTCTCTTCCTCCCTGATCAGTGAGCTTTTAGAAGAAAGAAACTGAATGGTCTTGCCCAAGTCTGAACTGATCACTCTCAGAGGGCTTTTGAAATTAAGCCAATGGGCACATAAAATTAGGCTGAGCGTCACTGGCTGCCGCTCCTGTGTTGCATGAACCTTCAACACCATCTATACAGTGTGTTGTGTTGAGCCACAAGGAATTAACTGTGCCTTGTGTACTTAAGGACAACACAATTGCTCCTCCTCACTCCCCTAACTTGAGACAAATCCTATTTCAGATCCAGATTAAGGTTCACAAACTAGATTTGGTGTCAATTGTGTGAATGCAATTAACCACACATTTTCTCTTCCCCTCCCTGCCCGCCATTATGTAAATGGCAGCAGTGGGTGGCAAAGGGAAGTTTAACTCTTCCTCGGCCGACTCCAAATCTGACAAAAGTCACCTCTCTGAGACTGCTATATTTTCATTTCATGTGGAAACCTCACCCTGGTGCTAATTAATGCTGTGTCTGATGGGACTCTTACCCAGGCAGACAGCAGGATTTCTCTCAGATTCAGAGACAGGGTAAGGAGGCCGGATTGTCCTCAAGAAGACAGGTCACTGCTGTTAATCCACTTTGCCAGAATGTAACACAGTTTACCTTCATTTAGGAGGCAGGCCGTAGCTCAGCGGTAAAATGTCCACTCTAAATGCAGAAAGTCCTAGGTTCAATCCACAGCATCTCCAGGTAGGGCTGGGAATGTTACCTGTCTGAAGCCCTGGACAGCTGCTGCCAGTCAGGGTAGACAATACTGAACTGGGTGGACTAATGGTCTGACTCTATAGAAGGCAGCTTCCTATGTCCTGCCCTGTCCGCTCAATCAGATGGAGAAGCAAGGGCTTGGGACAACAACAATAGCTCACAGTTATTTGTTAAAAGGATCAGGAGGCAGATCTGTGGAAAAAATTGCTGTACAGTGGTACCTCGGGTTACGTACTTAATTCATTCCGGAGGTACATTCTTAACCTGAAACTGTTCTTAACCTGAAGCACCACTTTAGCTAATGGGGCCTCCCGCTGCCGCCGCGCCACCAGAGCACGATTTCTGTTCTCATCCTGAAGCAAAATTCTTAACCTGAGGTACTATTTCTGGGTTAGCGGAGTCTGTAACCTGAAGCGTATGTAACCCGAGGTACCACTGTATAAGGTAGACATAGGAACATGGGAGCTGCCATTTATATGGTCAGTCCATGGGCCTCTCTCGCTCAGTATTTTTGACACTGACTGGTCAGCCACTCTAAATACTTCAGACTGGGATCTCTTTTAACCCAACTGGGAGATCCGGGGAACTGAACCTGGGACCTTCTGCATGCAAAGCAGATGCTCCACCACTGAGCTACAGTCCTTTTGGCATCCCGTTGGTCTATCTAGCTTAATGTTGTTGACAATGACTGGCAGCAGCTGTCCAGGATTTCAGACAGCGTTCTCTCCCAATCCTACCTGGAGATAAAAACTAAAAATGAATGATCCCCCCCCCCCCACTCTCTGTGTGTGTATAGGAGGGAAGTTACATCAGCATTGGTCCAAAGCATCCTTGGCAAGGAGCAAGGTCTGTGGTCTCGTGAGCCAGAATCACCACCAGCCTGCAAAGTGCTTTCCTCCGGGCAGAGAAAGTGACATTATTTTTCCAAGGCTTTCGTCCCCATTTTCGGAATCTGTTTTGAATAAAAGAGCAAAGCTAGTCAGCCAGTCTAGAGTTTTACAATGGAAAGCTCTGGTGGAGGGGGCGGGTTTTTTCTTCTTCTTCTCCCTCTCCCTACATGCTTTAAAGTCAAGCCAATTTCCTTTGGAGGCATTGGGTGAGAGGGGGAAGGGAGAGGGTTGTGAGGTTTTGAGGCGGGGGGGGGGGAGAAGGCAACTTTCAAATAAAAATAATTAAAAAAGCAGAGGAGCAGCAGCAGCAGCAGCAGCTGAGGAATGTTAATGCCGTGCAGCTTTCAGTTCCACAGCCCCATTCCCATTCACCACGCCAGCAGTTTCCCAGCGGATTTGCTTGTAAGCTCCGCATTCCTCAGCAGACCAAAGACATGAAGCCCTCCACAGCAAGGATTGGATCAGTGCTCTGTGCATGTGTGTGTGTGTGTGTGTGTGTGTGTGTGGAACCCACACACATCCTCAGCAACAAGCTCTGTCCCCTCTTTTTCTTCTGTTTTACAGATGCTTTATATAGTTTGGTTGCGTCATTTTATAGTGGGGGAGGGTGTTAAGTGAGATTTTGTTTTTGTTCAATGAGATTGATTGTGAAAACTACCTTGAGAGCATGAGCTGAAAAATTGTTTAGACATGCATTTGTTTGTTTGCTTGTTTCCCACCCTTCACCCTAATGCCCCAGACTGAGTTGCGGCATTAATAGAACAATAACGAACAACTCGCAACCATAAAAATAAGACGGGTCCTAAAAACACACACTGCATCATCATACATACATCACCGTCTTTGCCAGTTTTTTTATTGTACATATTTATTAATTTCTGTAAAGAGACAAATGAACAACACAGATCAATAAGCAAAGCTGGTCCGTCAACAGAGTGCAAGATCAAGATCATACAAAATTATTATCAAGGGAAAGAAAACAGCTTATGAAACAATTTTAGGAAAAGAAAAGCAAGGGATAATGTTGTTAACCAAGTTCAGTTATTCATAAATCACTGTGCATTTGAGGTGGAAAATTCCATGAAGCGATATCTTATTTCTCCAAATTTGTCTGCCCCTCCTCCGTGATGCTCTCATCTTCTGTGTGCATCATCAGCATTAATTAATTAAATTTATATTTTGCCTTCCTTCCAATGAAGACAATGTGTGAAAAGGCAGACTGGGAACACATTGCCACAAATTGGACTGCTAATAGGAAATATTTATTTCAGTTTCTCATTTTTCCACTCTTCAGTTCAGTTCTCCACATTTTCACATCAGTTTGATTTTTTAAAATAAAATCATGACAATTTATCACCATTTTAATGTGAATTTCACCTAATATACTCATTTTTGTGTGTGCCCAATACTCACATTTTTCAAAGCAGTTTCCCCTAATGATTTTTTAATCTTACTTTCAACCATCATCATCATCTTTGTACACATTACTTGGCTGGAGAGCTGCATTGCAAAATTCAAAGAAGTGCAACTGTGTTTTCTTTAAAATATGGATGTGTTTCAGATAGAATGCTGTAGCACTCAGGTCCTGCTTGCGGGCTTCCCATACTCCCCTGTTTGGCCACAGTAGGGTTGAGAGCTGGGCTACACGGGGCTTTGGCCTGATCCAGCAGCCAGACTACCACCACGGTGAGAACAGGATGCTAAACTAGATGGGCCAACGGCCAGATCCAGCAGAGCTCTTCTTATATTCCTAAGACTCATTCGCAAGCTACTCACCATGATGGCTGTGCTCTCCCTCCACTGTTGGGGGCAAGGCACCTCAGAGACTGCTGTTGAGCAGTCTTCCCACTGGGTCATCTAGTTGGACCTGTGAGAAAAGGTTGCTAGATTAGAGGGATGTTTGGCATTATGCAGCAGCCAGGCTCGTCTTCTGTATCAAGGTGAAGTTTTGCTCCCGCACTCCAGAAAATCGAGAGGTGTGCATTTGCAACTAACTTTTACAAGTACAGTGGTACCTCGGGTTACATACGCTTCAGGTTACAGACTCCGCAAACCCAGAAACTTTGCTTCAGGATGAGAACAGAAATCGTGCTCCAGCAGCGTGGCGGCAGCAGGAGGCCCTTTAGCTAAACTAGTGCTTCAGGTTAAGAGCAGTTTCAGGTTAAGAACGGACCTCCGAAATGAATTAAGTACTTAACCCGAGGTACCACTGTAGATGAAAGGAGCTATGTATATGCTCCAACATCCAGAAACCAATGACGACGGGAAAAGTCTGTATAGAAGTGACACACTACAGTGTACTATTGGCCTTTATCCCTGTCTGTGACCACCCCCACCCGGCTTTCCCGGACCCCAATGTTTATTTGGGCAGTAGAGGTCTAGGGAGCTGTTGGTTTAAGGAGGCGGAGGAGGGCTGGTTTCACACTGGGGCGATCTGTTTAATGGGCTGTCAGATGATGGATGTTTCCCTCCCTCTGAAGTTATCTGTCCAGCAGGATCACATTTCCCTCCTGAGCTGGACGTACGACGCCAAAAGCCACGAGTCGGGTGGAGGCCATTATTTATACAAACTTTCCTTCCCCCTGGTTTTTCACCCCTCTCAGAGACTTGTGTCTAATCTTCCCTCTTGCCCCCCCTTCTTTCTGCGAGACATGTTCTAAAACACAGCAGTATTAAAGTCCAGCATTGCCTGGGCTTCAAGGGCAATGAAGTGACTGCCAGGAGAAAAGTCCAACCAGTTTGGGCAGCAGAAAGATCCTGGGTGACTATCTGTCTTGGTGGGGAAGCTGGCAAAAGTGTGCTGCACAAGGGTAAGGCTGCGTATTAGGGTGCTGTTAGAACTGCAGAGTCATAGAACTGAGGCCATGTCCACACCATACATTTTAAGTGCTTTTTATACCACTTTAAGAGTCATGACTTCCCCTTAAAAATCCTGGAAACTCTGGTTTGTTAAGGGTGTAGAGAGTAGTTAAGGGACACATGAGTCTTTATATACGCGACAGGCTAAGAGAGTGATGTCTTTCACCTGAGGTTGACACAAATACAAAATCCACCTCTGCACAGGACCTTGCTATAGTGGCAATCCAAGACTGCAGCTCAATAAAGGCATTTCTTAGGGAAACTGGTGAGAGTTTGTTCAGATAACCATCTCTATAACACTCCATTATTAGGAGTGCATACCAAGAAGAAGAAGAAGAGTTTGGATTTGATATCCCGCCTTTCACTCCCTTTAAGGAGTCTCAAAGCGGCTAACATTCTCCTTTCCCTTCCTCCCCCACAACAAACACTCTGTGAGGTGAGTGGGGCTGAGAGACTTCAAAGAAGTGTGACTGGCCCAAGGTCACCCAGCAGCTGCAGGTGGAGGAGCGGAGACGCGAACCCGGTTCCCCAGATTACGAGTCTACCGCTCTTAACCACTACACCACACTGGCTCTACCAAGGGGATGTTTTGGTGTTTCTAATTACAGTGGTACCTCGGGTTACATGCGCTTCAGGTTACATACGCTTCAGGTTACAGACTCCGCTAACCCAGAAATAGTGCTTCAGGTTAAGAACTTTGCTTCAGGATGAGAACAGAAATTGTGCTCCGGCAGCATGGCGGCAGCGGGAGGTCCCATTAGCTAAAGTGGTGCTTCAAGTTAAGAACAGTTTCAGGTTAAGAACGGACCTCCGGAACGAATTAAGTACTTAACCCGAGGTACCACTGTAGTTGGAAGTCCCTTTTGCATTCTGTCCAGGAGAGCCAATCCCTTAGATGACACTTATTCAAGGTTAATGCAGAGCTCAGGTCTAGGAAATAATAATAGTCTAAAACATCTTGACAAGCTTCTTTCTAGAGTTGGTTATTATCCAATTCCATATAGCACAGTGCAAGAAAATGCTCAACCGGCATAGTAGCAATTCTTTTAATATACTGTTACAGTTCTTGGGTAACAGAGCTTGGGGGGCAAGGGCACCCATAACTACTAGAGTTAGGGAATTAATACATGGTATAATTTAGATAACGTTTGGAATATTGAAGGGAAGATGCCAGACGTTTACAGTATGTACTGAACACCTCCAAGAGATTTTTGAGGTCAAATCAGGAAAGAGAGATGAGCACTAAATCATCTGTATACATCAAGATTGAGGTGTTTTCAGACTCTGGACTCATTGGTCTTATGTCCCACTCCCTCCCTTTAGATCAAGAGTGAGGAACCTGTGACCCTCCATATGTTGTTGCTCCCATCATTCCCCACCATTGCTAGTTATTTATTTTTATGTCATTTTTATTTTTATGTTATGCCACCTTATGTCATGCATGACCCAACTTTTATTCTCACAATGACCCCATGAAGTAGGTTAGTCTGTAAGCTGGTCACTGGCAGTAAGTTTCCTGAATGAGAGAGCATTTGAACCCCGCCCCCCCCCACCACAAAGCTCCTAGAGGGGGCCACTCCTTCTCAGCCTGAAGGCTGTTGCAGCAGTCCAACACTATCTTGAGGGGCCCAGGATCCCCATATTTGCTTTAAATGGTAACCTGTGAAACTTCACTTACTTCAAAAGGGGTTGAGCTAGCCTTGTGCAGGGTGGGGTGGGGGTGTTCCCTTCTGCTCATGCTGCTGAGTTCTTAGCCTTCTGCCATGAAAGTCCTGCCATGATGGAAGTATTATACACACATATTAAAGGTGTGATAGAACCCTGCCCTGTGTTACATCTGCTGGTATCTTTAACAATTCAACGCAGGTCACACCATCAATTTATAGCTCTCCATTCAGCCATGGCTGCCCCTCCCTGCAAGAATTCTAGGAGCTAATGTTTGTTAAGGGTACTGAGGGATGCGGGTGGCGCTGTGGTCTAAACCAGTGAGCCTCTTGGGCTTGCCTATCAGAATGTTGGTGGTTCGAATCCCCGTGACGGGGTGAGCTCCTGTTGCTCCGGTTCCTGACAACCTAGCAGTTCAAAGCATGCCAGTGCAAATAGACAAATAGGTACCACTGCAGTAGAAAGATAAACAGCATTTCTGTGTGCTCTGGTTTCTGTCACAGTGTCCCATTGCGCCAGAAGCAGTTAAATTCTGCTGGCCACATGACCCGGAAAGCTGTCTGTGGACCAGCACCGGCTCCCTTGGCCTGAAAGCGAGATGAGCGGCACAACCCCATAGTCGCCTTTGACTGGACTTCACTGTCCAGGGCTCCTTTACTTTTACTGAGAGTTGTTAAGGGAACCTTTTTCCCAGCAAAGAGCTCCAATTCCCACAGTTCCCTGTGAAGAGGGCTTGACTCTGGGAACTGTAGCATTGCAAAGCGGGGGCTAGGGACCTCTTAACCACTCTCAGCACCCTTAACAAACTACAGCTCCCAGAATTCTTGGTGGGGGGGGGAGAGCCATGAGCGCTGAAAGGGGCCTCATAGTGTTTAAATGGATGGCGCGAACGTGACAGCAGCGGAGAGAGATCCCTGCCCCTTTCTCCCTAGCGGAACTTAATGTGCCTCGAGTGCCTGTTTCCACACGGAGCGTCCTAAGGAGCGGACTGACGGAGACGTGGGCGGACCAGGCTTCCGCGATAGGTAAAGTGGGCGCCTTCGTGCTATGCTCATACGGGGCGGGGGATGGGAGGAGGTGGTCTTCCGCCCTAAACGCGGGCTTGTTGGTGCCTAGAAGGAAACAAAAGAGCGAGATCGCAGCTGGAGAGCAATGCTTCCTGTCCCTCCCGTAGAAACTTGCCCTGTCTCTTGATCCCGGTTGACTTATTTATTTAGCGAAATTGATTTAAAGCTACTCCGTGGGGGAGAGAGGTGCATTCTGTCCATTCTCAGAGGCACTGCTCTCGTTCTTCCTGCCTTTTCTTCTAACACATCCCGCCTCGCGTTCAAGAATCTCAGTGCAGCGAACATTGCTTTTGCCCCCTGGCCACTTCATCCTCGGATTGGGTTAAATTGAGAAAGAGGTTGAGCGGCTCAAGGTCACCCGGCGGGCTGGCGAGGAAGATGCAAGCCTGGGTATCCCTGCTCCTAGTCTGGAACTCTATAACCACTGTACTACACTGCCGCCGCCCGCCGGCACCGTCCGCCCCCTCCCCCGCGGTTCTGTAGCGTATGGTAACACATGAAAGTTGATTGATTGATTGATTGATTGAATTGTAATGAAGAAGTGGGTGGAGGAGAGAAGATTTTTTAAAAGCAGCACTTTGCAGCTGGAGCTTTAAGGTTGATGCAAAGGTTGACATTCTGATGTTAAAATTGCTAAATTTGGTAATGCTGAGAAACAGAAACAGGGTCAATGCCCTCTTCTCCCAAATAATTTTTTCAAGACTTCGGGATTCCCCAACTGATCATCTGTCTTTTGCCTCACACTGCTTTTCTAATTGATTTAAAAAGGCATTCAGTAGTAACGTGGACTGGAAAGGTCTGCATTGTTATGTTTTTCTGTGGGGAAAACGTCCATTTTTAGAAATGCTATTGTTTTGTAAATTAACTCATAACCTACAGTGCAGACCTATGCATTCCTGCTTGGCAGTAAGCCTCACTGAGTTCAATGGGACTTCCTCCCAGGAAAGTATATATAATCTAGTAAGTGATTACAGATCAGATTCAGCAGATGAAATGGATACATGCCATCTATACATATCTATTCAGAAGGAAGTTCCACAGAGTTCAATAGAACTTACTCCCAGGTAAATGTGTATAAAATTGCAACTTTAATCTAAAATCAACACGATCAATTTGACTCGTCCTAGAAAGCATGAATATTTCAGGCATGCTAACACTAATAATTTTTTGTTGTTGTTTTTACCGCTTTTCTTAAAAGCTTTAGTAATATCAGGGAAGAGTGTGCTACTGAACTTACACATTTTGCAATACTGTATTATACAAGTTTTTCAATAAAATAAATTTCCACATAAGACTTTGAATTTGTTTGAATTTCACATTTAAACAACACCATGCACTTTATTTGAATCTCACAAAACGGAGAAATTTCCCGGTTCCAAATTTTCCTGAAAGCACACATCACTGGTATTTGTTATTCAAACAGTTTCCCCTGGCCTTTTGGCATGGTGCCCCATAAAATATGTTATAATACTGCACTAGTATATGCTTCTAGTATACATATGAAACACACTCAATGGTTTGTTGTAGTTTTGCCTCTGGGCTGGTGAGCCGAGTGAGCTATGAGTAAAGATCAGAATGGAAGATATTGGAGGCAGTACCTTCCTCGGTGTTGATGAACCCACAATGGTAGAACTCTGCCAAACTTCCTCCTGCATTTAAACGGGCTCTAAAGACCATTTTTATTATTCAAGGCTTTTAATGAGTGACATTCTACAGGCTTATATGTTATGCTGATGTGTGCGTTTACATGTTTTCTTCTCAATTGTGAATTTAAAAAGAAACCAAAATTTAATTATGTAAGCTACCGTGGGTTGTGGTTGTTTGTTTTTTTTTAAAAAAGATCAATGTAAATGAGAAAAAGGAGTGGAGCAACACCCCCATGAGGTTGCAGCATTTGTGGGGGGTTTTAGCAAGAAAAGGCAAGTAAGAGAAGACATGAGAGAGGTGTGTAAAACTATGCACAGTGTGGAAAAAGGATATGGAGAAATGTTTCTCCCCTTCATAATACTAGAATTTAAGGGCATCCAACAAAGCTTTTTTACACAGCACATGGTTAAAGTGTAGGGGTTGTTGCCACCAGAAGTAGTGAGGACCACTAATTTGGATTGCTTTGAAAGATGATTAGATAAATTAATGGAAGATAGGGCTATCAATGGCTTCTGGCCATGAGGGCTATCTTCTCTCTCCATATGCCTGGATTAAGTCTCTGAATCACAAGTGGAGGGAGGGCTGTTGCACTCAGTTCCTGTGTCCTGGCTTCCCAGACACATCTGGTTAGCCATTGTGAGAACAGGATGCTGGAGTAGATGGCCTTCGGCCTGATACAGGTGGTTCTTATGTTTTCCCCTTGCAGACATGGATCCTGAGGATGCTGAAGAATTGGCAGCTGAGTTGCACGGAAAGCCTGTGGATGTCTGGGACCTCTTGCAAATTGCAGCAGGCACTGGCTTGACTGCCTATGTTGTGTGGGCTGGAATTCTCATGCCAGGATTCCGCAAAGTGCCTTTAAAATTACAGGTACATATCAGATGATTTGCTGTGACATTTGAGGGGAAAGCAGCACAGTTAACTGGCACATGATTATTGTGTTGGGAGGGAACTTCTGCAGGCAGGACTCTCCCTTATGAGACAGAGAGTGGTCTTTGGAAATTTTAAAAAAGCACAAACACACTGAAAATGACTCATGAATTTGATTCTGATGGCCAGATATTTGAAATGCTTAATCACAATCTGTATCAGGGTGCCTTCCAGATGCTATACCCTGATGTGATGCTCTTCAGTTGCCATCAGCCCCAACCACCATGGCTGATGGGAGTTGTAGTCCACCAACATCTGGAGAGTATCATGTTGGCTTTCTTATTTTAAGGCAGCAATGGGGAACCTGTGGCCTTCCAGATGATGTTGGACTCCCAGCAACCACTGCCAGTATTAGCAGTGGTCACAGATGAGAATTGTAATCCAATGACAACTGAAGGGTTGCAAGTTCCCCAATCCTTTGTTTGCAGATAATTGATTTGGCTTAACAGAAGATAGTCACGTCAAGTCAGCTGCTCCCTCTTCCAAGGTCTGGTTCACCCATGAGCCCCCCGCGGTGCTAGCAAGGCTGTGCTGCCATCAGCCCCAGCGTCATATGAGGCTGATGAGAGTTTTAGTCTAACACATCCAGAAAACACCAGGTTCGCAAAGACCAGGGCATTTTTTCAGCTGGAATTAATCGGAACTCAGTTCTGACACCTCTCAGGTGGGCACCATTGTCATTATAAGAGAACAAAGAGGGTGTTTATTGTGAGTTCCAGCACCACTTTTTCTAGAAAAATAGCACTGACAAAGACTGTGTTAGAGTCTTTAGGATTCCATGTATATTCCCTAGCCCTGGAACTCTGTGGCCCTTTCCAACTCAGAGCTTGCCTCTCTTTCTTCTCCTCATCCAGGTGCCGTATGTCCCAGCAAATGCCAATCAAGTGGAGAATGTGATGTCGCTACTGAAAGGACGCTCTGGGAAGATGGTGGATTTAGGGTCAGGCGATGGCAGAATTGTAAGAGCAGCGAGCTTGTTTCTTGATGGTGGCATATTCCATGAAACTGGGTGGCCCACTTGAAAGAACTACAATATATAATAATTTGGATCCGAAGGGAAGAGTAGAACAGAACTAGGGAACCTTTAGCCTCCAGCTATTAGTGATTTAAGTAATAAATCACTGGATCCCTTCCAGTCGGGATTCAGGCCTCATCATGGGACTGAAACTGCCTTGGTCGCACTGGTTGATGATCTCCGGTGGGCTAGGGACAAAGGTGAGAGCTGTTTCCTAGTTCTGCTGGATCTCTCAGCGGCGTTTGATACCATCGACCATAACCTTCTGGACCGTCTTGAGGGGCTGGGAGCTGGGGGCACTGTCATACAGCGGTTCCGCTCCTTCCTCCTGGGCCGTGTTCAGAAAGTAGTGGTGGGGGATGAGTGTTCAGACCCCTGGGCTCTCACTTGTGGGGTGCCTCAGAGTTCTGTCCTCTCCCCCATGCTTTTCAACATCTACATGCAGCCGCTGGGAGAGATCATCAGGGGGGTTTGGGCTGGGCGTTCATCAGTATGCGGATGATACCCAGCTCTACCTCTCTTTTAAATCAAAACCAGTGAAGGTGGTGAAGGTCCTGTGTGAGTGTCTGGAGGCGGTTGGAGGATGGATGGCGGCTAACAGATTGAGGTTGTATCCTGACAAGACAGAAGTACTGTTTCTGGGGGACAGGAGGCGGGCAGGTATGGAGGATTCCCTGGTCCTGAATGGGGTAACTGTGCCCCTGAAGGACCAGGTGCACAGCCTGGGAGTCATTTTGGACTCACAGCTGTCCATGGAGGCACAGGTCAAATCTGGGTCCAGGGCAGCTGTTCACCAGCTCCATCTGGTACGTAGGCTGAGACCCTATCTGCCTGCGGACTGCCTCGCCAGAGTGGTGCATGCTCTGGTTATCTCCCGCTTGGACTACTGCAGTGCGCTCTATGTGGGGCTACCTTTGAAGGTGACCCGGAAACTACAACTAATCCAGAATGCGGCAGCTAGACTGGTGACTGGGAGCGGCCGCCGAGACCATATAACACAGGTCTTGAAAGACCTACATTGGCTCCCAGTATGTTTCTGAGCACAATTCAAAGTGTTGGTGCTGACCTTTAAAGCCATAAATGGCCTCGGTCCAGTATATCTGAAGGAGCGTCTCCACCCCCATCGTTCTACCCGGACACTGAGGTCCAGCGCCGAGGGCCTTCTGGCGGTTCCCTCACTGCAAGAAGCCAAGTTACAGGGAACCAGGCAGAGGGCCTTCTCGGTAGTGGCACCCTCCCTGTGGAATGCCCTCCCACCAGATGTCAAAGAGAACAACAACTACCAGACTTTTAGAAGATATCTGAAGGCAGCCCTGTTTAGAGAAGCTTTTAATGTTTGATGTATTACAGTATTTTAATATTTTTTTTGGAAGCCGCCCAGAGTGGCTGGGGAAGCCCAGCCAGATGGGCGGGGTATAAATAAATTATTATTATTATTATTATTATTATTATTATTATTTAAACTTCACAGATGGTGTTAGCTTCTGAGGAAATGCTTGATCAAGGCTAGAGTCCCAAAACTAATAATCTTAGAATCTTATTTGCAAATGCATCACTAGATGCATCTGGGCTAGATCAGGTGTGGGAACCTTTGGCTCTCCAGATGTTACTGAACTACACCCCCCACCAGCCTTAGCAAGCATGACCAATGGCAAGGGATGCTGGGAGTTGTAGTTTGAAGGTTCCCTGCACTTGGGTCAGATGGATAAATAGCCTGACCTGGGGCAAGGCAGCTGTCCTGTATTTCTAAGGATCACAAATGCAGTCAATAAAATAAGTGCCTTGGCTGTGCTTCCAGGTGCTAGAGGCTTACAAGCAAGGCTTCAGACCCGCTGTTGGCTATGAGCTCAATCCATGGCTGTTACGACTTTCAAGCTATCGTGCCTGGAAGGCTGGCTGCTATGGAAAAGTTTCTTACTGTCGGGACGATCTTTGGAAGGTGAGACAAGAGGCTCCATGAAACTGCGCAGATAATCTGGGGGTAGTGAGAGGTTACACGACACATTGGCTGCCGGTGTTTGTCAGCCTCTTCATGAGCCAGGCTGCAAAGTCCGGCTGGCAGGTAGTTTTTAGGCCAAGATAGGAATATTTTTAATTGTAGGTATTAGGCTGGGTGCTAGGGATTGATGCTGGGCTTCAGAAATTGGATCAGGTTAACCAGTAGTCTTGGTTCTCTCTCTTAAAGGTGGATCTGTCAGACTGTAAGAATGTCACTGTGTTCTTGGCACCTAGCGTGGTAAGCATATTTATTTACTATTACTATTCATATATAAAGCCCATAGCAGCTTGGGACCAGATTGCTTGCAGAATCATCTTACACCGTATATGCCAACTCGATGTTGACCTGCGGAGCTGGCATTGTTACAAGGAATTTTGGAACTCCCTGCATGTTGACATCAGGCAGGTGCCTTCACTGTACTCTTTTTGGCTCCTGCATAAAACATTTTTGTTTAGGCAAGCTTATCCAGCGGTGCAGAATGTTGACATGTGTTTTAATCTCTTTTTAAAGTTCTGTTGATTTTAATTCCCCTTTGAATGTTTTTAAACACCTGTTTAAAACTATATTTTCTTGATAATTGTATGGAAACCTCTAACTGGTTTTCTTTAAAAAAATAAAAATACAATTAAGTGCAGTGCAGTGGTGTGTGGGTGTGGGTGTGTAGAGTTGTTTTTTAATGAAGTGGTGTAAAAATGCTAAGTGTGTTGCATAAAAACAGCAAAAACAAAAGAATAAAATTCAGAGACATGCAAATCTCAAAGGATACTTGCGTTTTGGTTCATATATTGTTTTGGGAAGTGCAAAGTACGTAGAATCACCTTTAAATGAAAACTTAATCATCCCTCCTCCCTCCATCTTTACCTTCACCACAGTTGAAGAGAAATGGACAGGGGGACTTTAGAACAGCTCTAGACCATTTTCTTTTGGATTAATTTATTTTTATTTTAAGCTCATTCAGGAACGTAAGAATGGCCTTCTGGATCAGGCCTGTAGCCCATCTAGTCCAGCATCCTGGTCTCACAAGGGCCAACCAGAGGCCTGTGAGAAGCCAGGGAGCAGAACATGACTGCCTGTCTTAGAAAGACCCTGACACTTTGCTAAGCTAAAATTCCCAAATAATTCTCAGATTGGAAGAGGGAAACATTGCACAAAACAAGGAAATTCCGAATCAAGGTGGGATGGTGGTGCTTGCCCATCTTTAATGCAGGGAGTGCCCTTTTTCAAGAGCAATGTCCCATGTTCCATGCAAGGGAATACAGGCATGTTTATTTTAAAAAAATAAAATAAAATGGAGTGATTCCACTTAAAAGTGTTGACTCCTTTCTGAACTCTGGCAATCTGAGGATAGAAGAGAACCAGTGGCTGATATTTATTCCAGACTTTAAAAAATAAGGAACTAACGCCCTGAATAACCCAGGCATTTTCCTTCCCTTTTCTCAGTTGCAGCTTCTGGAAAGGAAGCTGCTTGTAGAACTTCCGGATGAGGCCCGTGTGGTGGCTGGACGCTTCCCCCTCCCCAACTGGACACCCACCAGCATGGCTGGGGAAGGTTTGAACCGAGCCTGGGCCTACGATATCAAGACTGTACGGCAATCCAAGCAGGACAGACCAGAGGGAAGCCCGGTATAAGAACGTGTCCTCTAGGAAACAAGCAGGCACTTTTGCAAGACAGACAAGGGCTGTTTCCAGTGGCTCAGAGAGTGAAATCTGCTTCTTTCCAATTGCTGGCCTTGACAGCCCTTTATAAGCACTGGGGGGTGGGAGGGAGGGAGGGAAGGAACAATGAGATGATTTGTCAAGGGAAATCACATGGTTTCCGTAACTCCTCTCCTGAATCCTACTAATTCTGGAAACTCATTAGAACCTTTGCCGCAGGATGGGACAGGTTTGTCTCTTCATTGTGGAGTAGTCTGTATATTTATTTATTTTTTTGTAATGAACTTTCACAGCACTTATTTTTTTACGCATCTCAGTGTGTGGTCCAGTGGGCTGCTAAGATCTCATTGGGGTAGCAAACCCATGCCATGCCTCAGCTTGGAGTTTTGGTTGTGAAATAAAGAGAACTGTGATCCTCAGGATGCTGAGGATTAATGTATCAGATAGTAATTTATTTTACTAACATGGTACAACTTCAGATTTCTACACATGGTGGTATGGTTTGCAAGCTACTCTAAATCATGGTTTGGTGTTACACGTAATTCCCATATAAGCGGGGTGGGGGTGGGGACTTCAGCTGAGTTTAGTTTCGCTTTCAAAGGCTGTCATTTGAACCAGGGTTTGTGGTTTTATTCCAACCAAGGTTACTAAACAAGTTACTAAACAAACCAACTTTTCAAGTTCAGCCGCGAAGCTGGCTTGTTTCGTTAACCATTTCACTGGAACATGATAATAAGCCTCTGAATGTCAGAATGAAAGCAGGTTAGAGTAAGACAGAAGGGAGAGAGAATGCAATGGAAATACTGAAAGAAGAAGCAAATGCATTTGGAATGTAAGAGCTCACAAGATGTTGTGAATTGAGTGTCTCAGACTAGGGTTCAAATCCTTGCTCCAACATGGTTATCGGTGGACGACAGGCACAGTTTCTCATCCTAGCCTACCTCCCAGGGTTTTTATGAAGATAATTTGGGGGTAGCTTATGGGTGGAAGAACAGCTCTGAGCCTCTTAGACAAAGGACAGGATTTTTTTAAAAAACGAAAGACAAAAATGGTTGCTTAAAGGACTTCATTGAGCCACTTGCTTCCTGGAGTCTCTTCTGTGGGATGGAAATATAGCCAACCATTGCAATCCACCTGCTGTTCAGGCCAAGGTGCCAGTCCTCCTTGAGGATGCTACAAAGCCTTTTCTTCCCATAGCTTGGGTGTCAGAGACTACATTTCATTACTGAAATTCCTCTTGGGTTTTGAAGTTGCCAGAGGGTTAGAAGCTCTGGCAATTAGTTCTTCATGGCTGTCTATTCCCAGAAGTTTCCGCAGCCTCAAGATCTCCTGCTTGTACCTGCAGCACAACAACACAGTGAAAACGGCGTTAACCCAGTTCTGCTGTGGTTGCAAACCTTCCCTGCAAGGGCCTGATCAAATCCAGTGGGGAGAGAATGTAATGCAGACATTTAAATTCAGGTACCTAAGGTGGATGGAACCGCCTGAATAATGAGGTTCCATGTGGCTACCTTTGGTGGCGAGAGACTGTGAAAGCAGAGTAGGCTTGGTAGTCTATGTGTAGGAGACAGTAGGAGGACATTGGCTGACCAAGGCCACCTGGTTCTCATGAGTAGGTAGTTTCCTGGGCTATATCATTTATATCCCAACTTAATTGCCTCTAGTTTCCTCCTCCAGCCCAAGCTGTATAAGGCAATTGGGGAGATGGTACTACTGTTTTTCAGCCCAGTGGGGTCAGGTGATTGGAGGAACCAATAAGGGCCTGGCTAGCCCTATATTACTGTTTCACCAGGCTGGATTCCTCAGTTCAGGAAACTTGGCACTGAGAGGAGCTGCTGAAGAGACTCAACACCCAGAACAAGGATGGGGAAGCTGTCACTGGGAAAGCAGCCCTGGGGCTGTAAAAAGATTGCCCATTCCTGCTTTGTGAAAATGTTGAAGTGGTATGATTATTAGACATGAGCGCCCCATGAAAGATTTTGACAGTTAAAGCCTCACCCAGGTGAAAAGACCTCTCACCTTACAAGGTGTTTATCCACATATTCCTGCAGTTCGGCTACCTGCTCTTCTGCCACCATCGCCCGTGTCAGCAGCTGACTCCTTTCCTTTTCGAGATCCTCCTGAGGTTGGGAGAAGGCAACCATAGAGGCAGGAAGGACAAAAAAAAAAAAAAGGGATGGGTAGACTGGCAGATTTTAATTTTATTTGTATAGGCCACTTTTTCCACCCGTATGTTTTTAAGGTGGTGAAGGTCCTGTGTGAGTGTCTGGAGGCGGTTGGAGGATGGATGGCGGCTAATGGATTGAGGTTGAATCCTGACAAGACAGAAGCACTGTTTTGGGGGGACAGGGGGTGGGCAGGTGTGGGGGACTCCCTGATCCTGAATGGGGTAACTGTGCCCCTGAAGGACCAGGTGCGCAGCCTGGAAGTCATTTTGGACTCACAGCTGTCCATGGAGGCGCGGGTCAATTCTGTATCCAGGGCGGCTGTCTACCAGCTCCACCTGGTACGCAGGCTGAGTCCCTACCTGCCCGCAGACTGTCTCGCCAGAGTGGTGCATGCTCTAGTTATCTCCCGCTTGGACTACTGCAATGTGCTCCACGTGGGGCTACCTTTGAAGGTGACCCGGAAACTACAACTAATCCAGAATGCGGCAGCTAGACTGGTGACTGGGGGCGGCTGCCGAGACCACATAACACCGGTCTTGAAAGACCTATATTGGCTCCCAGTACGTTTCCGAGCACAATTCAAAGTGTTGGTGTTTACCTTTAAAGCCCTAAACGACCTCGGCCCCGTATACCTGAAGGAGCGTCTCCACCCCCATCGTTCTGCCCGGACACTGAGGTCCAGCGCCGAGGGCCTTCTGGTGGTTCCCTCACTGCGAGAAGCTAAGCTACGGGGAACCAGACAGAGGGCCTTCTCGGTAGTGGCACCCGCCCTGTAGAACGTCCTCCCATCAGATGTCAAAGAGATAAACAACTACCTGACATTCAGAAGACATCTGTAGGCAGCCCTGTTCAGGGAAGTTTTTAATGTGTGACATTTTGGTGTATTTTTGGTCTTTGTTGGAGGCCGCCCAGAGTGGCTGGGGAAACCCAGCCAGATGGGCGGGGTACAAATAAATTATTATTATTATTATTATTATTATTATTATTATTAAATTAATTAATTATATAAGGCAGCTCACAGAGTTTAAAACAATGAAACAGCACTTCCTGCTTGATATATGAGAGCAACCCATCTGCACTGGCATTCTGCTGGCTTTTGAAGATGCCCCTTTTTACACAGGCGCTCCCTTGATATCACTGCCTCTTGTTTTTAATCACTTTGCTGCTTCAATGGGATTGTTGAATTGCCTGCTCTGATTATGGATGTTTCTCTGAATGGGATTGTTTTACTGTGTGTTTTAATTATGGATTCTTATAGTTTAATGCTTCTGTGGTTGATTTTTATACTTTCCAAGTGCTCGGATGCCTGGTATGGCATTAAGCAGTATAAAAATTAATAAATGAAAATGAAGTAACAAGGACGGTACCAAAACCACTCTGTCCTATTAAACAGAGGTAGCCAGTGTGGAGCCCCCCAGATGCAAAGTAGATGTTCTGCCGCTTAGCTGTGCTTTGTGGCCTTGTGCTTTTGGCAGATGAATAGAACAGGACAAAGACCCAGACTGCCAAACACCCTTCAGCAGGGGTCAGCAAACTTTTTCAGCAGGGGGCTGGTCCACTGTCCCTCAGACCTTGTGGGGGGCCAGACTATATTTTTTTGGGGGGGGGAATGAATGAATTCCTATGCCCCACAAATAACCCAGAGATGCATTTTAAATAAAAGCACACATTCTACTCATGTAAAAACACCAGGCAGGCCCCACAAATAACCCAGAGATGCATTTTAAATAAAATGACACATTCTCCTCATATAAAAACATGCTGATTCCCAGACTGACCACGGGCCAGATTTACAAGGCGACTGGGCCGGATCCAGCCCCCGGGCCTTAGTTCTAGACTTCAGGTCTAGATTCAGGAACCATCGCTTGGCCTTTATACCAACATATCTCTGTGGTTTCAAGGGGGAGTTTTTATTTGAAAATATGTGCTGTTCATAATGGATGGGATATTACTTGAAAGGGGGAAAGAAAGAGCAGGTATGAATTGAAATCCATACTTAATCCTTATTGCACGCATAACTTAAATTGAGTTTTAAGTCCTGCAGGCTTCCCACAAGCATCTGGTTTGCCACTGTGAGAATTGGCAACCCAGTCAGATGGGCGGGGTACAAATTGTTATATGCTGGACTAGATGGGTCATTGAACTGATCCAGCAGAATATGAATACAGTGGTACCTCAGGTTAAGTACTTAATTCGTTCCAGAGGTCCGTTCTTAACCTGAAACTGTTCTTAACCTGAAGCATCACTTTAGCTAATGGGGCCTCCTGCCGCCGCCGTGCCGCCAGAGCATGATTTCTGTTCTCATCCTGAAACAAAGTTCTTAACCTGAAGCACTATTTCTGGGTTAGCGGAGTCTGTAACCTGAAGCGTATGTAACCTAAAGCGTATGTAACCCGAGGTACCACTGTATGGAATATGATCTCTCTCTCTCTCTCTCTCTCTCTCTCTCTCTCTCTCTCACACACACACACACACACACACACACACACAGTGTATTGACACTATTGGCTTTACTGTGTTACCAGAGTGTTTTACCTGTGTGGTTTGAGTGAACTCTCGCAGTTGTTTCCGGAGCTCAGCCCAGCCCGCCTCGTCCAGCGTGCTGAAAAGAAAAAGGAGCAAAAGGGAACTGGAAAGAGCCCTGTCAGCAAGCCATCCATTTCTTCATGTGACTCGTCAGCCTCCATATGTTTTTGGTGTACAACACCCATTATCCACAGCCAGCACATCCAAACTGGCTGGGAATGATGGGAATTGTAGCCCAAAATATCTGGAGGAGGCACAAGTATGGTATGAAATTAAGAATGTTTCCTGCAGGGCACAAGTAATTCACTATCAAGTATCATTCCTGAAAAAGACAAATGAGAACTAGATGACTGGATATCAGCATGAGATGACCTAATGTCCATCTGGAGGGCACCAGGTTGGCAAAGGCTGCTCTATCTCTTGCCCAGACCCTCAGGAGAAACTAACATGGTGCCCTACAGATGTTGCTGCACTCCAGCTCCCATCTGCCCTAGCCAGTGTGGCTCATGGTCACAGGGTGGATGGGTGCTAGGAGTCCAGCAATATCTGGATGGCACCATGTTGGCTGCCCCTAGTAGAACTATCTTCCCCCCCAAAGATGGTCAGATGAGCAAATATAAAGTCATGTTAACAGCCCCACATATTGCACGAGGCAAAGCATTCTATAAAACAATGGGCTCCGGCTGGTGAGAAAGGGAGGGACAGAAGCCCTGGAATGCAACTCTTCCATTTATGTATTTGCAAATTCCATTACTATGCTTCTGGGTAAATCCACTTATTTCACTGGGGTGGCTTAAATCGTGAGGATAGGTGATCTAATTGCGAGGAAGTATGCAGGCAAGCCGTGGGAAAGTTCTTCGTAGCCTGTCCGGGGACTGCATAAGCAAAATATAGGTCACATTTGATGTTTGGGGAGTTCTGACTGTATAGAAAGGATGGTATGAACCGAGGAATGCATTGTGTGCTGGTTAACGTAGAAATTTGTTTAGGGCTGCAAGATCTCCCTCTAGAGGTCATGTTAGCTGCTGTAAACTCAGGAGAAAGGAAGTGAATTTCTCTCGCCTGCATCTCAGCATACCAAAGTCCATTACACTATGTGGATGTGGTATTATGTTTCATTATGCGGGTGTGGTGTTTTGTGCTACTATGTTATGTTTCATGATGTGGATGTGTGGTTGTGGTATTATGCTATGTCAATGTGGTGTAACATTGATGGAATCCAAGAATATTTGGAGGGTTGCATATTCCCCAGCCCTGATGTACAGGAAGAAACAGTACTTACTGCGGAGGTGATGTCCCTGAATCAGCATTTTGACTTAACTTTACCTGTAAGGGAAAGCAGGGGGGAAGGTGATGATTTGATCAAAACTTCCATTTTGGGGGCATGGGGTCTTTTTCAGCTTGAGGGCCACATTCTCTTCTGCACAACCTTCCTGGGGCCACATGCCACTGAGCGGCAGAACCGTGAATATCAATGTCACCTTTGTACAGAAGGCTAGTTTCTAAACAAACTCACCCACCCTTCTCCATACAAGCAACGGGCTTTATCAGAGTTCAGGGACAGACAGTGGGGGGAAAGGAAGGTTGTTATGTACTGAGTTGAATAGGATCCAAAATGCAGCAGTCTGACTGGTCAGTCTGATTGGTCCTAGAACAATAGGATTCAGAATGCAGCAGTCTGATTGGTCCTAGAACAATAGGATTCAGAATGCAGCAGTCTGATTGGTCCTAGAACAATGCAGCAGTATGATTGGTCCGCAGGAGCCACCCAATCCAGCTCCAGGTGGAAGTGAATCCACAACCTGATTGGCCTACAGGAGAATTCCGGAATTAGCCAATCACATGCAGCCCATTGTGTAAATAATGTATATAAAGCAGATATTGTGCGGGAAACTTCCATTCCTCCTCACCACTATGAGCTGAATAAAGAGCATGAAATCTACTCTCGACTCCGAGTATATTTCAAAAGTGTAATACTGCAGGGCTGGTGAGTGGGTGTGGCCTGGGGAAAGAGGGCGTGGCCAGGGCCCCAGGGCCAAACAGAGAGGCTCCTCCATTAGAAGGGCCCAGCGTCCAGGGAACAAAGTCCACCCCTGTTCACCTTCATCTGCAGTTCATGCAGTTGGCCCTCCAAGCTGGCTTTATCCTCCCGCAGCCGGTTCAGCTCCTGAGAGGTGCTCGTCAGCAGCTCGGCGTCTGTGATGGTGAAATGGTGTTCTGGTGGGCCAGGATCCAGATCGTGGCTGCCCAGCGACCGAATCTGTTCACGCTGCATCCTGCAAACAGAGAGGTTACAGATCAGCCCTTAGGCATGGCAAAGAAGTGGATTTCCCAATCATATATTCACAGTGATACGCAGCACAAGTGCGCATGCACACACCACCTTAAAGTCCTCAGCAAGTTTCATTGTACGTTTGCATAAGCCAGAGAGCCCACTTCATTAGACGCATCAAAGACAGCTTCCATGTGCATTGAGATGAACTGATGAATCGACTCTTAGGGATGCGCAACCACCGAAAATGATGGAGCCACAGATCAAGCCCCTGTAGGATTTAACTGCCAGCACTATGGGGATTCCCTCAGTTCCAGACACTGTAATATTGATTATAGAATGGAAGTTGAAGTTGCGTGTGAAGGTTGGAATGTGAAGGTTGTGTTTGCAAGAAAACATGAGAGAAGGACGGAACAACACGTTCGCAGGAGATATTGCTATAAGGAAGCAGGAGGGAGGAGAAGAGAAGAGTTTTGATGTCTCACAATGAAACCCAGTAGACTTTAGTAGAAGGAAATATTGCCATTTATAGACAGAACTGTCCCTTTGCTGGTAACTATAAACGCATGTGCTGTTCTCATATTTGGTGTGCCACCCCTCAACTACTTGCTGGTTGAGGTTGTGTGGCACCGGCCTTTCAGTGCCTAAATAAAGATCCTGTTTTACTGACAATTGGTGTCTGGATTCTACTGACTAACTTTCTGCACTAGGGGATTGCCTCTTACCAGGGGTAGGATTTAACCACCGGCACTAGGGGATTTAGGGACGCAGGTGGCGCTGTGGGTTAAACCACAGAGCCTAGGACTTGCTGATCAGAAGGTCAGCGGTTCGAATCCCCGCGACGGGGTGAGCTCCCGTTGCTCGGTCCCTGCTCCTGCCAACCTAGCAGTTCGAAAGCACGTCAAAGTGCAAGTAGATCAATAGGTACCGCTCTGGCGGGAAGGTAAACGGCGTTTCCGTGTGCTGTTCTGGTTCGCCAGAAGCGGCTTAGTCACGCTGGCCACATGACCCGGAAGTTGTACGCCAGCTCCCTCGGCCAATAAAGTGAGATGAGTGCCACAACCCCAGAGTCGGCCACGACTGGACCTAATGGTCAGGGGTCCCTTTACCCTTTACCTTTACTAGGGGATTTGCCTATGCTATGGTCACTGCAGGAATAACTGCCGGCGCTAGCGGGATTGCTGCCTTGCAATGTGGCCTCTCCCCTACCTGTACGCAATGAGCAGGCCCTCGTGCCTCTTGACCAAGTTCTGCAGGCGTTTCTTGTAGCCGCGAGTGGCTTTGGCCAGCTGTTCCTCCCTAGACTTGTACGAAGCCCGGATGTCCTGCAGCATGCCATCCACAAAGCGCTTCATGTGAGCCGGTTTGAAGGTGCTTTTGCTGGTCCCTTTTGCTGCAGCGGCAACTGACTTGCTGTCCATGTGCTCCTTGAAACACAGACACACAGAGACAGTCTCATATGTTAGCTCAGTACAGGAGTGGGGAATCTTCAGACCAAACACCACAGTCTCTTCTGGACAACCTTCCAGATGACACATGACCCTGGTGGGCGGGACCAGAGGCAGAAGTGGGTGGAGCAACACATGCAAATTCAGGGTTCATGGACACATTCCAGCCAGGCAAAAGCACTCAAAGAAGGTGCATAGCAGAGCTGGTAAGGGCTGTGGCTTTGGAGGCAGATAGAGAGACCATTGGCTCCTCCAGACCTGAGGGTTCCCCATTCATGTCCCATTTATTTTGAAACTGGGAATGGGAGCACACTAAAGTGTTGTGAGGAATCCAGTCTCCGGTGACCCTAAAGAATCCAGGCACAGGAAAGGTTTCCCATTGTCTCTTCCTGATTTCCTGGTCCAGGCTTGCCCTCTTCCAAGCTCCATAATTCTGCCACTATCCTGGCTGGGATTGGAAGTCAGGAAACCGCCTTATGCTGGGTCAGATGGTTTGGCCATCAAAGCCCAGCACTGTCTGCTTGGACCACCACCAGCTGCTCTGAGATTTGGTGGAGAAGATCCAGGCTCTGGCACATCTGCCACCCACCCACCCAAAAGAGAACTGCTCACCGCCAGATCTGTGATGTACTGAAGGAGCCGCGACCTGTATTCCTCGTTCAATTCCTTCAGCTGCAGCTGAAGCCGGGAATTTTCTGCCTCCACTTCTTGGAGCTGGCTTTGGGACGAGAGTAATACCTGCAGGCAAAATGGCACACAATCTTGTTGAAATATGAGATGCCATCATCTGTATTGGCATTCTGCCGGCTTTTGAGGTTGCACCTATTTACACAGGCGTTCTCTTGACCCAAGCCTCCTGTTTCAACTGCTGTGTTGTTGTTTGAATGGATTGTTTTATTATGTACTAGTAGACCAGTGCCTAGTGTTGTTCGGGAATAATATGAAACCAAAAAAGTCAATTCAGTTTTGAGCGGTTCTGTCCGCCATCTTGGCATCCAGTTGTATCCAAACCTAGATGAAAACCTGCTCCTTGCTCTCAGGAACCATCATACAAAATTTCCTTACGGTGTCCTAAGAGGTGTCCCAATGCACAGCAAACAAACAAATTCCCAAAATCTATAGTAGATTTTCATTAGGGATGTTTATGTTTTAATGGGGTTGCTTGAGTGTATAGACAGTGTAATTATTACGGGTGTTTGCATTTTAACATTTGTGTAAATTAGTTTTAATATTTTGCAAACTGCTTAGAAGCTTCCTTTGGCAATCAAGCGGCATATAAATTAATAAATAAGAACAGAACATGTGTATATTAGAAAACAGTGCCCTGCAATGTCGAGGCATTTTCACAAGGCCTGTTTAAAAACAAATAAATAAAAAACTGATGAGGAAATGTGGCAAACTGATCTGAAGGTTGGGACAAAATGTGAAACTGAGAGAAGTCAAAAGCGACAGATTAATCCATCCCTTGAGGGAGGGGGATTTGTGAACGAGAAGGCAAGAGGACAAGGAAGGAGCAAGCTTCTAAATTCAGCTCATCTCATTTTTCATTTGTTACTCTGTTTCCTGAATTTGTTATTATACTGGCTTTAGATGTTTTCCATATGTGTACATGGCATTGCACTGCATGTGGAATAAGTTTCTGATGTCAAGGAGCATTAAATCTGCCACCCACAATCTGAAGTGGTGCAAGCTACTGGCTGATCATCTGTCCAAAAGCATCACACCTGCAATCTGTAAATTAAGAGCCCATTCTGTAAACTAGAAGTCCGTTCCACACTTGTAAGGATCCTTCAGTGTGACAGCACCTTCCCTCTGGAACTCATTGGCATTTGGCAAGCAACTTCGTTGTATTAACTATGCGTTTGAGGATGTTGCGTGAAACTGCTTTTAGGTTCCCAAACTTCAATAGCCTCTTCAGAATTTAAAGACTGTAGGAGTTCATATGGATGTGCAAATCTTTCAATTTTTGTTTCTCCTTCCCCCCCCCCCCAGTCTTCAGCTTTCCACATTTCCACCTAAATTTGTGATTATTTTTTTTAACCCTCATGAAAATCCATCAGCCTTTTAGTGCAAGTTTCTCCAAACATATACATGCCATTTTACTCAACCTGCACATTTTTGCAAAGCAGTGTTCCCCAAGAGAATGCATTTTTATATGTTCTTTTCAAAAATATGTGCACACTTTGCCCAAATATTTGCATTCTTCATACACATTACTTGGCTGGAGAACGGCATTGCAAAATGTGGAGAAGTGCCCATTTTGAAGGACGACTGTTTTCTTTGGCTGGCATATTGCTTCAGAAAGTGCAAATTAGGTCAACGGGCCTTTAAATGTGAATGGAACTTCTCCCCCATCCCTAGTGATCCATAAATCCTGCTGACGGTGTACTTCAGCTTTGACTTCCAAGGTTTCCTTACCACCGACTGTTCCGCCAGCTTGTGCTGCGTGTTCCGGATCGCCTTCTTGGCCTCCTGCAGGTCCTTGCCCTGGGTCACCCTGCAGAGACAAGGAGCGGTGCGGCAGAATACCAATGCAAGTTTGCGGAGAATATAACCCTCTGATTCGCTCAGGGGGTGGGGGTGGGGGGCTAGGCTGGGCGCTCGTACTCACACTCTCTCCTCTAACTTCTGCTGCTGTGAGTTGTACATTTCTTTCATCTTTTCAATCTGTGCAGTGATGTGATCCTGGTTTCCAAAAAGCTTGGAGGTGGGAGAAGAACAGAAGAAGCGGTTAGTTACATACAGTGGTACCTCGGGTTACATACGCTTCAGGTTACAGACTCCGCTAACCCAGAAATAGTAACTCAGGTTAAGAACTTTGCTTCAGGATGAGAACAGAAATCGCGCAGCGGCAGCAGGAGGCCCCATTAACTAAAGTGGTGCTTCAGGTTAAGAACGTTTTCAGGTTAAGAACAGACCTCCAGAATGAATTAAGTTCTTAACCCAAGGTACCACTGTATTGAGAACATAAGAAGAGCCTGCTGGATCAGGCCAATGACCCATCCAATTCAGCATCCTATTCTCCCAGTTGTCAGCCAGATGCTTGTAGGAAACTCTCAAGCAGGTCCTGAGTGCGAAAGCAGTCTTCCTTTCTGTTGTTTCAAGCAACTGGTACAGTGGTACCTCAGGTTAAGAACTGAATTCGTTCCGGAGGTCTGTTCTTAACCTGAAACTGTTCTTAACCCGAGACATCACTTGAGCTAATGGGGCCCCACACTGCCGCTGCGCCACCGCCATGCAATTTCTTTTCTCATCCTGAAACAAAGTTTAATCCGAGGTATTATTTCTGGGTTAGTGGAGTCTGTAACCTGAAGCGTCTGTAACCTGAAGCTTCTGTAACCCGAGGTACCACTGTATTCAGAAGCATTACTGCTTCCAACTGTGGAGGCAGAGCATAGCCATCATGACTAGTATCCACTGATAGCCTTTGTCCTCCACAAATTTGTCCTATCCTCTTTTAAAGCTATCTAAGTTGATGACCAGGGACGCGGGTGGCACTGTGGGTTAAACCACAGAGCCTAAAACTTGCTGATCAGAAGGTCGGCGGTTCAAATCCCCGCGACGGGGTGAGCTCCCGTTGCTCGGACCCTGCTCCTGCCCACCTAGCAGTTCGAAAGCACGTCAAAGTGCAAGTAGATAAATAGGTACCACTCTGGCGGTAAGGTAAACGGTGTTTCCTTGCGCTGCTCTGGTTCACCAGAAGCGGCTTAGTCATGCTGGCCACATGACCCGGAAGCTGTACGCCGGCTCCCTCGGCCAATAAAGCGAGATGAGCGCCGCAACCCCAGAGTCAGCCACAACTGGACCTAATGGTCAGGGGTCCCTTTACCTTTACCTAAGTCGATGACCAGCACTGCCTCCTGCGGGAGCAAGTTCCAGAGTTTAACCATGCACTTTGTGAAGAAAGACTTTTTGAAAATCTGTTTCTGAATCTTTCAACATTCAGCTTCATTGGATGACCATTAATTGTAGTGTTGTGAGAGGGGGAGAATTGGTTTTTTTTATCCAAATCCAGGGGCAGAGGAGGGGGTATGCGGTGGAGGCGAGTCATCCCAGGTGTCTTCGCTGGGGGGGGGTGACATTTGGCGCGCCGCCCACCCGCGACTCCCAAGCCTACCCCGACTCCGAGCCATCGGGGGAAGGGGAGAGCTGTGCCTCCCCCCTTCGTTTTGACAGCTGGGGGAGGCTTGGGAGTCGCTGAATGTCTGCCATCAGTGGCTCGCTCCGCCCCCGGCTGCAGGGCGCGCGCACCGATCCGTGAACCCGAGCGGCTATCCCGTGCCTGGGAGGGCACCTCCACACTACACCCCCTTCGGGAGCGCGCCCTCCCTGGGAAGCACGGGCATAAGCTCCACTGCTGTCCAAATCTAAAGTTCAGTTCTGCACATTTCCGCATAACAATAACAATCACTCATTCATTCATTCATTTTAAAAGTCCTCATGAGAATTCCAGAGAATTTAGGTGCAGATTTTCCCCTCTAATGTACAGGGTTCGACTCCTGGAACCGTTCAAAAACCAAGGCACGGCTTCCAATTGGCTGCAGGAGCAAACTGATTTGAATTTCTATCAGGCACCAAAATGCTTTGCCTGGCGTCCCGCCCTCCCTCGCGCCTCTCTTCAGAGCACAGCACAATCACCATCGCACACTCACACTTCTCTCCAGTTTCCGCCGTTCATGTTCGGAAGCCACCACCTCTTCTGGCTATGGCAAGAAGACACGGAAGACAGAACGCATTAGATTTCTGCATACGAAAGAGATAAGGGCATCAGAAGATCCGGCTGCATCAGGCCAAAACCCCATCTAGTGCAGGACTCTGTTCTTGCAGTGACAAACAGCAAGGACAGCAGGATCGCATGCTATCATGAACACACAATAAAAAGCACATGGAGGGTCCCTGAGATGGCCACAAATGCATACCTTCACTTTGCGGGCAGAGAGACGGTGGACCAAGGCTCGCACCCTTTCCAACTCCACAGAATCCTTGTTGTTTTGAACTTGGGACTTGGGGCTGTTGCCTCGGGCATTGGCCAAGTTCAGCAACTCTCTGCTAAGCTCTTCATTCTTAGTGACCTACAAAGCAAAGCAGGTAAGTGTGTTATAGAGGTGCAGGCCATCCCTTGGGTTGGAAGCCAGCTATTACGAGCTGACCAGTTATCAATTTCTATGTGTTAGAAGTTCAAGGAGCTGTTTTGGGTGTATAAAACCCTTTACAGCCTCTACAACCATCACTACGTAGTGCCCTCCATATGTTTTTGGACTACAGTTCCCATAAGCATGGCCCAACCATGGATGATGGGAGTTGTAGTCCAAAACATCTAGATTGCACAAGGATGAAGAAGGTTTCCGCGGAAGATGAGCGGCCCATACTTCCTGTTCGTGTTCCTTGCCCAGTGCAAGATAATTGCTCTTCAGAACAAGATATTCGTCTGCCAGCTCCTTGCGGTTGGTCTCTAGGGCACTCAAGCGCTCTTGTAAGGCATCACGCTCCCCAGTGGTCTTCTCATCATGGAGCTCCACCTCCAGAATACGGCTCTCGAGGGTCAGGATCTGGGAAAGCAAATTACAGCGAGGGAAATGTATGCAACTGTCATAACAAGGCTTGGGGAGAGGGGAGATTTGTAAAGATCATTGCCTTTGATGCTCAGCATAGCTGGGGGGTTTTTGCAATTGGTTTTACATTTAGAAACCACTTAGAGGCCATTTTGGGAATTCAGCGATGTATAAATTAAATGAAGATGACGATGGCAGATTTTGTGTGGCTTTTATATTTAAAGATAAATATACTGAAACAAATGCAGATTCATTTTATAATATTCACATATCCAGCCATATTTGGTTTCCATCCTGCAGCTAGATATTTCTCTTTTGGAAAAGATACTCTGGCATAAGAAATATATATACATACTCAAGGACCGTTATTTCCCGTCCTGTTTTATGTAACAATTGTCTATCAATCAGTTGAGACTCCCTATCACTGAACTTGTACTTTCTAGAGCAGAGCAATATCTATATTACTTATGTTCTAAAGACTTTTTTGGGGGGGAAGAGAATTTGAGGGGTCTTTAGAATAAATGTGAACAGGATTGTCTAGGAAGCTGCCTTATGTTGAATCAGACCACTGATCCATCATGCCCAGTTTAGTCTACACTGACTGGCAGCATTCCTGGCTGCCCTACCTGCCCTGTCCCTCTTAGCCAACCCCAGTGGGCCATTCTGGGCCAGCCCTGCTCTTCAGAGTGACCCTTGGATCCAATCCTCAGTGGCTGACTCACCTCCTTTCCCTCTGATTGGCTCCAATCAGCACAAAGGGTGAGGAGGCTCAGTTTCATAGGCTAAAAAGCTCCCCTGTCATGCTGATTGGATGGCTTTAGGAAGCTGCCGCAGAAATGGTAACAAGTCTTCAATCCCCTGTGACCTGGACTACTATAGCTCTTCCCAGCTTCTGCATCTGGTTCTACAAAGCCTTGTCCCTGGTTCTGCAAAGAATCTTGGGCACTGTCGTGCGGTGAGACAATAAAGAAAATGATGGGTTGGGAGTCCACGAACTTTCACTTAACGTAGGCCCATGGAAATGAATAAACATGACAAAAAGTTATGTCAATTACCAGATTCTTCAGTTCAAAGTTTTCTGCTTCGTGACGCTCTCTCATTTTGTTGGTCTCAATCTGGAAATCAACGAAGTCCTTGGAAATCTGAGAGGACAGGGACATAAGAACATTCGGAGATGCTTAAAAATGGATTCAAACCAGCATGCACAAGAGCATGCACATACAGTGGTACCTCAGGATGCGAATGGGATCCGTTTCGGAGCCCCGTTCACATCTTGAAGCGAATGCAACCCGCGACTGCGCGTGTGCGGGTCGCAATTAGCTGCTTACATGCGTGCGTGTGACGTCATTTTGACCATCTGCGCATGTGCGAGTGGTGAAACCCAGATGTAACGTGTTCTGTTACTTCCGGGTCGCCGCGGAACGCAACCGAAAAGCGCTCAACCTGAAGCGTATTCAACCCGAGGTATGACTGTAATGGGAAGTGAGAAGGGGAAGGGCACTTTTAACAAACTCTGTTCCAAAAGGAATTATTATGAAAATAAGAAATATTTAGGGACAGACACCAAATTTTGTCCTCGCTCAGGGCACCATATTACAAAAATCTACCCCCGTCTGCACTGCTTTTAGATTTTTTTGGAATTGTTTTTAGAGTGTTTCTATCTGTTTTAGAATGTTTTAGTGTCTTTAACAAGGATTTTTGTTTGCTGCCCTCCTTGGGGATGAAGAGTAGCATGTAAATACAATAAATAAATAAATGAAATGAATAATAAAATTACGCCAGTTAGGGTCTGAGAGTCACTGTTTTCTCACCCCTACCTCGCAGGGCTGCCATAAGACCATGACCAAGGCACTGTGTGTGATGCATTTTGAACAACTGGAAGTAAACGTGAGAGAAACAAAGTGTTATTAATTGTCTCTGTGCAGCAGGGACCTTGCCCTATGCCTTACCTTGAGTTTCTCCTCTTCACTATGAACCAGTCTTGATGACAAGTCGGTTTTGGAGCCAGCCACCTGCCCCATTTTCTCCTGCAGCTCCCCAAGTTTGGCGCAGAGCCTCTCGTTCCTGTCTTGCAGCTGAACCTGCATGGAAGGGAGGAAAACATATTCAGCCCACGGAATTCAGACTAGGCACAGGCAAATTGGTCCAATTCAATTTATCTCATTTTCCCATATTCCAAATCTTAAATTCAATTTCCTTATCAGTTTGTTTGGGGGGGGCGGGGAGTCCTCATGAAAATTCATCCGTATTTTAGTACCAGATTGTCCTAATAAATACATTTTTGTGTGCCGTTTGCCTAATATACACTTTTTTTAAAAAAAACCCCACAACAACCCCATTTCCCCTAATATATTGCATTTTGTCTTACTATTATTATTATTATTATTATTATTATTATTTCTACTGTGTTTGTAAGTCACTTTGAGCAATGTTTATGAGTAAATAGAGAAATAATAATAAATATTACATAATAAATAATGATATTGAATGATAATAATAAGTTGTAGTCCAATAAGGACTAAAGAGGTTCAATAGCCATCTCAGAGGTTGGATGGCCATCTGTCATGGGTGCTTTTTAGCTGTGATTTGTGCATTGCTGGGGGTTGGGCTAGATGACACGAGGTCCCTTCCAATTCTTCAATTATATGAGTCTCTGATTCTAAGGCACCAGGTGGGAAAAGGTGGAGGCTATGGGGAGCAGGAAGGCAACAGAAGACTCGTTTGAAACCAAACACTTACGTTTTCATTGCTGAGGTGCTGAACTTGCTCTCGGAAGGTAGTAAGACGGCTGCTCTCAGTCTCATTCCCAAAGTCCATGCGGTCCAAGTGTTGGTGATGGAGGGCTTGGAGCTTCAGCTGCAAGAGGAGAAAACCCAGATGAAAGCAAAAAGGAGTGTTTCTGAAAGACGATGTATTTGCCCATTGATCATGCCTACGTAGGAAAGGGTTGCTATCAACTCAGGTTGCTAACGGGTGTGGCTTTCACCTTGTTAACAAGGTGGAGCAAATGAGAGACTCAGTGTTATTTGTGATTATTATTTGATCGGAGGAGGCCTTGGCCAATTCCTTGTTATAATCCAGCAGTCTTGAATGCGTCCCACTTATAGAGGGGAATCATAGACATAAGATCTACCAGAAACACATCACTGCTTGTTTTAACTCACTTATGGGAACTATGAAAAGCAGTAGAAGTATGAGACGATCAGAACCCTCCAAACTTGAAGCATGGGAAGTCATATTAAAAAATTATAATTTGGCAGAATATTTGGATTATTTGATATGTATATGTATAATTTGGAATATTTAATGTGATTTGATTGGATTGTTAAAGTGGAAAATTTAATAAAAATGATTTAAAAAAAGAAAAGAATGTGTGCCATGTGCTGAATTTGGCACTACAGTGGTACCTCAGGTTACATACGCTTCAGGTTACATACGCTTCAGGTTACAGACTCTGCTAACCCAGAAATAGTGCTTCAGGTTAAGAACTTTGCTTCAGGATGAGAACAGAAATCGTGCTCCGGCGGCGCGGTGGCAGCGGGAGGCCCCATTAGCTAAAGTGGTGCTTCAGGTTAAGAACAGTTTCAGGTTAAGAACGGACCTCCGGAACGAATGAAGTACTTAACCCGAGGTACCACTGTAGTACCATTTTTTTCATCCTGGTGGGAAGAAATATCTCCTTTTCATTTCTACTTAGGTGGGTTTCATCCCATTCGTTTATGATGCAATATTCATTTAAAGGTCCAGGTAGCCTTCAAACAATGCGCAGGGAACCATGAATGAGTTTGTGCAGGCGGTGGGGGAACTTTTGCAGCCCGAGGTCCTTCATCATCAACTGGGGTGGGGCGGGGAGGGGGCATATATGCCAGGGGTGGGCAACGTCAGAGACCAAAAAGTGGTCAATGGTTGTAACCTTTTGCACTGTAGGCTACATTCCAGCCAGACAAAAGACGGATGCAGGACGGTAAGCAAGAACACTTAACCCAGTTCAAGACATAGATTGTTGTTAGGCTGGAGGTAAATGCAACCTGACCCCTAGGATCTCTCATCTGTACACAATCCCCTTTGAGCAGAATGGTCTACACTGCTTATTCTTCGCTTTGGGTACCAGTGATGGTGGCACAGTGTTAGGCAGACAGGTCTGAACCACAATACAAAATCTGCTGTAAAGTTCATCCACTCAAGAGCGTCTGAAAGTAGTCTTCTCTCTGACATGACTTCAAGCGGGGATGGCTCTACCACTGGTCAGAGTGAGGCAGCTACCTCAAGCACCTGATTTTTATGTGCCAGCAAGGGTAAGCAAAATTCTGGTTATTTCCTTTATTACTTTATTGTTGTTGTTTCTCTCTCTGGCTTTTTACTGCCAGGGAGAGGGACGTATGGGCTTTTCTGCCTTAGCTGACAAATTATTATTATTACGATGACAACTATTTTACCAATCTATGCAATTTCCCCAAAGCAATGGACAATAAAAACAGCAAAAAATAAAATAAAAATATGACAGATGCATTAAACCACACAAAATAGAGGCCAGCTCTACCATTAGGCAGAGTTTAGCAGCTGCTTCAAGCATCAGGCACTGTGTGGACAGAGGTGCATATGTCAATTTGCCATGGTGCCTGCCCTTGCCAGACTGCTGCTTTCAAGTGGAGTGGATGATGCTGAAGTAAAATTTGCATTTGTTGCTCTTCCCACTTCTGACTTTGGTCCTGTTGACCCTAGCATGTGGCCCCCAGAGGAAGGAGGGTCTCCACCCCCATTGTTCTGCTGGGATGCTGAGGTCCAGCGCCGAGGGCCTTCTGGCGGTTCCCTCACTGTGAGAAGCAGACTACAGGGAACCAGGCAGAGGGCCTTCTCGGTAGTGGCGCCCGCCCTGCAGAACGCCCTCCCATCAGATGTCAAAGAGATAAACAACTACCTGACATTTAGAAGACATCTGAAGGCAGCTCTGTTTAGGGAAGTTTTTAATGTGTGACATTTTAATGTATTTTTAATCTTTGTTGGAAGCCACCCAGAGTGGCTGGGGAAACCCAGCCAGATGGGTGGGGTACAAATAAATGATGATGATGATGATGATGCAGAAGGGGACTGAAACAGATTCCCCACCCTTGGTATACTGCATGGAGGGTACCATTTTGTCCTTGGACAACATTAAGCTGCCTTTACTATTCATCTTAAGTGGGAAAATGCCTTGGTCCTAGGGGGACATTCCAGGAAAAAAAAAACATTACCACTTTGGTTCTGGCCCTGGGAGAAGCTGGAAACTTGTTTGTGAACTGTCTCTGCCTGATAGCGAGGTCTATTATACCAATAACCACAAGAGAGCAGTGGAGAGTTTTGCATGCTAACAGCAGATCTTTAAAGGTGTAGCATGGTGCCCCAGAGGATTGATCCGGTAGGAAGTGAATGCAGAGATAGACAGCCATTCAGAACAAGCGAGGATTTTCCTTATCGTGTTCATTGTCAACTATGGAAGCAGCAGCCTCAAGATGTGATGACTGGCTCAAATGGCTTTAAAAGATAATTTAAAGCACATGGCTTCCCCCAAATAATCCCGGAACCTGCAGTTTGTTAAGGATGCTGGGAACTCTAGCACTTTGAGAAAGTAAGTTACACTTCCCAGGATTCTTTTAGGGGAAGTGGCACAATAGGGCTTGAAATGTATTGTGTGGATGTGACCCAATTCTTGGAGGGAGCTTATTAGCCACAATAGCAAAGCAGAGTCTCCAGATCCAGTATACCAGTGGTCAGGGATGATGGGAATTGTAGTCCCAAAACATCTGGAGGGCCGAGTTTGGGGGTGCCTGGTCTAAACCACTGAGCCTCTGGGTTTGCCAATCAGAAGGCTGATTGTTCAAATCCCCGCGACGGGGTGAGCTCCCATTGCTTTGTCCTAGCTCCTGCTAACCTATCAGTTCGAAAGCACGCCAGTGCAAGTAGATAAATAGGTACCGCCACGGCAGTAAGGCAAACGGTGTTTCCATGTGCTCTGGTTTCCGTCATGGTGTTCCATTGCACCAGAAGCGGTTTAGTCATGTTGGCCACATGACCCGGAAAGCTGTCTGTGGACAAACGCTGGCTCCCTCGGCCTGAAAGTGAGATGAGCACCACAACCCGATAGTCACATTTGACTGGACTTAACTATCCAGGGATCCTTTACCTTATTACTGGGAGAGCTGAATTGTGGATTAGTTATTGGACCTGGACTGGGTGACCAGGCACATTTGTACATTTTGTAATTTGATAAGCTATGGAACTTTGCTGCTTTGATCTTTTCTTTTTATTTAACAAAAAATAATAATTCTGTGGTATTTTATATACTGTGACTTCGTTGTTATTTTTAACTGAAAATGGTCTAATAATAGTTATCGCCATCATTTGGTTTCCTGTTTAATTATTATTAGCTCGTTTTGAGAGTTGATTTTAGCATGCAGCTATATTAACCAGCTTCATTTCTGAAATATACTCGGAGTCCTGTAGTGATTTCATGCTCCTTATTGCAGCTTGTAAAACAGTGAGTTTAATTGCGCCCCCCCCCCAAACCTCAGGCTTTTATATACATTATTTACACAATGAGTCCCGTCTGATTGGCTGATTCTGCTTCCCTCCTGGAGCCTGATTGGTCTTTTCCTGCAGGCCAATCAGTTGTTGCATTCTATGATCCTACCAGCCTAATAGGCTGATTAACTTCCTCCTGGAGCCTGATTGGTCTTCTCCTGCAAGCCAATCAGTTGTTGCATTCTAGGATCCTACTTGCCTATTGTTCTAGGATCCAAGCTTAGTACATAACAATTTCCACATAACCGCTGTCCCTGGAGACCTAGCAAACAGCCATCCAGCATTTTGGCTCTTGCTGTATCCCTCCAAAACTTCTTCCAGGCTGCCATGGTGTTGTTTGTCGGAAGGAGGTGTAGAGAAGGGCTGGGGAGGGGTGCCTACCTGCCTCTCTTATTATGTTGAGGCACTCTTTAGAACAGATGTACAGTAAAACTAGGGTCTAAATGAGATGTCTGGTCAATCTGCAGTCAGATTGCGAGGTTCTATGACTCCCTTTTGTTTAACAATAGGAAGAACAAAATTACATTTTCCACCCAAATTACGTTGTGGAAATGAAGGAAGTCAACATGGAATGGCTGCTTGGGTGAAAGGGCTGTGAGTTCAGTTCAGTTCTGGGACTGAAAGCAAATCCCCAGATTTGGAACAGGCTCAGAGAACGGATAGGCAAATCTGTCAATTTTTGCTTCTCATTTTTCCAGTCTTGAGTTTAGTTTGCCACACTGGTTTGCAGATATATATATTTTTAAGTCCTCATCAAAATTTGTCAGTACTGTATTTCCTTGCAAGTTTCTCCTAGGAAGAACTTACTGACAGTAAGAGCTGTTCAACAGTGGAACCGACTACCTTAGAAGGTGGCGGGATCTCTTTCATTGAAGGTTTTTAAACAGAGGTTGGGTGGTTATCTGTCAGGGATCCTTTAGCTGTGATTCCTGCATTGTTGGGAGTTGTACTAGATGACCTTGGTATTCTTTCCAACTCTACAGTTCTATGACTCTAACCGTCACTTTTTGTATGCAATTTTGCTCAATATACCAATTTTTGCTCATTATCCCCAATGTGTTGCGTTTTTGTATTACATTTTCACTAATGTATTGCATTTCTATGTACAATTTGCCCTACAGTGTATGCATTTTTGTGTACATTACTAGGCTGGAGAACTGCATTGCAAAATGTGGAAAAGTGAAGCTTTCAAAGGGTGGCTGCAGTTTGGTCTGTGTATTGTTTTGGAAAGTGCAAAGTAGGTGGGTGAGGGCAGGCAGGTTGGGGGGGCATTGCCCCATTTGCCCCAATGGGCTGGCCTCCACTGGACATGCTGGGCACTTAAATAGATGTGAAGATCGATCAGGTTGCCTCCTTTTCTAGTAAAAGAATTGATTGATTGGCCTACAAAGAAGGCATGGAAGAAACAGATAAGAGTCTCTTTTTGTGCAGACAGGAGAGGTTTGCTTAGCAGAAGACAAATGACTTTGCTCTCCAGACACTCCTATCATTGCACCATTTGTTGCACACACACATGTAGACACCCTTCCTGATGTCATCTGGATTTCAAAATCACTACTTCACATAACCCTCTCCGTTGCACATATGGAAACTGGATTATTATTATTAATAATAATATTTAAAAAACTTAGGGTAAAAACCAATGTTCACCCTCCTCAGAGTATGTCCGTTGAAATTAATGGATATGACCAAATTAGAACTATAGAAGTGTACAGTTGGATAGGGTTCCTTCAAAAGGTAAAAACTAGGACACCCTGAAAAAACCCAGAAGACCCCAAAATTGTTGTCGAGCTTTAAGGAAACCCCCAAAGTTGTTGAGCTTTTTAAAACAAAAACACCCCCAAAGGTGATTTTCCTCTTGATTTGTTTAAGATAAAGGACATAGCACCTGTAAAACAGGCCAGTATTGCTTTACACACTGAGAGCCAGTGTGGTGTAGTGGTTAAGAGCAGTAGTCTCGTAATCTGGGGAACCAGGTTCGCGTCTCCGCTCCTCCACATGCAGCTGCTGGGTGACCTTGGGCCAGTCACACTTCTTTGAAGTCTCTCAGCCCCACTCACCTCACAGACTGTTTGTTGTGGGGGAGGAAGGGAAAAGGAGATTGTTAGCCGCTTTGAGACTCCTGAAGGGGAGTGAAAGGCGGGATATCAAATCCAAACTCTTCTTATTATTATTTATTATTACTTTTACAAAACACCTTTCCTACAAAGTGTTCAAGGTGGCACACAAAGCTCTCAACTCCCATCCTTACACCTCCACCCCCTAGAGTTGGCACACCTGGTACAAATGGACTTGAGATGAAGCCTGTGCCCTTGCAGATAATGCGGGACTCCAACTCCCAGCAGCCAGGGATGATGGTCCAGCAACATCTGGAGGGCCACAAGTTCCCCATTGCTGCATTCAATCCATCCCAAAAGGCTTCTGCCTCCAGAGCCACCACAGATTGGGTCCAGTTGTGAGCCTGCCAGGGTAACTGGTTCTGCCCTCTGGCTCCACCCCTCCTCCCCTAGACCCAGAAGGACAGAAAGAGTCAGTTCCCTTGTGAGGGGAAAGTATTGGAGGAGAGTCACATTCCCCCCCCCCAATATTTATTTACAATTATACAAGTTGAGCAAGAGAGAAGGGAGACTCCCAGGTCTCGAATAGGTCAGGGGTTGTTGACATTTTGGGGGCCAGTAGGAAGATAATGACATTTTGAGATAGTGCTGGGGGTGGGTGGCATAACACAAAATGGCGGCGGGTGTGTGTGGCATGAGAGAAAATGGCCGAAACAGGGGGCATGGCATAAAAGAAAATGGCTGCCACAATTGAAAAAGTAGAAAAAGAGACAGGAACACAAAATGGTGCAGACATTGCTCCCACCCCCAATCTTGTGCATTGTCAATTTTTGAGGGGATATTCATGGGAGCCATGGTGGGCACAGGGCTAATAGTCCCTGCAATAGGGAAAGGGCCGGAGCCCATGTGAGAAAAATTCAGATGTTGCAACCCTTCTGAACCCTCATAGACCACCAAAATGGTCAGTGTCCACCACCCTCCGGTTTGCTTCGCTAGGATGCTCTCGGCTGGGATTCAGGTCCTCCTGGCAGGTTTCGGAAGTCCAGTTGGCCAGCAGGTCACTGAAATCTGGAGGGTTGCCATTGAGTATACAGACAGGGCTGAGGGACGGCTCTTTCCAGAAGGACTGGGGCAACTTCCTGCCATGCATGGGGGCAATGTGGCCATACTTCCTCTCCAGCCTCAGCTTCCTGTTCTCAGAGGAGGCTCGCTGCTTGACGCACCTGACCAGAGCATATTCAAAGAGCTCGGCCAGAGGACCCATCTTCTCTGCATCCTCTTTGCTGCAGAAAGATCTCCACAGCTGCCTCTCCAGCTGTGCTGGGGGCTTTGAGGGGTCAGGGAGGTCACTGCTGTCGTCTTCTTCCCCAATCTGGGAAATCCTGACTAGGTCAGCATAGTACAGAACCTGCCCTGACAGCTGAGGGGAGCGGCGGTCCTCGTAGATGTTGCAGGACTCTGAGCCTTCCTCTTTGCTCTTCCGGCCAAAATATCTCTGGATGTCATCGCTGATCCGCTCAGCGAACCGAAGGAGCTGCAGCGTCACCTCTGTGTTGCTCAAGCCGGAGTCGGCAGCGCCTCTGTCTGGACTGCAACCTGCGGAATTGCTTACTGTTTCCATATCCTCCCTCTCTTCCTCTTCCTCCTCCTCCTCCTCCTCCTCTTCTTCCTCTTCCGCCTCCATTTCCTCCTCCTCCTCCTCCTCCGATAAGTCTTGGAAAATCATTTCCTGGCAGGTTGTGGTGGATAGGAACGAATTCCGGAATGCTGTGGGCAGCTTAAATTTGCTTAGGCTTTGTATTACCCCAGCGGCCATTTCCCCCGCTCCTATCTCCACGCTGTACAAGTGGTTGAATCTGGACTAAATAAACAGCGAGGAGAACAAAGCGTCAGGTGTCTGCCAAGGAGAGGGAATGCACAGTATAGCTATCTTTTGTGGTTATTGTCATCCTCTAACAGGGAACTTGAGTGCTGAGTGCTGACAGAACTGGACCCACTGAGAAATTAGGAGGAGGTATTAACATATTCCTGGAGCACCCACTAGTCATAATTAGTACACTGTAATTTAAAAAGGGGGGGGTCCAAAAACCAAAAACAAATCAGAACTCCCCGCCCCTCCCCGCAACAGCCCAGGGACTACTGGGTTTGCTCTGTGGCTCCCAGAAACCATAAAACAGGGGTTGGGGTAAATCTTCCAGTCTGAGGGCCACATTCCCTTCTAGGCAATCTTCTCGGGCTCCCATGCTAGTGGTGGGCAAGGCCAGAGGCAAAAGCCACAAATGTACACTCACTCATTCATTCATTCATTCATTCATTCATTTTCATTCATTCATTATATTTATGTCCCACCATTTCTCCCCACGGAGCTCCAGGCAGCGTACATGCCTCTCTCCCTCCCTGTTTAATCTCCACAACAGCCCTGTGAGGTAGGTTAGGCTGAGAGGCAGTGACTGGCCCAAGGTCACGCAGTGAGCTTCGTGGATGAGTGGGGATTGTGAACCCTGGTTTCCAAGGTCCAACCCTAACCACTACACCACCCTAGCTAATTTCTTCATGCACTGGCAAAGTCCTTTACATCTTCCACACAAACGAGGCATTATCAGACTTCCAGGGCACATTCCAGCCAGGCAAAAGGAGCTGGTTTGAGTGTTTGTGAAACTGGGCCAGCCAGGGAGGGGTGTATTGAATTAACAGGAAATAATAATAATAATAATAATAATAATAATAATAGAAAATTGACTTCAAAGTTGCTGTTCTTTTTAATGATAAAAGGAAACGGAGGAGGAGCTTAAACTCATCTGCCAACAATGAGCATCTGGACAGCAGACCAGAGCAAGCAAATAGGCCACCTGGTCACAGTTGTCCCTTCCTTGCTAAGGTGATACCTATTCTAATTCTCTTTAAATCACCACCTTCTACCACTTATCTGCCCCTTTCACATGGGTGGGGTCCTTGGTCCCCAATGGCATCTTAGAAGTGTGGAACTTATTCCAAACTGACTGTTTTACTTCAAACTGCATGTAGGGTGTATGCCGTTTTTATTTTAAACTCCCCCACATCAAAAGCTCCATGCATGCAGAAAGCTCACCTGTTAGGGAAAACAATAGACGAAGGACAGGGAACTTGCAGTCCTTGCTGCTGCACTCGCCTCACCCCGAGCCAGCACGGCCAATGGTTGCGATGTGAGCAGTTGTAATCCAATAATACTGGAAGTTTTCGTCCCTGAGCGACCCTTTCCCCCTGGTCTGCTACTGTGCTCCATGCAGGGAGCTTTAGATGCAGGAGAGCTTTCGAAAATAGGACATCATCTGTACACACTCTAGACAACAGGTATGTGTGGTTAAGTGGGATCAGCTCAGAATTCTACCATTATGCTTAATGTCCTCATTCTAATGCCTGGCTTATGTGCTCCAAAATAAGAACATAGGACAAGCTTGCTGGATCAGGCCAGTTACCCGTCTAGTCCAATATCCTGTTCTCACAGTGACCACCCAAATACCCTCAAGCAACACTATCCCCTCCTGTGGTTTCCTGCAACTGGTATTCAGAAGCATCGCTGCCTCCATCCATGGAGGCAGAACATAGTCGTCATAGAATCATAGAATCATATATTAATTGACAGCCTCCAGAAATTGGTGGCCTTCACTGCCTCCTGGGGGGGGGTCCCTTATTTATTTATTTATTTATTTATTACCCTGCCCTCCCCGGCCAAGACTGGGCTCAGGGTGGCTAACATCAGGTATAAAAACAATTGATTAAAATTCAACTTAAAAACAAGATTAAAATGCTACTTAAAATGCAGCCTCATTTCAGTGGAAGCCCAGATCAAAAACTGTTTGGGGGGAGAAAATGTCAAATCTTCACCAAGGCCAACTATCCAGACTGGTCCTACGTGGGCCAGAAAAGCCAGGGAAGTCCCCAAATAGGGGTTCCATCACAGAAGGAAAAGGAAAGAAGGGGAGCGGATCAGGCTGGTTCCAAGCCAAAGGCCAGGTGGAACAACTTCTGTCTTCCAGGCCCTGTGGACTAGGACAGGGGGAAACCAGGTTCAAATCCCTGTCTAGCCATGAAGCTTGGTGGGTAACCTTGAGGCAATTGATATTTATTGGGCTAGCCTACCCCACAGGGTTGTGGTGAGGATAAAATCCAGGTGGGAAGAGGGTATTACCGGGTATGTGCCTTGAGCTTCTCGGATAAAAGACAGGCCACAGGTGTAATAAGTTGCAAAACGGTCTCTTTCTTGTGCATTTGCAGACCAGGTACACAGATGGCTTCATAGTTTGGGGCAGTTGAAAAGGGGACGTAGGAAGCCACTTTATATTAAATCGCACAGTTGGTCCATCTAGCCCAGTAATGGCTACACTGACCAGCAGCAGCTCTCCAGCGATTCAGGGAGGGGTCTCCCCCCGCCTTACCTGGAGATGCTGGAAACTGAATCTGCCACTGAGCTACTGCTGTTTCCCCAAACACGGAGAGCTGTCTTATACTGAAACTGAGTCAAATCACTGGTCCATCTATCTCAGTTGTGTCTACACTGATCGGCAGCAGCTCTCCAGAGTTTCGGGTTTTCTTAGCCCTACCTGGGACCTTCTGCATGCAAAGCAGATGCCCTACCACTGACTTACAGCTCTTCCTTAAAGCTTAGGAAGTTTCCTTATACTAAATCAGACCATCTAACCCTGTATGGCCTTACACTGGCTGGCAGCAGCAGCAGATCTCTAGTGTTTCAGAGAGGAAGTCTTTCCCCCAGCCCTACCTGGAGATACTGGGGACTGGACCTGGGACCTACACGCAAAGCAAGTGCTTTACCCCTGAGCAACAGCCATTCCCCTTGCAAGGGCTTCTTTCCCCAAGTCTCTCCACTTACCTGTCCACTGCAGCTCAGCCCCCTACTTCTCCTCTGCCAACTCTCAGCCCTTCCACCTGGGGCTGAAGTATTTATAGTGGCACTGCGAAACTGGTGACTAGCAAATATTTGGCGGCTGTATTGTAATCGTAGACTCGGTAAACAAAACTCTGGTTTGCTTTAATGCCCGGCAACCGGAGAACACTGTAGACAAGGAGCCTGGGAGGACGGGGAGATAGGGCTCACCTTAATGGTTGACTTCCTGGGGGATTTTCGAGTGTTATTCCTGCCGGTCCCCCTATTAGGTCTGCTGCCACAGCTGCCAAACCTCACCGCCCCCCCCCCCCCCAGCGCACATTGACATAGGACTTCTTATCTCCAGTGTTGATTTGGAGACGAAATCGAGCCTCGTCAAATAGGCATAAAATTAAATTTCATGGTATTTTGACTCCAGGAGTAGGCATCATCTCCAGAAGCAAGTAACGCTTATCCGACAACGCCTGTGCAAATAGTAAGCCAGAAGAGGAAGGTAACTAACTGGCGACCGGGGCAAATCGGTCAGATTCATTTTTCTGAGCTTAGGTTGATTTCCACATCAGTTTGAATCCCTATTGGCATTCCTTGAAGACCTGCCTACAGTATTTAGGCAAGCTTTCCCCTGAGCTTGAACTTCCTGACCCAACAACTGTTTCTGCTGCTCTTTTAACGGCTTGAAGTATTGTGCTTTCCAATGGGCTTCTTTTATCGTATACAGTGGTACCTCAGGTTACATACACTTCAGGTTACATACGCTTCAGGTTACAGACTCTGCTAACTCAGAAATAGTACCTTGGGTTAAGAACTTTGCTTCAGGATGAGAACAGAAATTGTGCTCTGGTGGTGCGGCAGCAGCAGGAGGCCCCATTAGCTAAAGTGGTGTTTCAGGTTAAGAACAATTTCAGGTTAAGAACGGACCTCCGGAACGAATTAAGTACTTAACCCGAGGTACCACTGTAGTTCTAATTATGGGTTTTTGAAAATAATAATAATAATAATAATAATAATAATATTTTTTATTTATATCCCGCCCTCCCCAGCCAGAGCCAGGCTCAGGGCGGCTAACAACAAACAAATAATCAAACAATCAAATAATCCAACATTCTAAAACATTTCATTATAAAAATTAATTAAAATCAAATTAATGGCAACCGTTAAGCAAAGTTCTGTGCAGGTTGCCAGAGGAGGGAGTCAGGCTGGGCCCTGACCAAAGGCCTGGTGGAACAACTCTGTCTTGCAGGCCTTGCGGAAAGATGTCAGGTCCCGCAGGGCCCTAGTCTCTTGGGACAGAGCGTTCCACCAGATTGGAGCCGCAGCCGAGAAAGCCCTGGCTCTAGTTGAGGCCAGCCTAACCTCTCTGAGGCCTGGGACCTTCAGGATGTTTTTATTTGCAGACCGTAGGTTCCTCTGTGGGGCATACCAGGAGAGGCGGTCCCGTAGGTACGAGGGTCCTAGGCCGTATAGGGCTTTAAAGGTTAAAACCAGCACCTTAAACCTGATCCTGTACTCCACCGGGAGCCAGTGCAGCTGGTATAGTACCGGATGAATGTGATCTCGCAGCGAAGACCCCATAAGGAGTCTCGCCGCGGCATTCTGCACCCGCTGGAGTTTCTGGATCAGTCTCAAGGGCAGCCCCACGTAGAGCGAGTTACAATAATCCAGTCTGGAGGTGACCGTCGCGTGGATCACAGTGGCTAGGTCAGGGCGAGAGAGATAAGGGGCCAACTGCTTGGCTTGGCGGAGATGAAAAAATGCCGCCTTTGTTATAGCTGTAATCTGCGCCTCCATAGAGAGGGAGGTATCGAAGATTACACCCAAACTCTTAACGGACGGTGCTGGCACTAATTGCACCCCCGCAAGAGATGGGAGTTGCCCCCAATCCCATATCGTCCCGTCCCAGCCAGAGGACCTCTGTCTTCGAAGGATTTAACTTCAACCGGCTTCCACGTAACCATCCAGCCACAGCTTCCAAACATCTGGTCAGTGTGTCTGGGGCCGAGTCAGGATGGCCATCCATCAACAGATAGAGTTGGGTGTCATCGGCATACTGATGGCAACCCAGCCCAAAACTCCGGACAAGCTGGGCGAGGCGCATAAAGATGTTAAAGCATCGGGAGAGAGCACCTGAGGCCTCCACACACCAAGGGTGGCGGATGACAATTCCCCCAGCGCCACCCTCTGTCCCCGACCGGAGAACGCGCAGCCATTGGACTCCTGGATCCCCACTCGGCAGGCGGTGGTCCAGGTTCGTGATCAACCATGTCGGCTGCTGACAGGTCTAAGCAGCACCGCCCGCGATCAGCTGCTAGATCATCTGTTAGGGCGACCAGAGCCGTCTCGGTCCATGACCAGCGGCCAGACTGAATGGATCAAGCCGATGTTTCATCCAGAAACCTACCAGCTGTTCAGCACCGCTCACCTACCCAGAATGAAGATTGAACGGTATGGATCAAGATGTTGGGCCCGCCTGAAATATCAGGCAATGATATATCCCAGGCCTGGCACGCCACCAAACGGGCAGTGGGCTTCAGCGGAGTCTGTCCAATATCCAAAGGTCAATACAAAAATTTAAAAATTGTTTTCTTTGAATTTTTTTTATTGGGCACTTTGTATGGACTTCATAGCTGGTTTCATACTTGTAAAATATAAATAAAATAATAATTATAGTTACCATTAAGCCAATAGTTGTAACTATACATACCTGTACCTTCTTTTTCATGGTTTGGGGTGCATTTTCTTATTTATTGATGAGGCCTAAATGCCCTCCCTCCAGTCAGCACCTCTCCTACCACCCCTCAGTTGCAAGGCTATTCTGCAGCAAACACCTCCTAAGGGCTTCATAAATCAAATTATTACGTTGCTTCCTGTGATTTACCATACAAATTGGTGCCCATAAATCAATTAGAACGGGAGGTGAGGCAGGCTGTCGAAGCCATTATCTTCAACCCATTAGGGATGGGCTTCATTAGGGTGAAGAAGAGGCCAGGGCTCCTTTAAGAAACAAAAACAGTGGTACCTCGGGTTAAGTACTTAATTCGTTCCGGAGCTCCGTACTTAACCTGAAACTGTTCTTAATCTGAAGCACCACTTTAGCTAATGGGGCCTCCTGCTGCCGCTGCACCGTCGGAGCACGATTTCTGTTCTCATCCTGAAACAAAGTTCTTAACCTGAAGCACTATTTCTGGGTTAGCGGAGTCTGTAACCTGAAGCGTATGTAACCCGAGGTACCACTGTACTCCTTTTCTAACAGCAAAATGTCTGGGGCTACTCCTGGCTGTAGGTGGCCTCAGGGCTGCCTGGTGGGCAAAATATATAAACCCACAGAAGCACTCCTTACACTGATCTGCAGACCCTTCTAAGCCCAGGGTTCCCAGACTGTGGTTTGTGGATCATTAGTGGCACACACACTTCATTCAGAGGGTCTGCTGCATGTTCGCATTAGAAATACACATTGGTTTGTCACTGTATCTTTTATTGCTTTTTTTATTGCCGAGTTAAACTGTGGAACTCACTCCCACAGGAGGCAGGATGGCTTTAAAAGACGATTAGACAAATTCATGCAGGAGAGGGCTATCAATGGCTAGAGCTGTGATGGCTATGGGCTGCTTCCACAGCTGGAGGCGGTGATGCTTCTGTGTACTAGTTGCTGGAAGCCACGGGAGAAGAAAGGGCTCTGGTTTCGAATCCTGCTTGCTGGTTTCCCACAGGCATCCGGTTGGCCACTGTGAGAGCAGGATGCTGAACCAGATGGACCACTGGCCTGATCCAGCAGACACTTATCTTGAGTTTTATTGTATTACAGATCGGAACTCTATGGAACGCAAACTGCAACACCACAAAAGAAGCAAATTCAAAAATAGAGTTAAAGAGCATACATCAACTACACCTTAAAATCGCTACAACAGTATTATGAGTTTGTGGGTACCAGACTTCTAATCTCTGAACTCAGCAAGTGTTAAAAGCTATTTGAGCCTCCTGGGCGATGGGCTATTAAGAGAACAGAGGAAAGGGGGCTCTGTGTCAGATGCCAGATGGGTGGGACCCCTCCTCCAGCTCTCAAGATAGTTAGAAGGAAAAGCCTGAGTTTGAGAGCAGAGTTACGTGAGCTAGAAGATGGAGGCAAAAGCTGTAGGCTTCTAGGAGGCATACAATTTGGACAAGAAAATTGGCTTCCAGGTGGAAAAATCAAAATTAGAAACAGAACTGTTAGAACCCAAAACTAAGATTTTGTCAAAGATGTATAACTTGCTGTTGAAATGGAATACTCAGGATGAAACGGTGAAATCTGCTATGATTAAATGGGCACAAGATGTTGGACATAACATAATGATGGCTGACTGGGAACAGTTATGGACCACAGGTATGAAATTCACGGCATGTAATGCCTTAAGAGAGAATATAATGAAAATGATATACAGGTGGTACATGACCCCAGTCAAGCTTGCAAAAATCTATCACTTGCCCGATAATAATTGTTGGAAATGTAAAGAAACTGAAGGTACATTCTTTCACCTTTGGTGGACATGCCCAAGGATTAAGGCTTTCTGGGAGATGATCTATAATGAAATGAAAAAGGTATATAAATATACCTTCTTGAAGAAACCAGAGGCCTTTCTCCTGGGCATGGTCGGCCAATTGGTGCCAAAGAAGGACAGAACTTTTTTTATGTATGCCACAACAGCAGCAAGAATACTTATTGCAAAGTATTGGAAGACACAAGATTTACCCACTCTGGAAGAATGGCAGATGAAGGTGATGGACTATATGGAACTGGCGGAAATGACTGGCAGAATCCGAGACCAGGGAGAAGAGTCGGTGGAAGAAGATTGGAAGAAATTTAAAGACTATTTACAGAAATACTGCAAAATTAATGAATGTTAGAATGATGTCAGAATGAAGTTAAGTGGTTTTAGCAGCAATGTTATAAAGGTGTATGTAAAAATGGATTGTTAACAGGTGAGAATCCAAAGTTATAATATATTAAGTTAAAGGATTAAGATAAAAACAAAGAGGGAAAGAAATTGCTGAATTAACTAACTGAATTGGAATACAAAAAAGGGAGGTGTGAGGAGGTCAGAGACGCAAGGAAATGAAATGTAAGGTATGGAAAGAAAGATTGATGTGTTTTTTAAGTGTTTTCTATCTATTTTCTGTATTTTGTATTTTTTTTTTTTTATTTCTTTTTCCTTTTCTTTTCTTTTTATCTATGTAATTTTTTCTTTGAAACTTTAATAAATATCATTTAAAAAAAAAAAAAAGCTGCAGGCTTCTAAGGCAGTGAGAGATAACTTTGGCTGATTTGCGTTTGAATCCAAAGCTGTAGCTATGGGAGAAGCAGGACCCCTTTGGGATGCTGGCACCATGAAGCCCTCCATCGCAGGCTCAGGTTGTGTATATGTGTAAATGAACCATATATCCTAAAGATACCACAGTCTCCACTGTGCCTCATTTCCAAAAGGAAACACGGACCCCTGGAATTTTGCACCGCTCAGAGATTGGGGTGGCATGCAACAGCAGGTAGGGAAATAATGAAAGCCAAGACCCTCTGCAATGGTCAAGTGGTCCGGAGGGCAGAATTTGGGGGCCACTGCTTTATACAGTTTGTGTCTTGCAAAGCCACACTCTTATTATGGATTGATTGATTGATTGTTCATCATCACTGTCTTCATGTTTGTTTGTTTGTTTGTTTGTTTGTTTGTTTGTTTGTTTGTTTGTTTACAGACACTGCTCCCACCCTGGAATCTGAACCCTAACTGCAGGGTATAAGAAGGTGCAGCATTTTAAAATCCAGGGGTTCTTTTGCTGCACAGACCGGATGGTGGCTCCCCCTACCATCTCTCTTCCCTTGCTGGTCCCTTGTGCCTGGAACTTGTGCCTTTCGCAAGTGCCCTTTGCACGAGCGACGTGCAAGGACCCAGACCCACATGGGAGCACTTAGACTTCTCCAAACATTCGTGCTGGCAGCCCTCCTGCCTCAATAGCCACTATCTAGCCCATTTGCTGGCTTGACAAACATGTTTAGATACACAGACAGATCTGAGCGGCAACTGATAAGCCAAGCCAGTCATTACCCCTTCAATATGCTCCTCTGACGTCACTGTGGCTGCGTCCTCCTCCTCCCCCTCTTAGGACAAATGTGGAGAGAACTACAGCTAGCTTTGGGACACTTGGGTGGGGTGTATGGTAGGGACATAATTGCATCCTGCGTCCATCACCTGAAGCAGCTGCCTTATGTGACTTCATGGCAGGGCTGTACAGTGGTACTTCGGGTTAAGTACATAATTCGTTCTGGAGGTCCATTCTTAACCTGAAACTGTTCTTAACCTGAAGCACCACGTTAGCTAATGGAGCCTCCTGCTGCTGCTGCGCCTCCAGAGCACGATTTCTGTTCTTATCCTGAAGCAAAGTTCTGGGTTAGCGGAGTCTGTAACCTGAAGCATATGTAACCTGAAGCGTATGTAACCTGAGATACCACTGTACTGGACACCTTGCTCCATTCACTTGTATGGGACGTAGAAAAAGGCCCGCAATTGAGAAAACCTGGTTAGGGACCGTGCGAGAGACAGACAGACAGAGAGACAGACAAGCAGGCAGGCAGGCAGGCAGGCAGGCAGGCAGGCAGGCAGGCAGAGAGAAAGACATAATTGCCCCTCATCTGAAGCAGAATGCACACCATACTTTAAACCACATTTAAAGGACATGGCTCCCTCCTAGGAGAATCCTGGGAGGTGCAGATTATCTCTCCAAAGAACTACAGTTCCCAGCACCCTTAAAAAACTGTGCTTAGATTCCAGTGCCTCAAGAAGACTAGGATAATAATAAAATCATATGTGGTGGGAATGTAAAGAAATTTAAAAATTTTGGGAAATGATATATAATGAATTGAAGAAAATGTTTAAAATGACATTTGTAAAAAAAACAAAAACCAGAAGCATTTTTGTTAGGGATTGTAGGACAAGACCTGCCAGGGGAAAAAAGAATTTATTTATGTATGCAACAACAGTGGCAAGAGTCTTGATAGCACAAGGATGGAAGAATGAGGAAACCCCGACAAAAGAACAGTGGCAAGAGAAATTGATGAACTATGCAGAAATGGCTAAATTGACATACAAACTGAGAGATAAAGACAACTGTGACTTCAAAGAAGAATGGGAACTTTTCACATATTATTTAAAAAGACAACAAAACGAACTGGACTCCTTGGCAGGTTTTGAATAAACATACACAAATCTTTTGATTGTTAATGTAGTGGATAGATAATATAAGGATTTATACAATTTTGCAGTATGCAGAGAGCAATATGAGTTGAGAAATCGGAGAGAGGAGCTGAGGGAAGTCTTGGGGGGGAGAGAGGGAGGGTTTGATGGGGAGGTGTGGGGGGGGAATGATGAATATGAGATGTTTTGATATGTTGTTATATTGAAATTGTTAATATTTTTTTTAAAAAAAAGAGGACTAGGATGATGGGGGATCATGCTCCCCTTTTTGAAAGGGCACCCACCTTCACCATCTTGGGTTTTCACCGCCCTTGGGGAGCTGTAGTCCCGCTCTTGGTGGGTGGGTTGGCTGGCAAACGGCAAAGGGGAAGGTGGCAAGAGAGGCAGCTGTGTACCCAACTCACTGAAAACAGCTTCTCTCCTTCCCCCTGTTAAGAGACAGCCACTCCGCGCCACCATTCCTCCAACTAATAAAGAGAGTTTTGACAGCGCAATATGGGGCCACAGAGCATCTGTCTGGGCATATGCTTCCGTGGCGAGGCCTCGGGTTTTCTCATTAAAAAAACCAAAACATAAACACCGTTCACCTTTCTGCAAAGCCAGCTTCTGCCTTATCACAGTGACTTCTGGAAGCAGCAGCAGCCAGGGTGGCTGTGGGTCAGGGACTGAAGCTCCCTGATCCCTATAGGAGGATTCTGGGCCCTCTTCTTGGTCTCCATGCAAGAGTGGAGGAAAAATCAATAGCTCCAATATGTCAGCACTCCAAACGAGCTGCAATAATATAACACCCACCATTAACCCCACAAGCACTCCAGCACAACTCTGTCCATTAGAAGGAGCAGTAGGTGGAAAACGTTTGGCGTGCCTGTATTCACCGGGACCGTAAGAGCAAAGAGTTAGTGCGCTGGTCTCTGGGATGGGTGCCTGAGGATGTGGCGGAGCTTGCTTAAAGAATCACAGGAATCTCGGCTAAAGCATCCATGTCAGAGACCCACCCAATCTCTGCTTAAAAACCTCCATGGAAGGTGAGTCCACAAGCTACTGCAGGTGTCTGTTCCACTGTCAAACTGCTCTTACTATCAGAAAGTTCAGGATCGGATGTTTTGCTCTCCCTGTTTCCCTGAGCATTTCATGGAGATCCCTTTTACTCTGGAAAATATGGTTTGTTTCAGATCCATACCATACATTTCTGTAGAGGTAGGGCCACAGCTTAGTGGTAGAGCAACTGCTTTGCGTGCAGAAGGTCCCAGGTTCAATCCTTGGTGTCTCCAGGTAGAGCTGGGACTCCTCCCTGAATTTCTGGACAGCCACTGCCAGTCAGTGCAGGCAACACTGAGCTAGATGGACCTGTTGCCTGACTCAGCATAGGCAGCTTCCTCTGTTCCCTTATGCGCCATCCTGATCACTGACAGCTTTTGGTGGGGAACTGCTGGCGCCTCCCCACTTGCCCCTGTGTTTTGGCTGGCCCCGACCAAGCCTTTATTGTGACAGGTCCTGCCCTGTGGAACTCCCTGCCTCTAGAGGTTTGGCAGGAATTGTACCTGCCATCTCTCAGGTGTCATCTGAAAACTGTAATGCTTAGGCAGGCCTTCACAATACAATCATTTTTCTTTTTAACCCATCAGTATTTATTGAAGTTTTATTGACGTTTTTACTGTTGTTGGGTTTTTTTTAACAGATACTTTTACTGGTTTTTTATTATAATCTAGTATGTTGTAAACCACCGTGATATATTTTTATGAAAGTGTGGATTACAGGTACTAATATATATATATATATATATATATATATATATATATTTGAAAGTGCTCTTGTAGAAAAAGAAAAGTTTTTGTATATCGCTTAGTAGTGGTTTTTTTAAATTAATTGGTTAAAGAAATGCTTTTAAACAGACAAAGAAATAAAATTTCATTGCCTGTCAACAAGACATTTTAGCTGCTTGTGTAAGACAAACATGCCATTTACTGTGCAATAGAATCAATTGACATAAATCCAGTACTAAAAATGGCAACATGGAGAAATCCTTGGCAGAATATGTTGGTCCCCAGGCCATTCAAAGCCACCATAACAGTAAGATTTCAAAGGAGATAGATAGGTAGACAGACAAATGGAAGCCAACGGAGGATTGCACTTCTGTTTGGTGAAGCGGGCTCTCTAGACCGCAAAAGCTCGTGCTGTAATAAATCTCCAAGGTGCTGCATGGAAGCTTGTGCCATCCTTAGTCTTTAAGATACTACAAGTCACTCTGTTCTTTCTTCTGTTCATTTTTCTTTTGCAGAAAGAGGCTGTTGACGTGTCCAGAATAGAATATGGGCGTCAATGCCCTCTGCTGTCTAGAAGCAGAGATGCACATCCTGGATAACTGTCACCTGTGCTGTCTGAGATGCTGCTACAGCTTGATGCAGTTCATCAAGGGGGGTGGAGTGGTGGGGAGAGAAGGGGAATGAAGCATGCCCCAAATTCAATTACAATCTTTTAAAATACTCACAAGGAGAAGGTTTGGCACATCTGGAAGCTTTTTGCTACCTGCGTTCACAAGTAGGGAGACCACTTTTGCATTAAAGAGAAACTAGAAAACGCTTCATCAAAAAAGAGGATGCCGATTTGCAAGTGCATGTCTTGATTTACCATATATGTACAGATGCATCTTTAGGTACAATTACTATAGAGGCAATGTAACTAGATATACAATATACCTTGCCATAGTGGGGACCCTATAGCCACCCATGAGACCACAGTGCTTATTCAGTCAGTTGCCCAGGAGCTTGCAAATTCAAGATGCCTCCTGCTCTCCCTTCAAGTGGTTCTTTTATCTTATTCATAGAGGATGCCTTCAAGTAGACCAGCAGTCCTTTTCAGACCCTGGCTCACACTTAATCCAAACATGCATTGCAGGATCCATTTATCTCTCTATTGCCTTGTGCTGTATGGTGTACTGACCCACCAGAGGGTTGTCCTCCGATTCCCCCTTCAAATAAAGTGACTGTCTTCTGTTAAGTAGGAGACGTGTTCTGTTACAGAGAGGAGGTGGGCAGGGGAAGTCCTGGTAAGATGTCCAGGCTGAAATGAAACCCCGGCAGAATGAATGCATGATAGTCTTGTAAGCCGCTAAAAGTATCCGTGCTAGTCACATAAAAGACAACGCTATAGATCGTGCGGGGGATTAATTTGATTTATTGCAAATGGTTATTTCTGGATCTTTCTTAATATATTTTATTGGACTTGCTGGTTCTGTAACTAGATTTGCAATTGCTTTTAGTCAAATACAATAAATGATTGATTGATTGTCTTACACAGGGACTTTCCTTCAAGTCGACAAGGTGCAACGAGGCCTTGTGTTCAAATATCGGAGTGCACTGCCCTGCATGTTTAAAATGAACATTATTTATTTTACTCGGACCAGGTTTGTATGCAGGTTAATCATAAAAAAATATCTAAGCAGTCTGCACAAAACAGTCCTTTGGGAAGAAGGCCAGGATATAAATTTTAAAAATAAATACACACAAATATAAATATAACATGTTCATATTAAAAATACCAACAAAAATCGAAAACACTGAAGATATAAACAAAACCAACGAGCTGGCGGCGAGTCCAGGCTCCGCTCAGAACCGAACTGCAGCAACCAGCGTGCACTGCGGGCTCCGGCTCGGCTCGGGACTACAACCCCCAGAGTGCCTTTCGCGCTGGCGGTTGGAGGAGGAAAGCGAATAAGACGGCGGCCGCCTCCGCCTCCCCCTTCCCCCACTTCCCATCGTGCCCTGCGCAGGCTGTAGCGAGTGAGAGGCCGCGCTAGGGTCGGTCTCCGCGGCCTGGGCTCGCGCCGTTGTTCCACCCCCCCACCCCGCCGCGCTCCCCTGGTTTCCAAGGAGACGCCAACCCCCCCTTCCCCTCCGCCGCGCTCTCCGCTCGCCTCGTAGCTGCCGCCGCCGCCGCCATGTCGGCCCAGGCCCAGATGCGGGCGCTGCTCGACCAGCTGATGGGCACGGCCCGGGACGGTGAGTAGGGGCGGGCGAGGCGGGGGCCTGCAGGAAGGAAGGAAGCGAGCGAGCGAGCGCCTCGGGCCTGGCGCGGACAGAGCCCTTGGGGGCCCCTGCAGTGGCGGGGCGCCGCCGTGGCTGAGGAGGCGACCCATCTCTCGCCGCCGCAGCCGCCTCCGGTGTCCATCGGCGAGGCCTCGCCTCAGAGGCCCACCCACAGCAGGGCCTCGCTTCCCCTGCAAACTGAGGCTTTCCATCCCCTGAAAGAGGCAGCGGCTCTTTCTCTTCTTAATAAATCCATAAGGTTTGAGGGGTTCCGTTTCTGGGAGGCCAGGGGTGAGTGAGCGCTTAGCATATGCTCAGAAACGCTCTTGCCCGACCGCCCCCCCCCAATCGCCTTGCGCGTTTTATTTCACACGTCCTTGGCTTTGCGTTGAACCCTGCTAGGAAAAGCCCCTCCCTGCTCATATTTGTAAGAGAGGGGCTTTGGGATTATCCTAGGATTATATGATAAGGGGATAAGAAGGACGTTTTTGGCTGATGGGCATCTAAAATGAGGAGCAACTTTGAATTGCTTCTTTCAGTTAGCCAGGATAGGTAAGTGGAGCTTCCAAGTCCAGCAGAAGTCTACCTCTTAATACCAGAAGTGCTTGTGTATGTTTTAGGGTGGGGTGAGGGCTCCCTGCCTTTGTGGCCTCCTTGTAGGTTTGCCAAGAGGCACTTTGGAAACTGGATGTTTGAAGGAGTAGATGGAGCATTGGCCTGAGCCAATGTTACTGCTGAGCCATATGGAGAGTTTATAGCAAAAGACAGCTGGGTGCTAGCTGGCCGGAAGTCAAACCTGTCAGGCCAGTTTAAAGTTTGGCTGTGTGGCAAGTTGGCCAGTGTAGTGATTGTTGGTCATGGCAATGTGGGTGGTGAGAGTCACCAAGCACAGCGCTTGGACGAAGGTGCCTAAGCAGGGTAGCCGAGTCCCCAGCACCTGCATTATCATGCCTTCAAGGTGTGCCAGTCCAAATGCCCACCAAAGCTGGTGGCGTAGTTCTTGACGTAACATCTAATTCCTGGAAACCTCTGCTCAGTAGCCTAAAACACTGCTACAGATGGTATAAGGGAAACAATCAGGTGTTTTAGAGTAACTTAGGATCTAGTGTGTTCAGTACATTTCGAGGGCACTCTTGGAAAGCATTGGCAAGGAATACATATTACATTAAATCCCATAACTCGGACACTTAAAGCTGCCTGAAACATAAGGCTTTAAATGCCAGATTTGTTGGTTTTAGCTCTGTATCATGAGCTGAAAGCCTGACTTTTTCTGGTCTTATGTGGTGAGGCTTTTCTTTTGTAGACTCGCCTGTAGAGGTAATGCTTCGTGAATAAAAGCACGAAGGTAGGCCTGTTCTGTATGGAAACGGGACTTTAGTGCTAGCCCCAGGACATCCCCTTGAAAAGCTGTGCATTCCTGTCAAGGTTTGTATCTGCTTCCTTACTTGAATCGGCAACTATCTGGCACATTTGCAGAACTCTGCAGATAACTTTTTGCACTTTGTTTCGTAAATGAATAAGTGCTCGTTCTTTCTTTGTGTATTTGAGTTGCTTTTGAATTGCTTCCCATAATTTTATTTCATACAAACTGAACAATTGTGGCCCCTCTATTTTATTTATAAAGGTTCAGTGTATCTTTGCCTGCCTACATCAATCTGCAAGGGAGTTGCAGAAAAGCCTCATGTTCATCGAGCCGTGAGTCACAACCAATTTTTAAAGCTGTTATAACAAAAAAAGTGTTTGCTGCTTTTTTCACAAGTAACTTTAAAAGTGTAGCTTAGAAAAGAAAGGAAAAAAGGGAAAAAATACATTTTTAGTAGACACAACATTAATCCTGGATGCTTGCGAATCCTGATCTATAGTCATACACAGACTAGCTTTTAAAAAACAATTGTCACATACCATTACCACTTTGCCTTTACTTTTTATGTATCATTCCCCTGACTTCCTTACTGCAGGTGTGGGCAAGAAAACTTTTCCTTTAAAACTTTTCAACAGCGGGCATAAAAATTCTGCAGCTGAGGTCTTGAAGAAGGCAGATGGGTATAGTATATGTTGGAGCTCGCAGTGTGTATTAACTAACTTCCCTTTTTTTTGTTGGTTTTGCTTGTTTTTAAGTGGCTCCCAAATGTAAAAATGTTTTCTGAGGGCGGGGAAGGGGAGGGACAAAACAAATTATACTCTTCAGGTCAACACCAAAATACGTCTGGTGGCCCTGTGGCACCTCATTGCTTGTTAACAGTACAAGGCAGCATCATTAACTGAAAAGATAGTGAATTAATAAATGGCTGCTTATTTAAATTCCCAGGTGTTGATCTGTTTTGTTCATGGTGTACAGAGAGCACAGGTTTTGATATCTCCAGACCCTTCTCCATGCAGAAGAAAATTCTTTGTGGTCTGGATCCTTGGCTGACTCTACTGTCATTTTACACAGATGTCTGGCTACGGGCATTCTTGTGGTCAGCACCATTCTTAGTAAGTGGTGCATGTGACATTAAATGCTATACTTGCTTCGGTTCTCGGCTGTGAAAGAAAAATGAATATTCTGCGACTTAATGCCTTTGTAGTTCTTCAAGCAGTTCTGGGGTTCGTGAAGTATTTTTATCTGCATAATGAGGTGAAATAGAAACTTACCACAGTTTACCTTGCTTAGCATTTTAAATTTTTTTTTTTCATATTTATAATCAAACATGAATTTCAGGAGATGAAACGAGGCAAAGGGTGAAGTTCACAGATGAACGAGTCTGCAAGAGCCACCTTCTGGATTGTTGCCCTCATGATATTTTAGCAGGAACGGTAAGTACCCTTTCTGATGGTGCTACAGAATATATGGTTTAACAGTTAAATCCTGCGTGGAATCATTCTGTGTACCTATGTGTACAAACTCAAAAAACCCAAATGGTGTCAAGCTGGCAACCTCCCATTTCTCTAATAATCAGGATCATAATACAGTGGTACCTTGGGTTAAGTACTTAATTCGTTCTGGAGGTCCGTTCTTAACCTGAAGTACCACTTTAGCTAATGGGGCCTTCCCCTGCCGCTGGAGCACGATTTCTGTTCTCATCCTGAAGCAAAGTTCTTAACCCGAGGTACTATTTCTGGGTTAGTGGAGTCTGTAACCTGAAGCGTATGTAACCCGAGTTACCACTGTACAGTACTTTGGAGTACAGTGGAATTCTGTGTGACATTACTTAAACATTATGAAAAACTCTACATGCACACTTAAGTGTTCTGGTTATGAAATTGAGGTAGTTAAGTTGAGCCCTTAAACTCATCTGTTATGTCAAGTAGTTACCTGGGCAGCAGAATTCAAATATATCCAGTCAGCTGATATGAAAGGGGACATCATAAGGAAAAGCAGTAAGATGTTCTCTTAGTAATGTGTGCCCCTTTTATTTGTGACAATTTCATATAAAATGTGGATCAGCAGTAACTCAACCTTCTTTTATTCAACAAAGAGCATTAATACATATAGCAGAATATAATTCAGCCTTGTATTTGAAATGGGAGAATCTTTGAATTGGCATGTTTCAGAAGTGCATAATTGGCCCACAGTGGAGTACACCAAATGAATTTTAAATGGTTAAAAAGAATACAAAACCCTTTTAAATATGTATATTATTTTAAAGCTGTAGGTCTGTAGCTAGTGTCATTCCTACTCAGAGCAGATCCATTGAAATGAATGAACATGACTTTCATTAATTATGTATACTTTTAAGTAAAACTTAGTTAGATACAACCCATATATATTAATATCATCTGACTCAAAATGAACATGTATAAGGTAGGGTTACTTTTTTCACTTTTCCAAACCTGGCTCATGCATTCTTCTAAGCTTAACGATATTTTTGCATGAATGTAAAGATCTCAGGTTGTTTTGTCTTCTTTTCCCCCTTCTCAACAGCGCATGGACCTTGGAGAGTGTACAAAAATTCATGATTTGGCACTAAGAGCAGATTATGAAATCGCAAGTAAAGAGAGGGACCTGTTCTTTGAGTTGGACGTAAGTGCTTTGCATTTTTTTCTGGTAATGAAATGCTGGTATCAGATTGGGCAACAGTAAGTCTGATATTCTCGCTAATCTTGTGGCATTTTCCTTTGTAAGCTTCCTGCAAAAGTTAGCAGAAGTTTTCTATACCATTCACAAAACAGTGATTTCTGAACTATGCAGAGTTACAGCTAGTGGTTGTCAGATGGAGACTTAGAACATTGCACTCTAGATTTTAATGAGCAGTTTGTTACTAGACACAAAGTGTCCAGGGTTTCTCTTCAGAGCAAAGTTGTCATGCTGGGCACTGGGTCCAAATAATCCCAATGCAACAGGCCCATAAAATTATTGCAGGATAATTTGCAGACTACGTAGTGTTTATCAACAACAATAATAATATATGCCTAAAAAAATAATGTGATATGCTGCTGTTCTGCCCGAAACAGGTGCAGTCACTGAGGCTGCACTCTAAGATCAGAGTGGAGCCCACTGGTCTCGTAATCAATACCACTGAGCTAAATCTAGTTTGTAGCTCTTTAAAGCAGTGTTTCCCAACCTTGGGTCTCCAGCTGTTTTTGGACTACTACTCCCATCAACACTAGCTAGCAAGACCAGCGGTCAGGGGTGATGGGAATTGTAGTCTGAAAACAGCTGGAAACCAAAGGTTGGGAAACACTGCTTTAAAGCAGCCTTTGTCAACCAGGTGCCCTCCAGATGATCTACAGCTCCCATCAGTCCTATCCAGTACATGCTTAACTGAGCAGAGTTGCCCTATCCTCTTTCTTCTGAGGAATCCAGCTCAATATATCCTCTGCTGTACCTAAGAATTCTATTATAAGAGCAGCGTAAATAGTATTTCAGTTATTTTAAACTTCTACCTAAAAATGTCTTTGTTGCCATTTTGCCATTCTTGGTGTTTGTTATATAAAACTAAACAAACTAGCATCTCTGCTAGGGTTTAATAATTTGATGTGCCACAACAGCATTAGGATATTGCTTTGTGCTCTGAAGAAATGGGTTTTCTAAACACACCTCTGCTTTTATCCTGAAGAAACATCTCTTATTCCCACCTGACCATCAGTTGCTTTCATCTGCCCCTTACTGTCACTATCAATTTTGATCTGAAATACCAACAAGAGGATCGTGTTCATCTTGGGGCATCTCCTCCAACAGGGAAAAGAATATTGAAGTAACGTTCTGTGCGTACACCCTTACTATATGTGTGTCAGCTTTGTTTGTTTGTGCATCTGTAGGCAATGGACCACTTGGAATCCTTCATTGCTGAGTGTGACAGAAGAACTGAACTGGCAAAGAAACGACTTGCAGAAACACAGGAAGAGATCAGTGCTGAAGTGGCTGCAAAGGTACTTCAGTTGGGCAAAATCATGTGTGGCAGCCTCCTTTCTCAAAGGCTGTATCAGCAGTTGCCATCCTATTCTCTTGTTACATGGGGCTCCCAGTCTCCTCTCATTTACTGGACCAATTATATTCATACTTGCCCAGCTTCAGCAATGCTGCATCCCCAGATGTTCCCAGACAGTTCACTTGGCATCTATGTGAGAAGCTGGTCCTACCGTAAAGGTTAAATGAAGGAGCTCTTTAAGTTGGGTGGTCCTTAGTTCAAGCTGCCTTGAAGCTCCTGTCAAGGTGTGGTATAAAGCGTAATACAATTTCCCTAGCCTTATAAATAAGCCCGCAACACTTACCAGCATGTAATAAATAAATATTACCAGCCTGATGGGGGCTGGAAAAGGAGGATCAGAGAACTGCAGCAGCATCTGCATTTCTGTGCTGCAGAGGAGGAAGTGGAGGCTGCAGTCCTTTAGCAGCTGCCTTGGTTTCTTTGCTAGGCTTTGTTCTGTCCCTCCCCCACCAGCCCTTAGGTTTTTTAACTGCCCTTCACTGTAAGATCACTGTAAATTGATGTGGGTTACATCAATTTAAAATGCAGTATGATAAACATTTTAAAACACTGGCATCACAAGGATGGGGTGGGTCTTGAAAATTCAAAGGTCAGATAAAGAAGGCTGGTGCTGCAATGATATTGCAATCACAAATTCACTATCAGCCCCTGGGATAGAGTTAGCTTACCTTAAAAGATTACTTGCATGAGGCATTTGCCTTCCAAGCACTTTATAAATTAATAAACAATTAAATAAGCGGTTCATTTTTGTTTCAGTATGTGTTCTGCTTTTCTACCAAAAGGCACTCAAGGTAGCTTGAAATGCATTGCAAAGCCAAAGGAAACAGGCTTCAAGTCACTTTACTGCATTAGAAGGGAATACCCCATTCCCCATTTTCCCTTGAATCTTTCACACAAGAACTTTTCCCTTAGACCAGTGATGGCCAAACTTGGTCCTGCAGGTGTTTTGGGACTACAACTCCCATCATCCCTAGCTAACAGGACCAGTGGTCAGGGATGATGGGAATTGTAGTCCCCAAACAGCTGGAGGGGCCATTACATTCCTTGTGTGCCCAGACCAAAGTCAGACGCCAAAGATGTAATGTATTCCCTTGATCACTAAACACCATCTCTCCTCTTCAGGCAGAAAAGGTGCATGAACTAAATGAAGACATTGGCAAACTTCTGGCTAAAGCCGAGCAGCTGGGGGCTGAAGGGAATGTGGATGAATCTCAGAAGATACTGATGGAAGTCGAAAAAGTCCGAGCAAAAAAGAAAGAAGCAGAGGTTTGCTTTGCTGTCTTATTGATAATGTTTTATACAAAAGTTACAATTCGTTTTTTATTTAGTCTGCTCTAGCTGCAAAAATGCGCCATACTAAAGCAAAATGTGGAGTTGTCTCAAAGCAAAACTAGGTGAGGAAATACTGATGACCAATTACTGTCTTCCTTGCTTTAAATGACAGCTTCTGAGTATTCCCGAACAGTTCCTCGTGACTTCAGATGTAAATCCTTCTATGTAAAGATGTGTTAGCATCCTAACACAGTATGTGCAGGATTAACTGAGCTGTAGGTCAGATAGTGGCTATTATTTCTAGTATATTGGGGTAGGTAAAAAAGTAAAAGTAAGGGACCCCTGACAGTTAAGTCCAGTCGCGAACAACTCTGTGGTTGCGGCGTTCATCTCGCTTTACTGGCCAAGGGAGCCGACGTTTGTCCCCAGACAGTTTTTCCGGGTAATGTGGCCAGCATGACTAAGCCGCTTCTGGCGAAACCAGAGCAGCGCACGGAAACGCCGTTTACCTTCCTGCCGGAGCCGTACCTATTTATCTGCTTTCACTTTGACATGCTTTTGAACTGCTAGGTTGAAAGGAGCTGGGACTGAGCAACAGGAGCTCACCCCTTCGCGGGGATTCGAACCGCCGACCTTCCGATCGGCAAGCCCTAGGCTCAGTGGTTTGGACCACAGCGCCACCCGCGTCCCTAGGGTAGGAGTACAGTGTTAATAAGCTGGGAGAAATTGTTTAGGGGGAGAGATGAAAGCATAAGAGATAAACACTATGGAGGTATTGATACTTAGCTGTCTGATCTTCCATAGGAGGAATACCGTAATTCTATGCCTGCATCCAGTTTCCAGCAACAGAAGCTGCGTGTCTGTGAGGTCTGCTCTGCATACCTTGGTCTCCATGATAACGATCGCCGACTTGCTGATCACTTTGGAGGCAAATTGCACTTGGGCTTCATTCAGATTCGTGAGAAGCTGGACCAGTTGCGGGTGAGAATTCTGGTGTGGGGCAGCTGCTTTGGATGCAGAAGGCCACGGTTCAATCTCTGGTGTACAGATGCCCTGAGGAGGGATTGTAGCCCTGCTTCATGGCTCCTGTGAAATGTGGTTAAATGAGCAATATGCTCTTGGAGCATTGTCCGTCTCGTGCTCAAGACATTGAAGAACTAGCCTGGTAGAGGATGAATTAACTTGTGGTTTTTTTGTCAGACTGGTGTTGTGGCACGCAGCCGCGTTTAACAAGGTTTGCTATCTTTATCATAGAAAACTGTGGCAGAGAAACAGGAGAAGAGGAATCAGGACCGGTTGAGACGGAGAGAAGAAAGAGAGCGAGAGGAGAGAACGGGTCAACGGTGAGTGAACTCTAGGAAGTATTTGCAGTGGAAGGTTGTGGTGCTGTGGCTTAAGGGTGCTTGTGCTGCTGTGTGAAGATCTCAAAGAAATGGTGTGGCAAAGAGCAGGCATTAGTCACACTTGGATTGTGGGCAGTGCATGGCACGTCAGGGCCATATATTCTGGTTGCTTCTCCAAGTCAGGAGAAAATGTCAGGTGTGGGCTTTGGAAGGGGGCAGAGAGGGAGAAATGGGCATGTTGCTGCTTGGGGAAAACTAGCAGGCCCTGCAGGCAAGCAGCAAATGACACAACTGTCCGAACAGCTAGGGTTTTTGCCCTGAAAAAGGTGATTAAACCTGCCTTGCTTTATCAAATAGCCACGCTATGTAATTGTTTCATAGCCGTTTTTCTGATTCAGCTTTAACATATTTATCATCCATGGCCTTTAAGTCCTGATGTTTAGAATTCTTTTCCTAAGTGTTATTTTGCTCTAAAAGAATATTTGTCCATTTGAAAGATTCCCACAACTCTGTCAATCATTAACTTACCTGAAACAAATGTTGCTTTTTGCTAGGTCTGGATCCAGAAACAGAGATCGCAGAAGGTGAGTGTTTTAAGTTGGTAATGGTGGTTCTTCATTCTGGGTAAGGTGACTGGCATTCCCTTGCAGTTCTTTCTCTTTCTGCCATTCTGTTTGAGCATTGGACCAGAAGAGGAAGAACCCCGGTGCCTTTTCCAGTTTGTAGCAATTGCTTGCTTGACCAGTCCCTACTGTGGTTTCAAGGAAGTGTATTTAGGGTGGGTAAACCACAATTATTTTAAAGGTTTAAAATACTGGATTGCTCCACTTGATAGAGACTTGCCTTAGCAAAGTCCTTGCAGCATTTTCAGTACATACTTAAAGGCCCTTTCATGCACCCATTCTTCTGTATGGATGTTAGGTTGACAGTCTCAAGATGGTGGTCTCATGTTGAGGCAAAGCCATTTAGACTCTGAGAGAAAGCCAATCCCTTTAATTTTGCCTGGATTTTTGTAGGAAACCATTGTAGCTGCTGAGACCCTGGGAGAACATGCTCCTTGTGGCTGAGAGTAAAAGTGGAAGAATGACTGATACATCTTTGCCAAGAATTGCCTTGAATATACTGTAGCTGTTCAGGAGCACAAAACACCACCTTCTTCTCCACATTGTCACATCTGAAATGGAAGCTTTGCATCTTCCTCAACCAGGAAGTGCCCAGGCTCTTGGGGAAGAAGTGTATAATCTGGGCAGAGGTGATGTAAAGGTTGCCTTTTCAGCATGGTGCTGTGGAGGAACTGGAAACTGAGGGAGTACTAATTGTGCAGAAGAGGAAGAAAATGTTCCTGTTCTGCAGTAATGAAATATAAAAGAGCTCAACTTAATCCAGGTAGTAGCTTGCTTGAACTAAATGCACAAAGGATTAATCCACATGTATTAAGTCATCAAGGGATGTTATAGGACAGTGAGTGAAATGAAAGTACTGAATGTTATTGTGTTAGGAAGCATACAAGGTCCTAAAATTACTGGAATTAATGCTTAATCAGCGAGTCATTCTTATATAGAAGCATTTTAGCTGTTTATTAATCTTAAATGTGATTGGCAAATCAGACATTGCTAAATGTTCTGGACAGCATAAGGGGTTGAGGAAGCCTGTTCAAAATATTTTTATGCAAATCTGAAGCTATTGGTGTTCTGCGAGGTATGTCTTTTTCATTTATGCATTAAGACAAGCATATTTTTATGTAGGATGTTGCAGTCCTACAATACTGGTCAGACTTGACAGTATTAGCCCAGGTTCAATTTCTTCCCTGCCGGTCATTAAACTCATTGGGTGGCATTGAGCAAGTCACATTCTCAGCCATAACCTACCTAACAGGGTTCTTGTGAGGATAAAATGGAGGAAGAACCCTGAATGTAATAAAAACTTGAAATTGAATTTCTTTGCAAATGCAGCAGTGGGGAAATCCAGCAGCTGTTATGTCAAATTCTCTATATCTCTGGGTTTTATACTGCTTGTTCCTGGTTCTTGCAGGTCTCGCTCTCGAGAGCGGAGGCGAAGACGTTCGAGGTCCATTTCCCGTGAGAAGCGAAAGTCCCGCTCCAAGTCCCGGGAACGAGAGAGGCACAGGCGCCATCGCAGCCGTTCCGGCAGCCATAGCCGAGGCCACCGGCGGGGATCCAGAGACAGGACTTCAAAACACAAGTAGGCTTGGCTTTTGCAACCTCTTGGGGAAAGGCTTTTTGACTTGTAGTTTAGCCATGAGAAACAAGCTCAGCTGACTATTGGAGAAACAGTGAGAAAATAGGGATTGGTTCAGACTCCTTCCGAAGGCTGCCATGGGGTGGGGTTGAAGAGAGCTGGTTCACGTGATACAATAAGTAGGGAATGAAGTTGAAGGCATGTGCTGCTTTCTCCCATTGTCATCCTAGAAGGTAGGGTGTGTAGATGTTGTCCATGAGCTCCAAAAGCCATTTGGGACTCGCTGGATTTCTCGTGGACTAGACCTGCAAGGGTGACTTTGCACATCACCAGAGAAGGCTTCCCTACTTCTTTGCAACACTTGCTTCTGCTCAAAAGCATGCTAGTTCTTCTGTAAGTAGCAGAGAGAATTCTCTCAGACCCAGAATGTTTGTTTGAAATGGTAAGATCTACTGGATTTGAGACAGGCACATACATTTCTACTTGAGAGAGGCCCAAATCGCTAGCACTGATCTCTCAGGTGCTGTGTAGGTTTTGGTGGCCTGGCACACTGTGGCTGAATTGCTTTGAGGGTAAACAATAACCCAGGATTACTATTAGGGAGGTAGGCTTGATGTGAACAGGGGCAGTAACATGCTGCGTGGCCAGACGTGCTCCCAGATTTGCTATAAATGCTTCAGAATTGCTCCACCACATGGTTAACTGGATTCTACTTCTTTAAAAATACAGTGGTACCTCGGGTTAAATATTAAATTTGTTCTGGAGGTCCGTTCTTAACCTGAAACTGTTCTTAACCTGAAGCACCACTTTAGCTAATGGGGCCTCCTGCTGCTGCGCCGCCGGAGCACAATTTCTGTTCTCATCCTGAAGCAAAGTTCTTAACCTGAAGCACTATTTCTGGGTTAGCAGAGTCTGTAACCTGAAGCGTATGTAATCTGAGGTACCACTGTACTGTAGTTCTGATCCTAGGAGAAGCTTAACAGGAAGAACTTCAGTTCAGATCTACTGCATTGAAGCTTGTTAACCAAGTGGCTTCCTGACATACAGCTGTACCTAGTAACTTCCAGCTGCTAGTAATCCACAGCAGTACTGCACGTAGCCTGGGGAAACCTAGTCTCTGTTCACCATGTTCACTGGATTGATAATGTCAACAATAGATGAGCAAGTGAGAAATGAAGAGCATTTACAGTTCTCTTCTCTATGAAGGAAATGAGTATGGAAAAGTAGGTTGGCTAGAAATGGGGTATGTGGAAATTAATGACTCATGGTTGAGATACTAAATTCATTTTTTAAATCTGTCTTGAACATGAACAATAAAGAAAAGAAGTTTGGACAATTAGGAAATGAGGAAGACCCTGTAATTACTATTGCTAAAGAGCAGGTAAGGGAATGCTTCAGAAAACCCAAATGTATAATAGCCCATCTCAAAGTGTTCCCTTGGCGGGGAGGAACTGTATCAGTCATGTTTTCTGGAACAGTTAAAAATTAAAAATGAGAAGGCACAAGAAGTCTCAAAAGAAAATGAAGTGTTTTATTTCTTCCAAAATAGAAATCATACTTTGATATGTTGCCATCCCTAAAAAGTCAACATCTCAGCAATAGATACTGAAGCTTCAAGAAGATGTAAAATGATACATAAGAGACTGTGTTGGGTAAAGAGTTGAATAATTTGCGGATGTTTGGGCTAGTCCCATCTTCTGCTTTTGCATTGTTTATCATTTAGATGCCAACACTTCCAATTACTCTTAAGTTGTTTTGAGTTGCTGTGGTAAACATGTGACTAATAAATTTAATTAATAAATAATAAGCTTTATAGTGTGTTGGTGTAGCATAGAATAATAAAAGCATTGTAGGAGAACTGATATTGACGCCGGCCCCCCCCCCCCAATTCTGTTGACCAAGTCCACTCTAGAGAAACTCCCTGTAAAATAAAGCTGTTTGTGTTTGAGTTGCTGATTGTCTTTCTCAGCTTGGTAGAAGCTTAGAGCCTAATTTGTAGCTATCCTTAGTTGGTTTTTGGTATAAAGACTGAATGCTTCTGCTTCTTATCTGACAAAGTTGTCATCCACATTGCAGCTTTGAATTTTTATAAGCCGCTGTGTGTATGCAGGTCCCCCATCCCTTTAGCTGATCACTTTTGTCATGCTTAGCGTTTGTGTAGTTACGGTAGTCCCTATTCCAGGGTAACAGTTTTAATTTATTTCATACATTTAATTCCTGCCATTCTTCCAGTGAGACAGGAGGTGCTTTTAAGGTGCACAGTGACCCTATGAGGTGCAGTAAATTAGATAAAGGGACCCCTGACCCTTAAGTCCAGTCACGGACGACTCTGGGGTTGTGGCGCTCATCTCGCTTTATTGGCCGAGGGAGCTGGCGTACAGCTTCTGGGTCATGTAGCCGGCATGACTAAGCTGCTTCTGGCAAACCAGAGCAGCACACGGAAACACCGTTTACCTTCCCGCCAGAGTAGTACCTATTTATCTACTTGCACTTTGACGTGCTTTCGAACTGCTAGGTTGGCAGGAGCAGGGACCGAGCAACGGGACCTCACCCTGTCGTGGGGATTCGAACCGCCCACCTTCTGATCGGCAAGCCCTAGGCTCTGTGGTTTAACCCACAGCGCCACCCACGTCCCGCAGTAAATTAGGCATGACAAATAGAGAGTGAGAGTGTATGCACATATGCATATGGTGGGTGGGACTCCCCCTGTAGAATGGGGTGCCAAGATCACCTTCACAGGTTACTGTCAGAGACAGTATGTCTCTGAACGCCAGTTGCTTGGAAATACAAGTGGGGAAAGGTGGCTGTTGTGCTCAGGTCTTGCTAATGGGCTTCCCATAAGCATCTGATTGGCCATTGTGAGAACAACATACTGGAGTAGATGGGCCACCAGCCTCATCCAGCCTCAGGGTTCTTAACTTCATTTCTAAGCCCACTGCTGTACAAGAGTGGCTCTCTGTTACAATTCCTGTTTTCACAGACGGTGACTGTAGCAGTCGGGGCTGGCATCAGGGGGCCAGTATCACTGGGCACTTGCTGAGTCTCATACCATAAAGAGAGCGGCTAATTAAAGGGCTGGCAATATCTCACCTCCCCGTTTTCACATCAGATCTGATAGCGATGGGCATTGTGTCAGGTTTGTTGGTTGGATCAATCTCTATCCCACTGTTCCTCCCAGAGGAGCCCAAGACAGCAAAGCCAGAAAAATGAACAAACATAAATTTAAAATAAAACACCCTCACAGCTGAACAAGTTGTACTTGTAAAGCACTTGTGTAAACTGGGATTTGGTGGGAGGGAGGGGGAAACATGTCAAATGACTTAACCCTGCATTGTGCTGGCTTCAGGGTTTATGGTACAGTTGAAGGACGGAAATATCTAGGTATAGGATGAACTGTGGAATAAAACAGGAGTAGATATGTGTGAGAGATGTATAAAAAACAAGTTGTCAAAAGAAATTGGTTACTAGCCAAGAGGGAAGCAGGGGAACTCCCTGAAGCACAAAGAAGAGATTTGTGACAGTGTAGAAGCATAGGAAAGAGCCTTGTTTAATATTGATGTCATTGTTGAATTTCTAGGATTGATTGAACAAAAAAATAACTGAACAAAATTCATTTTATTGCAAACTTGTATTGTTTACTTCTCTGGTCCTGGGCAAATGGGCCCAGCAGTCATTGCACTGAGTTTATTCCTCTGTGTTGCTAAGCCTGGAATTTGATTCACTAATCTCATCCTAGAGTGAGCCATTGTGGAACCTTTTTGGCTTATCAGAATCTAACCTTGTGGGCCAAATTTAAGAGGCAGGTGAGGCTGCACACCTGTCAGTCACCTGACATCACAGGTTGCCCAGTACTTTGAAGTCTCAAAGCTGGGAGTTCAAAGCACCATGTGCATCCCAGTCATCTGGTACATTTAGAGTTCCCTGCAGGGAGCTTCCTAGCACACCTGATCCAGCAGGCTTCAGCTCTGTTGCACATTCTCCATAGTCCATTTGAAAAGAATCAGGGATCCTGGCAGACCACTTAAGAAACACCATTTTTTCTTTTAGAAATCAAAGCATATGCCTAATTTGTCTTTTTCTAACCATAGTCCTGTATCTTTCAAATGGGGTGGGCATGCTGCTTCTGTGAGTGATGTTGATTGGAGAGCTTGTCAGCTTTTTCCTCAGGTCAGCATTCGTCCTGTGTTAGGACTTAAGTAGACAGGCCATTCAGGACCCTTCTTCAATGGATTGATTTTTTTTTCGGGGGGGGGGGGGAGATGAGTTGATTGCACCAGCACCATATTATGAAACTATTGGCCCTTAGCCTGTTTGACAGTCTAGTCTTGATCAAAATAGCATTGCATCTCATTTTTTGTTTCCAGCAAAAAGGGCTGTGCACAGATATCTGTAGCTCAGTTGGTAGAGCATGAGACTGGGTAATCTCAGGGTTGTGGATTTGAACTCCACATTGGAATTGGAGACCCTTGAGGTCCCGTCCCACTCTACTGTTCTGCAGTATTGTTGAGTGTTCTATAGTATTTCCATGGGCAACCTGATTGCAGCTTGTAGATTTCAGCTTATGAACCTCTGCATCTAGTGCTTGACCTTGACTCAGGATTTAGGTAGTACCTCACCCTGTGCTTAATGTCTACCAACCCTGGAGGGTGGCTCTTCCCGCCCATCTGGGCTGTCTTTCTGCCCATGGTCCAGAAAGGAGAATTGGTAGGCTAAGTCCACAGTTCCCTTTTCTGGTCTGAAATGTTTTCTCTCTCTCTCTCACACACACACACACACACACACACACTTTCATTCTAGAGCCCTACAGTATGCTCTGGTTTGCTCTCCAGATCCTCTAGAGATCGGTCTTCAAGGGAGAAATCACGGGAAAGAGACAAGAAAGAGAAGAGCTCTTCTGAACGGCGACATGAAAGCACGAATGGCAAATCTCACCCTAAGAGATCTGAAGAGAGGGAAGCCGGCGAGATCTGAACTCCGGACGCGATCTGTATTGTACTGTATATATAGTCTTGAGAAATGTTCTACACAGCCCAAATTTTTCTCATTTATATTAACTGAATACAGCACATCTTTTGTAGTTCTGAATTTCTATTGTTTCTGCAGGTAGCAAAGCCAGTAGTGTGACAGTTTCCTATACTGTTGACTTGAGACTTTTGTCTTTTAATTGAAAGAAACAAACTCAGTCGCTGGTCTTCAATGCAGTTTAGCGACTTAAGCAGAATGCAGCAGAAGCAGGCAGAAGCTGTGGGGGTGGCGGGATCATAACGTGCTGTAAAAACTCATGCTCCACCTGCCTACGTTAAAACATCACTTGCCTTTCTATTGCAGACTTGAGTTCATAACATACTAAAGAACCTCAGCAGCGCTGGTACTCCCCACCCCCCCCTTTCTAAATATGGCAGGTTCATGTAATGTTTCTGATATCCAAGACTTAGCTAAATATGAACAAGCCAGATTGGTCAAAAGTAACCTACACCACAGCCTAGCTTAATAAAGTTGTTTTGGGACAGCTGTACAACATGGCACAATATCTCTTTTTCTTTTTTGTTGTAGTAGTTGTATTTAGAGCTTGGTGAAAGTAGCACAGCATTTAAAATTTAAATGGATGTTAATTGGATTATTTTGTCAAGTTATGCAACTCGTCAGTGTGAATTTTGCACTTCGGGACTTCATTTTTCTGTGTCTGCTTCCTAATTTCCAGGTTGCCAGTATTGATCCCACTGAATATAAATAATGTTGTTCCCTGATGGAAAGGTCCTGGTGTAAGTGGGATGGGATTCCTCACACTGCAGCCTCAAACCGGAAGGCACGTTAGAGCGATTCCATTAAGAGCAGTGTTCACAATAACACAGAATGACTCTACCAATTTGGCAGATGAGGACCTGGCATGGGGAGCTCTGTCGTGGGACAAACAAACAACTCCCACATCTAGATTGATTCTGCAGTTACAGAGGGGTGGGGTGGGGGAGCAAGATGCACTATTCTTGTTGGCAGCAGTTAAGCAGATTGCAAGACTGCATTTGCTGTGACAACCTGAAACACAGCTGGTAGGGGTGTGTCAAAGAGGTAGAGGGGCATAATCATAGTCATATACTTCAGGTTCTTTTAATAACTGCTGATAGCAGCGGAAAACAGTCAAGGTGCTGCTGCAGAGAGTGGTGTCCAGGGTACTAGGAGTTTTTTGACTTTTTATTTGTATAATTATCTAGTAGCTTACTGACCAATTCCTGTGTGCCTCTTCTTCCCTCCAACTCCCTTTTTTTTCTTTTTTTTTGTGCTGCAGAATTGTGTTCATCAATGCATGTTTAATCAAGTTTCTTTTCCGTTTTATTCTCACTGCTGAATTCTACCTTTCCCCCCTGCCCCAAGAGGAGTGGTTGAGTGTGTTTTCTCTCAGCCTTTTGTGTGTTTGTGAGTGACTACCAGGAGAACTAATGAGCCAGCAGAAGGAGCAGATGTGTTTCCTTTGGGGAAATCAGATTGAGACCTACAGCTGCCATTGGGACAGGTAATATCTGGGCATGCTCTGACCTAGAATGTGTTGCCCTCTGGAAAGTCAGAGGGCACAGTGAGAAGCCAGCAAGGCATATCGTATTGAGTGTATAAAATACTAGGAATTCATCCCTCTGTGGGGTTTTTATGTTTAGTATGAGCAGTTTGATCCTTAACAGCACCTTTGTTTGCCTTTGAGGGATATTGGTCTAAGTAACAAAGATGTAAGTAAAACGCTCTTCTCTTGCCAGTCTTATTCACATTAAAAGCTTATCTTTGTGGCTCGGAGTGAACAGTCTGTTTTGGTGTAACCCTTAATGCTTGAAATTTCCATGAGCAACTCAGCCCTGTCTCTACTGTCAACCAACTGAAGAGACTGGAGTAAGTTTAATTACAGATGTTGAAAATAAGGGAAAGAAGGACCTAGGAATGGGGAAACCTTTCTGTGGACTAATGCAATAGATACCCTGGGCACCTGAAGAAAAACTTGGCATTTATGTGGCACTCTTCAGAGCACCACTTTAGTCATCTTTACAGCAAATGTTCAGGGCAGGGCTATACCACAAATGGGAGCTGCAGCAGAATGTCGCAGTGTCCCACGTGAGTGCAGATCTGCAGTTCTAGTTGTCCAGCATACTATAAATTCAAGCTGCCCAATTCATTTCTTCCTCCTTAATCCCTTTCTGTATTTCTTTTCCAAGGAACACATGACATTCAGTTGCTCCTGGAGGTCACTGAAAACGCTCCATTTCCTTTGAGCTATTTGGTAGGAAGGCGCTGTTTCTCCATTTGGGACTTCCAAAATGTTTTGCATTTCTGAGTTCAACCAAGGAGAGCCCACTATCGTCCAAGGGAGTTAGTTCCACTGTCATAGACAGCTCTTGCTGTCAGCAAGTTCTTCCTAATGCTACATTGGAATCTCCCTTCTTGCCATTTGAATCAATTTGTTTGGGCCCTCCCTGCTGGAGCAGCGGAAAACAAACCTGTTCCATCCTCCGTGTGACGGCCCTTCAGATCTTTGAAGGTGGCCAACCGCTCAGTCTTCTCCATGCTGAACATACCCAAGTCCCTCAACCATTCCCAAATTACCCCAAAGCCTCTGCATGTTGGGGTGGGAGTAAGACAGGAGTGTGGAAGCACAGGCTCAGGGGCTAAATGTGGCCCCAACTCTTTCCAGCTCACATGCCTGGTGATTCTGTGCTGGGCCCTTCGAGTGCTTTTTGCCTGGCTGTAATGCATCCTTGAACTGTGAGCAGGCCTCTTGCTTGGCTGGATAGGGAAGGGAATTGTTATTCCCTAAAAACAGCCAGTTGCAGCAGCCACACAGGAGCAGACAGCATGCTGAGATTTCCAAGCCATCAAGACTAATCACTTGGCAACCAAGCTAACTTGAAACACAGCTTCTTGTTCCCCATCTTCAAGAGCCCAAAGACCTGGAGAGCAGACTAATGTCCTGTTGCTAGGAGGGGAAAGTAGCAGTGGAGCAGAGCAGATTATCAACATTTCATGCAAGTTGCCCTGTCTACATGTGGGCCCTAGCTTTCAATCTTTTGCATTGCTTAGGCATATAGTTTTGTCTCCTACAGTAGGAAAACCTAAGTGCCCTCAAGTTGCTTAAAAAAACAACTGTTTTAGAGATGTGTACATTGCAGTCCTGTGGTCTTTATATGGGAAGAAGCCCCCATTGCAGACAGTGGGACTGACTTCAAAGAGCAAACGTGCCTAAGATTGGGTGGCTATTTACCTTCTGCCCACAAAAGCGTATGGTTTGCTCTGGAGAATTGGGCCAGGTTCATTGCCCCTCAGAATCTATGCTAAAGTTCACCACTAACCACAAGGCAGCAGTTTCTGCTGAGAAAGTAGCCCCCTCTTACCTACCTCTGGGCTTTAAGATCTTCACATGGCTAGCAACTTTCCTTGTGCGAATGTCATAGGATGCCAGATCCCCAACAAAGGAGGCCCTTACAAACACGTTTTCATGAGGCAAGGAATGTCGGCTTGAATACAAACTCAGTAAGATTTGTGTCATTCTGGTCCTTGCACCAGATGGAAGCTCAAACAAAATCACCTAAGTCTGTTAAACTCCTGCTTGGGAAAACAGCAGCCCTTATTCAAGTTTTTCTGTTGCAATTGACCATGTTATCCAACGGAAAAGCTAGCAAAGCCTCTGGAATCTAGGTGCTTTTCTGCTGCGATGTGCCCTTTATTGCTCTGACCCAAACAGAAGTGTTTAGGCCAAGGAAGCAACATTTCTGCCTTCCTCACTCTCCCCGTGACAATTAATGTAAATAGGAATGAGTTACAAGACTCACAGGTAGGGCCAAGGTCATAATTTTCTCCAGCACAACCAGGGTACCCACAAACCCTCCTTTAGAGAGGACAGTCTTCTGTTTGAAGGACTGTCCAGTATAACAAAGAGAACCATAAGAAAGGTCCTTGAAGGTGCCAATCAACATTTAAGCACGTGAAGAAAAGGCTAAGCAGGGACACAGGGTCACAGTCCTCCCCACTGTGCTGAGAGCTTTTCTATTTAAAGTATAGGACTTATTTCTCCATTGTGCACATACTAATTAGCATATGCAAACTGCATGTGAATCTGTCGTTTGGTTTGGGAGCCTTTTGTGGTGATGCTTGTTTTTATTTCATAAAGCTGATACACAACTTGACTGTAAAAAAACAAAACAAACCCTCAACACAGTTTTTACAGAAAGAATAAAATAATGAATGATCAGCTTAAAAAAAAGGTAAAAAGACCTCTTTAAAACATTAAATAATTACAATCGACAAGAAGCTAAAAACCAGACTGAAACACACGTTGACATTCTACATGTCTGGATAGCCTTACCTAAACAATGTTTATAGCAGGTGCTGGAAAAGACTACAGTAAAGATGCCTGCCTGATGTCAACAGGCAGAGAGGTTAAAAAGATTGATTTCTTACCAATGCAGAACAGGTATGTGTACCAGTTGGGCATATTGAAGTGGTAAATGGGGCATATATCAGGTGAGGCAATCTGCTAGGTGATGCATCATCACTAGTTCCTGCAGTGTTGAGGTGCAAAAGACCATCTTTACCTAAATCATATTCTCCTGCATTCTTCTCTTACAAGGCTGTCCATTCACAATCAGGTGGCCACTCACACATCACCTTAAAAACAGGAGCAAAATGGCTAGCTTCATTAATGTAGAGATGCAAACAGAGAAAGGGATTACAAGTTAATAACAGGCCCAAATACAGACTTCCAATTTCCAGGCACAAAGAACAGAACCAGGTTTGTAGAAACAGTTTGGTTTTTTTAATGTGAGACCCGTAATTCCATGACTTCTGCCACGGATGTAAATCTCTCCAATCAAGTAGCACAGTGAGCAGAGAGCAAGGTGTGGCCTGTGCAAAGGGGGTGCCTGCTCCTTGCCCCCTCCCAAGAAAAGCCAAAGTGGTTGAAGTGCAATAATCCCACCCTCCTCCAAACACACCCCATCAAAGCCTGCAGTACACAGACTGGAATGTGAATCGCTTCAGAAAGGCAGTCCATGGGCAGAGGTAGTAGGTCCCATGCTGGGGTGTGGATCAAGCCAGGCCCTCAGTGTTCATACAGGATTTTCTGATCGCAACAATCCCAGTCTATCAGCTCGTTGCTGCGAAACCAAAGGCTGATCTCTCTCTGGGCTGTCTCCAGGGAGTCGCTGGCGTGGACAACGTTCCTGTTTACAGGGGAAACCTCACAATGAGGGCATATCGTAGGTTAAGGTCCTTCCTATCCTACAGCTACAAAAACAACCCACCCAATTTTATATCCCTTTTAACTGTTACAACCTACTTCCCCCAAATAAGTTGTAGATGGATGAGGGGACCAAGAACTCTTTCCTGAATTGCTACAGAATTCCCGAGGAGGAACAGCTGGGTCTGCCTACAGTGTGGCTGCCCTAAGGCAATATCTTGAGCTATCCTTACCTGGGGCTGAGTCAAGAAGCCACTACAATGCAGTAAAATGATGGAACAAGAGTTTCCCTGCAGAACCTCCAGAGGCAAAAGGAACTTCCCAGGGGGCAATCTAGTATCTAATACCTGTTTTAGGCATGAAGGAGGACTTTTAGAACGCTCACTCAAACAAAAACAAGGAAAGAACGAACACATCAGGGAACGAAGGTTCAGCCCAGTCTACTCTTGCTCTGCAAGATTTCTATTAGCAAGGACATTTTTAAAAACGCCAAATTAAAACTTGATTCCCACACCCACACCCCCCGAATCTGTAGTTCCAGCTAGCATAGGCCATTCGGCCATTTTATTCCACTGTAAATGTAGGCAGTAATAAATACAGATCACAAACTAAGGGAAGAGGATTTTTAAGCACACACATGGAAAAGTGAAATGGAATTTACAATAGAATGGAAAAATGAGAAAGCAAAGAAAGATCATACAACACAAAGTGTCGGAACTCATACTGACATTTCAACATCTTGATTGGTTCATATAAACACCCTTCCCCTATTATTCATACATGGCACTGCTGAACACTGGTTTCGTTTGACCCAGAAAGCTCATTTTCCATACTGACCCTCTCAGGTAACTACATAATGGCAGGAGGAACTATTCTGCAGCGTACTTAAACAAATGATTCACCAGACCAGGAAATGAGACTTAACCAAAAGAGTCAGCGTTTTGCATTTTCCATGGGTAACCAGGCCAGAGACTCGTGTCAAAGTTTGAACCTAGAAGCACCAGCAAGTCAAGACTGGCCTGGTCAGAGCTCAGTGCCAGAGCACCTGCCTCGCAGGTAGAACATCCCAGATCCCATCTCCAGCAAGAGCTGAGAGGGACTTCCTGCCCGAAAAACCTGGACAGCCACTGCCAGTCCGTGCAAACAATACGGAGCTAGATGGACTCTGTGCAGAACAACTGCCTGCATTTCCTGCTATTTTGGTCCCACTCCTACCTGCTGACGTGGACGCTGAAGTCTCCCCGGACGGTGCCTGCCTTGGCTTCCACAGGATTTGTCTCACCCACCATAGCCCTGGAGGTTTTGACAACGTTGTAGCCTTCCCAGACCTGAAACAGGACACCATAGGAAAAAAGGGCAAAGGCCAGTGGTTCTGACATTCCTGCTAACAGCTAAACAAGGCAATATGTCTCTATCAGTGCCTTTCATGAAGTACAGAGTGCCTGATACGGAAGGGGTGCTTAGAAGGGTGGGGCAGAGGGGATTTAATGCATTGTAGCTGGCTATGGGCTTGGTTTGCACCATGGGGCCCAACCTGGCAATTTGCAGCGGGGGGCGGAATCCTCTGTTGAAGCACACAGGAGCTTCCCTTCACCCTTATGCCTAATACCTATGCAAAACTGTTCTTCCCATATCCAAGATACAAGAGCATCCTCAAAGCAGTACCCAGATTTGCATTTGCATCCCACAATAATAGTGGTGGACCTACATTTCTGGGGTCTGGAGATTGAATTGTCACGGGGGGCCCTGTGCAACCTGCAACGAGGTCTGGGTAACCCGTTATCTTCTTTGATGGGGCTATTCCATGACGGATCACAACATGAAAAGCAATTAACTATTACATCTCAGATTTCGATTGAAACTGCTGTACAGTGTCACTGGTGCGATATAAAATGTTGTAAGCAACATGGACTAAAGTCGCTTCTGGGACCCCTCTGGGATTAGGGCCCGAGAGTTTAAGCTTCATTAGTTTAGATCTGCCCCTGCACAATGGCTAAATGTTCTCCTTCCTCTATCAGAGGCAGCATGCCTACGAAGGCCATTTACTGTGCATCACCAGAGGGGAAACTGCTGTTGCACCCAAAGGTCCCATTTGTCTGCTTCCCATTGGGGCTTCTGGTTGGCTGACGTGAGAAGAGATGATGGACTAGATGGGCCTCTGGGTATTGGTGAGAGGGGATGGGGAAGAGAGACTGTCTTACCATGGCAACCACAGGCCCAGAGGTCATGTACTTGATCAGCTCGTGATAGAACGGCTTTCGGCGCAGTTCGTGGTAGTGTTCTGCCAGGATGCCTTCATTGGCCTGCCAAAACAAAGGGGCATTTGACGTTCAAATGGGCAGAGCCTACTGCTTACGAGACGCCGAGGCACGTGTTGGCATGGGTAGATTGTCTTTGGGTCCAAGGGATGGGGGCTTTTGTGGGTTCGTGAACCCCTTGCCCCAGAGGAGCACCTTGAGGAAGGGCTACCTGTCCGTGTCTTCTACCTTGTTGAAGGTGGCTGATGACAACATTAACATTTAGATCCCTGGGAGGGACTGAAACTTCCCTCCCCACCCCACCCTGGAGCAAGGCTGTGGGTCATGGATAATTCTCTTCTTATTCGCTGATCCCTACAGAAACAGGAAGGAGCGCTCCAACCTACCCCAATGTTTCCTGAGTGCTTGGCAAGCCTTGATTGCCCCCCATTTCAGCACCCAGTGAGCGTACCTGGAGCAATTTGAGACCCACAAGCTTGAATCCGCGTTTTTCAAAGCGTCTGATCACATCCCCCACCAGCCTCCTCTGCACCCCATCTGGCTTCACGGCGATCAGTGTGCGTTCCTGCAGCCCAGGGACACCTATTGGGCAAAGAAAGGGTGGTTAGACTGTTCAGTGTTGCAGGAGCCAGCCAGCCAGGCCTCCTTTCAGGGTACTCTTTCATCCTCCCTATCCCCCCCGGTTTTCTGTAGATTGTTTCCCTGGGCTTCAATTCAAACCTTTTGGAGCTCTAAGTTTAAGATGACAGGGCACCAGATCTCGAGGTGATTCATCATAATGCCCTAATTTTGAGATGGCACTAAATTTCACTACAATTTCCACCTGTTTAGGGCTATGGCTGAATTTGTCATCGGCTGAGGATAATATACATTAGAACACTGTTCTATTTCTGAATGAGTTCTGCAACAGTTTCCCCTCCATTTAGCCAAAGTAGTAAAAAACAGAATATGGTAGAAATTGTGATAAACACACAGAAAGCAGCCAATTTTGCTCTGGCGGCAGCAAAATGTGTCGCGGTTACTCTGACCCTCAGGTAGTAGACTGCAAGCTGTAAAACTAATGTTGCTGTTTTACAATGTTTGTTTTTTTAAAGTATTTGCTGGGTTATTTTGTAGGCACGATGGCTGGCAAATCAAACTGAAGATCCCTAAAAGTGAAGGGAGTAAGGAAGCATTATTGGAGGGGCAATGGAAAGCTCACCCCTCTTTTCCACTCCCTCTCCTGCAAAATTTTGGGAATACAGCAAAAAGGCTTTGATGCCCAGTGGTGCATATCCACCTAGCCCCTTTCCCAGAGGGCCTTGCTTTCTGCAGGAGGAGAGCGATAGCCCTGCAAAGCAAGCAGGCTGATTAGTCACTGGGGACCTACCTAAAAGCAGGTGGATGGGACTGCAGCCTCAAGACACAGAAGCAGCAGACGGCAGCAGGGAGGGAAATGGGCAACTTTTAAGCGAATAATACTTAGCAGTCATATCATGCAGTTAAGTGCTCCAAGCACCTCCTATACATTAAATATAGGATATTACATTTAAAGCGAAATCTGTGCCAGGAATCCCAGCAGCTGCAGTTGACGCAGTGGGGTCGACTAGTCCACAAAAGCTTTATGTCACAATGAATCTGCTAATTAGTCTCTGAGGACGCCACTGCCAGGAATCTCTTCTGGGGCATTTGCTATAACAAGCTGAAGTGTCTCCTTCTCGGGAAATCACATACACTGACTGTGCAATCCTTACAACTGTCCTGTACGGTAGGCCAGAAGAGTCCATTCACCTCTAACCAAGCTCCTTTAACATGTAGCAATCTGGGGGAAGAAAGGGAGCTCCCCCCCTTCCCCCTCCAAAAGGAGAGTGTGATGTAATTCAAGGGCTCTGTTTTCCAGAGAGAAGAAAAAGTAGCAGCTCTATCTTCTTCCAATACGTAGGTCAGTTATGCTGCTCTCTGGGGATGAGAGATCCAAAAGCTAGATTTTCTTCCCACCTGGTGTGTGGATACTAGTTTGCATGGTAAAACCATCTCAGCCTGAAAGAGAGATGAGTGCTGCACCCCATTGACTGTAATTAACCGTCCAGGGGTCCTTTACCTTTTTTTACTAGTTTGCATGCTAAAAAAGGGAACACCAGCAGCATCTGACCACCACCCTGGGAGTCATTGCCAACACAGGGGCATGGGAAAGTAGGGCTGGAACTCCCAGCTCTTCACCGTTTCAAGTCAGAGGGAACTTCACCTTAAGCTACAGCTCTTCCTAAGGCACCTGTAGATGCACCCCAGAAGATGCCAAGCTGTGCCAACAGGAGAATTCAGGAATATTCCTGAATTGCAGGGAGTTGGACTGGATGATCCTCGTGCTCCCTTCCAACTAGGATGCACCGACTAGGATGCACTTGAAACAGACCATCCCCCCTCTAGTTTGCACAGCCCAAGGAAATGCCAAGCCAGATTTCATAACAGCCCCCCATGCCAAGCTAGCAAGTACTAGCTTGGGTGGGTAAGCAAAGAAAAAGGGCCAAGGGGTACAAGTCTTATGATTTCTTCCAGTAATACCCAACTCCTCAAAGTTGTGTGCAACCAGGGAATGCCCTGCTGTGTTTCTCTGGGAGTAACGCCTGATGGAGAGATAGGACCCTGCAGGACTCCGGATCGGCCAATGGTCAGGGACGATGGGAACGGGAAGGGTTGCGGACTGAAGAGAGTCGGGGTGGGTGGGTGGAAGGGCCTGGCCCGGCTTTGCCGAACTCGGATTTGCCCGCCGGAGCCACCACGCGGCGAGGGCGAAAGTTGCGCGCCCATCCCGGGGCGGAGAGGCGCTTCGCGGAACGAGTTCTGCAGCCCCCTCGCCGGAAGAAGAGGAGCGGAGGCGGCATCCCACCCCGAGGGCGCTTCGCCCCGCAACTCACCCGCGCTGTACAGCCGCCCCCCGGGGAGGCGATCGCAAGGCAGAGCCCCCCACGCCCCGAGGGTGCCCGCGCCCCGCTGCCCCGACGGCAGCAACAGGCGGCAGCTCCGGCCCACGCAGCGCTGCAGGAAGCCCATGGCGGCTCGCCCGGCAGAAGGGGGCCGGCCCGGCCGGGTTTATAGACGAGGGCTTGGGGGTGGGAGAGAGCCCGGCTGCGGGGCCGCTGCTCCCCCACCCCACCCGCCGGTCCGCCCCCAGGCCAGGCCGAGCGAGGCGGCCCCCGGGGGGGAGAGGCGTGGGAACGAGGAGGATCACGTTACAGGGGGGCGGCCCCCTTAAAGAGACCCGCAGCCCCCCCAGCCCCACCCCGGGGGCGGGCGGCGCGCTTCAGGGTTTGCAGCAACTTTCGGCTCCGGAAGCTGGGGGCGCCTGTTGCTGATGGGCCAGACCAGCAGAGACCACGGGGGCGGGCGCACTTGCTGATCTCGGGGCGCCGTCCGTAGCTGCTTCCGCCGGCAAGGAAGCATCAGGGAAGGCGGGCGGGGGAGAGAGGAAAAGCTGGTTGAGCGCTCCTAGGCAGGAATGGGTGGGTTTTTTTGGGGGGGGGGGGCGCAAAGCAGCCGTTTCTGAAACAGCAAAAGGGGAATAGGAAGTTGTTTTATGAAGCCGGCTCAGACCATTTGACCATCTACTAATCGGGTACTTTGTTCTCGCTAAAGTACTAAGTGGGTACTGTACTTTAACGGGGGTTATTAAAATACTTCCACATTAGCTGCAACACGCATCAACCCAATAAATCCCAGCGACTAAACTGCCGAACCTAGGCAATAAAAATATGTCCCAGAGGCCAGCACACCTCACTGAAACAACTGGATCCACCTTGCCTGCCCCATCCCCCCCTCCGTTCCCCAGGATTAGATTGTAAGCTCCTAGCAGCAGGGACTGATGCTCTATTTTGTAAAGCGCACTCTAACGCCAGCCTCCAGCAATTTGGCACCCACGCAGGTGTTTCTTGCTGCAGCTCACACGCTGGCTGTGGCTGATGGGATTTCTAGTCCAGAGGGCACCCGGTTGACAAAGGCTGATATGAAAACAAACAGCAACAAGAAGTTACTAAAGGGATGAAGCGATGGGCTATGGGACTTGCCCTCTCACACAGTTGAAACGTTCTTAGTTTATGGGATGGGTTCCTGTAGCAAATAATTAACATTGGTCTTTATAACACTAAGATATACTGCTCTACTTCAGTACATGCTTGGAGTATTAGAACAGTAGTTCACAGGCTTTCCCTGTGGAGCACTTGAACATTGATGAGGGACTTGAAGGACCAATTGATTTTTGTGCAAGTTGTGGCCTCAAAAATCTGTGTGGCCAATTGCTACTTTCAGTGAAGATTTTTATATGTATAAAAAAACCCTCTGCCTTTAGGAGTGTCTCCCTCATCCTGAGAGCGGATCGTCATCCAGTGAACAGGGAGGGAGGCTGGATTCATGGGTGCTGTTGGCAATCTTGCAGATAATATACAGAACATCTAATTAGAGGAGATTAAGAGGAAACACGAGGCCTGTTTGGAGAGGGGCCACCCTCCCTTCTGTCAGTACAGCTGCAGCCAAATACTCGCAACTTGTGGAAAAATAGGAGAATTTAGAGACTTTAGAGAAACTTTGCCCTTTAAGCTGAGGTTGTGTCCAAGAACAAGCTAATTTCCCTTGACAAAACAAACCATTATGTAGCTGGCATCACTGGCCTTCCCAGGTGCTTTCTTCATTAGCTTTCCATCCTTTAAGTGGTGAAAGGTGCCGCCTGATCACAACATTCAGTCCTATATTTCTCCCTGGACTTGAACCAAATTGGCTGAAATACTTCCCTAAAACACAGGCAACTACCAGCCCCTGGGCCAAATGAGGCCCTGCAGGGGTTGCCAGACGCTGCTCCAGCCACCAGCCAGATGGAGAATCTGTGCAGGGGAAATCAAATGCTGGACTTAAGCCTAGGAAAACCTAGAGGTCCCAATGGGAGACCTCCAGTGGGGGGCAGGGCGAGGGCATTTCATTTACCATTCCTTGCTCAGAAGTCATCTGGATGCCAACCATGTATTAAAATCGCAAGTGCTTTTTTTCATAAGCAGGAGCTATGTTGTCTAGGACCATCTTCATATTTGTCCCCATCCCACCCCTGTTGTTCCAACAACCCTGAACTGGCTCCAATTCAGAAGACAAACAGTGCTGTTCTACCTGCTGGAAGTTCGTAGCTCCCAGAACAGTGACCCCAGAAAAATACTGGCAGAAGCATCAAGGACAGAGAGTTGTTTTTCCCTTACCCCACCTGCTCTCTGCACAACTGAACGAGTCCTGCTTAGTTCTCTTCTGGTTCCCAATCCTAACCTCCGATTCTCCAGATGTTGTGCCACCTGGATCCATCAACCTTTTAAATGTCATGGACAGGTTTAGACTGGGCACCAAGAAGGAGCCATGTGATGAGCACTAGGGCACCAGTAGGTTGTATAGAGGGGCATTGGAACCTTCACTACTACGAGCTTTTGAGAGCAAACTAGACATGCATTGGTTCAACTAAATGCAGGTGGACTCAGTGTCCAAGGCAGATAACCACTCTTGATTTTTAAAGCTCCTGAGTTTTGCCCCCCTTCCTGCCAAAAAAACCCAGTTCACCTTTTCTCTTCCAACTCTACCAATATTCACTCATCTGACCACATATGGTCACATTTCACGGGAACAACCCTGACTCCCTTGCTACTCCTCATGCCTGGAACTCTTCACCCCAAAAGGTCCACAACACAGCCTCCCCTTTCAGATCCATCCTTAAAAGTCCACCTCGCTCATGAACCCTTTGATTTGAATCCACAACGTTCTGTCCCAAAAGACCTAGCTAGCATCAACTGAACTGCAATGGCTTTTGGAAACCAACCTGCCAACTCTTGTGCCTCATGTGCAAACATCCAAACGACATTCATGAAGAGGAGCTGTGGTGGGGTTGCTCACTTCTGAGGAGCCTCAAGCACTGAAATTCCCAGTTTATGGAAAAGAAGCCAGTGCACTTGCCTGCTTGAAGGCTATCGGGCCATGGCTATCGTTTGAAAGCATATGATGTAGCAACTGCGCTGGAAGCTAAATGAGTCTTGGTTTGGTCAGTTCCTAGTCAGAGGACCGCCTGAGCACCATGATGGAAGAAAGACTATTGTTGCAGACCATCTGCTTTGAATGCAGAAGGTCCCAGGTTCAAGATCCTCAGCATCTCCAGGTAGGGCTACCTATCTGAAACCCTGGAGAGCAGATGCCCATCAGTGTAGGCACTACTGAGCTAGGTGGACCAATGAACCAGAGCTTCCTACGTTCCTAAAATCAAGCAAGCTTCACATTGGAAGAGTACATGCTCTGGGGAAATGGGACAACCAGTTGTTCTTAGCAGCAAGATTTGAGCATCTTCCAAAACTATGACCGTTGACCCATTGATCTGGACAGAGAAAACATGCACTTTCACTCTGGGTAAACAGTACTGCGACAGATGCTTTCACAAGGATGCTGACCCCTGGAGCAGGCCAGGGACAGGCGGAGTGTCACTGTGGCCGAAATCAAACAAGACAAAAAATTAGCAGGCAGAATTTGTAATGTGTCACCATCCAGCTCCCAGCCACGGCTCCTCCCTCCGACGATAGTCGCCATAGTGGATTTTGAAGAACCATTCTGGCCAGGGGTGGTGGTGGAAGCAGAAGATCCAGCCTCCTCTAAACAGCGCCTTCTGTTTTAATGCAATGTTTTAACTGATGCTTCTCTCACGCAAGCCTCTTTTGGGAGCGCTAGCCTCAAAAGCAGTATAGAAACACCTTGAATGAAATGAAGACCCAGCAAGCCACAAAGTACAATGGGCAAGGAAAGACTGGGATATCTGAAGAGGTTCCAGGTATCTCTACACAGTTCACCCTCTTAAAAACAAGGTCAACAGGCAAGAGTGCAAGTGTCCACAAGTTCATGCCATTCTGCTGGCAAATCTGCTCAGACCATGTGCCTGCAATTCGGTGAAGCACAACAGCAGGCTCTCATACAGTTATTGATAAGTTTTTCTAAAGATTAAAGGGCCAGCATAATGCAATAATTAAAATGTGGGAGTGGGACTAGGTGCTAGGTTAAGGTGCACACAAAAGCTAGAGTTCACTGGGGCCCACCTGAGGTCAGTCGCTCGCCTAACTTACCTCAAAAGGTTGTTGTGAATAATAAAGTAGCCCATGTAATGCCATCATGAGTCCCTTGGAAAAGCAGGCTCTGAGCAGATATGAAAAACCCTATAGAAGCATCATTAACTATCACTGAAAGTCATGTAGCAACCCATAGAAATCACTCTTCAGGAATGTGCACAGATCCACCTGCACAAGCTGAACATGAGTCAAGAGGGTGGATGCAGCAGCAAAAAAAAAAAAAAAAAGCTAATGCTACTCTAGGCAACAGAAGTATAGGGTCCAGGTTAAGAGAAGTAATAGTCCTGCTCTGTTCTGCCTTGGTCAGACCACACCTGGAATGCTTGTCCAGTTCTGGGCGCCACAATTTAAAAAGGACGTTGACAAGCTGTGTAGAGGAGGGCAACCAAGATGATCTGGAAACCAAGGAACAGTTGAGGGAACTGGGTATGTTTAGCCAAGCAAAGAGACGACAGAGGAGATATGATAGCCATCTTCAAATATCCAAAGGGCTGTCACATGGAAGATGGAGCAAGCTTGTTTTCTCCTGCTCTGGAGGGTAGGACTCGAACCAATGGCTTCAAGTTGCAAGAAAGGAGATTCTGACTCAACATCAGGAAGAAATTTCTAACAGTAGGAGCTGTTTGACCGTGGGATGGACTCCCTTGGGAGGCTGTAAGCAGGGGCTGGGCGGCCATCTGTCAGGTATGCTCTAGCAGAGACACCTGCATTGCAGGGGGTTGGACTAGATAACCTTTGGGGATCCCTTCCAGCTCTACGGTTCTATGAATTGGTCTGAAGCCCAGAGTTTATGCCCTCCCCAAGACTTCCCGAAAGGCCCTGAAGATACCTAAATAGATCTCAAGCTCGTCTAAAACAACAAAGTAAGCACTTTTTTTATTTCCATTAAGCACATTTTAGTATCACAATGGAATGATGAGAAAAAACTTTTCTTTAAAAAAACCCCACGAAAACAGAGCTCTGTCTGTCTGTCTGTCTGTCCGTCTGTCTCCCCACCGATGGCAGGGGAGGCTTCAAGGCAATTAAAAACAAAAAGTTGATGGGATGTTCCCCTCCCCAACAGCCAGGTGCAGGAGGGGAGGGAGGCAGGTGGAATGATGTGAAGGTGGGAACATCTGAAGTAGTCTTTGGCGTTTCTGCCTCATGATTGATGCACAAGACCAGTCACCGGAACCTGCAAATCTGCAAATGCCACAGTATTAAGACGAAAACATCCAGCTATAGAGGAACGGCCTGCAAGTGGGCCTCGAGACACCCTGTAGGACACAGAGCTGCCCCAGCTCAGCTGCGAGGAGGAGCTGGAAGGGGAATGGACAAGGGTGGGGGCACAGCGTGCAGCTCTCCCAGGCACGGGGGCCCACGGGGGAGGTGCTTCTGTATCCAGCCGGCCTGGTGAGATCGGGGAGCGGAGGCAGCGGCAACACGAGGAGCACAGGTCCGCTCACGACAGGGATTCGAACCAGAGTCGGTGCCCAGAACTATAGCTTCACGGTCCCAGGGGGCAAACTGTCGTTGCAGAGTCTGTAGTAGCGCAGGTCGTTGACCAGCCTGTGCACGTTCTGCGTAAATGAGGGCAGGTCCTGGAAAAGGGGTGGTGGGGAGACATGGGAGAGAAGAGATAGCCAACGGTTAGGACAACAACAACAAGATTAACCAATCCTTCCAGTTCTTTGCCCCAAAGGAGTGTTGACACTAGGGTATGCAATGGCACCAACCTTGCCCAAACACTTCCAAATATCTCCTGGCTCTGTTTTCAACAATCTGGGGCCATTTTATTCAGCTAATTTCAACTAGGTTGTGTGGGTGTGAGACAGCCTGAAATGTCACCATGAAGTCTTATGAAGGAAGAGCCAAGTTTTTAAGGGAAATAGAAACCTTTGTAGTGAGCAGCCCCGGAACAAAAGCAATGTCACCCCCCAGAAGCTGCCTTATATCCACAGTCAGGCTGTTGACCCATTTTGCTCAGTACTGTCTGCACTGGCTGGCAGCAGCTTTCCAGGGTTTCAGGCAGGAGAAACTCTCTGCATGAAGCCACGAGAAGGTGCAGTCTGATGGGACACACAGTCCCGAACCAGCCATTACTCTGAGAGCTTCCCTTCCTCTTTGAGACCTCTTTAAATGTGTAGTGCAAATGGGACCTATCACCTTAAATAATCATGGCTTCCCCCAAAGGACCCTGGGAACTGTGGCTTGTTAAGGTAGGCTATGGTAAGAAGATGATGCTGAGCTAGATGCTGAACCACTTTGGTCTGATTCAGTTTCAGGGTCCTTCTTATGTTCTCATTCAATAATAAAACATTATAGTTCAAGGAAGTTCTATTTGGGACACGGGTGTGTGTGTTGTCAGTCTGTCCGTACAGAACAACCCCACCTGAAAGCTCCAAGCCAGCCTCACCCTGTCCATTTTGAAGTTCCTTCCAAGCACGTTTTTCTGGTTGGTGTCCACACCATCGCAGCTGGCCAAGAACCCCGGGAGAAAGGCCGAGTAGAAGCTATCAAAGTCCACGGAGGCCATGTTGTAGATGGCTATGCCAATTTCCTCTTGCAAGAGGTCGTGTGATTTATGGACCAGTACCTGAAGCAAGACATTCACAAACTGGAAAAGCATGGTTGTCCGGAAGATCTTCTGTGGGGAAAGAGAACAAGGGTGTTCAGCAAGCTCCTGAGGTGCTCAGAAAAACAGCAGCTCTGGGGGATCAGTGAAGCTGCGAGGTGCTCTGCAAAGGACCATCTGATAGGCCTTGTTTCAGTGGCTCATGACAGCTGAATTATGCCACACCTCCAGGGTCCAGTGCAGGGTTCATTCACCTCCATGGATGCAGAGGTAAGTGAAAACCCCTGGCAACTTGGCATTCACCACTCCACCAGCTGAACACCCCTGCCCTAGCAAGCTTGCACAACATTTAAAACGGTTAGCTCTTGTGATAATGTGGCACTCACAATGAAAATGTGGGTAAAATCTGCTATGATTAAACAATGACAAAGAGTCCTGTCACAATGCCTACAGCGTATCTAGGGGCCCAGTTTTCCTGGGTCTCTGACATGCTCATTCAATGTACCTGATCCTCTGCAAGCCACCCGCCACTGGGCATTTTGGGCAGTGGTTTTGGGAGCAGCGTATTCAACACAGGCATTAGAAAAAAGCTCTTGCCGTTTCCCTCTCCAAGTTGAAGGAGAATTAGTTTCCTTGTTCTGCCTGAGCGAAATTCTTGTTCCTCTCTGCACTGGCCAATTTAATTTATGACACAAGCCAGGCCTATGCTCTTCCAACACGTAAGCAACAGCAACTCCAGCGAGGAGAGCACCCGAGTGTATGGACCACTAGGGGGCAATAAAGCAGGAAGAACCAGAATTGCTAGCCTTCTGAACTGTCCCTCTTCTGCCAGAGCTTTGTGTAAGCAAGATACAGAATGTACTGTTGTATACATTGGAAAGCAGGGAGCTTACCTTGTGATACAGCTTCTGCTTTGTGTTCAGAGTCTCCAAATAGAACAAGTTCTGTTTAAAAAGGTGTATGTCAGGCTGCAGGAAGGATTGGCCAAATGCCTATGGAACAGGGAAAAAAGCCTATCAGGACAATAGACATTGAAGGCGGTTACCAAAAACTAGAAGCTCTTTGAATAGCCATTGGACTAGTGACAAGGAACCTGATATTGTCTACCCTCCATCATTCCTGCCCATTGGCCACACTGGTTGCGGCTGATGAGAGGAAGAGTCTTAGTTTGACCACATCTGGACGGCTCCAGACTGGCTACCTCTATACTGGACAGCGATGTGTCAGGGATGTTTTCTTGTTGTAAAATCTCACCTCCTTGAGACTGTCTCGCATCAAGTTATGAGATGAAGCAGGAATGGTTGGGATTCAGTGGCCCGCCTCCAAACACAGACTGAGGCTTTGAAGGAAACAGGGCCAGGCAAGCAGCTTTTCCTACTTCTCAGGGAGTTAAACAAGAATTTGAGAATGGCCGAATAGACTAGAGACTGGACTTTGACCATGGCGGCAGCAGCAAGCAGACATCCTGGGCCATGCAGAACATTCAGAGAGCACTAAGCAGAAGCGCCTCTGCCAAAGAGCATGAGCCAACTGGAAGGCCAACAGCCAGAAGCACTTGGCTAGAATCAGCCACTACTGAGCTGTCAGCTCTTTAGCAATCTTCTGCTTACAAATTACCAGTGTTCAGCACTTGGAATGAGAAGGGAACCTGAGCAGGAGTTGCCTGGAATGGCCCCAAACAACTAACAGGCTCTCAGTAGACAACAGAATTAGGAACAAGTGTGGGTACAGAAGGAACAACAGTGTATTGAGAAGAAACTTCTCCAGTGGGTTCAGTGAGTAACTCCAGGGTTCAGGTGAGGCCTCCACAATAGCTACTTGGTAAAGCAGATGCTAGAGATTTGCGTGAACATCCAGACCAAGGAGTTAACTCGCTTTTCTTAAAATAACACAGGCCGTTCCCATCACATCGCCATCCTCCACACCTCTATGAAGTCGCAAAGTTAAAATATGCAGTTGCACTAAGCACTGCCTCTTTTGAAAAGGTCTTGAGCCTTCAAAGTGTACAAGGAACACAATGCAAATCAAGTAGGTCCTTCCCTTAATGTGTCAGGGCAGCATTTGGACTCATGGGAAAGCCAGGGACTGTTGTGTTCTTGCAGCCGGTAAGCCATTTTAACTATTTTGCTGTATTGGAACAGAGCCCCATTTCGCAGTGTTACCCATTTCCTACAGTTGCCAGCCAGAGGCACCAGGGCCCTCACAAGCAAGGAAGCGACAACACCAGCCGACTCCCGTCCAGGTACCTGCATAATGGCGCTGAACTGTGCTTCGTTCTCCATCTGCTCGTCAGCTACGCCTCTCTGGACACTCGCCAGAATGCTGGACTTGAAAAAGTACCGCCAGTTGTGATGAAGGACCCGGAAAAGCAGCTCAAACAGTTCAGCTTTCACATCGGGAGAGGATCGCTTGGGGACAAAGGGAAAGCACGCAGGGAGTCACCAGACGCCCATCGCCAGAACGGCTCTCATTACCAGCACAGCCCAAGGCGGATGGTCAGAGAGGGAGGTGTTTGCTATGCAGCAGAAGAAGGCAGCAGTCATGGGTTAGTGCTGCAGTTGCACACCCTTTAAGCACTGGCCCTCTCAAAAATAAAATTTTAAAGAAAGTAAGATGACCATCTGATTTTCAATCCATATTCCACCCAATGAAAGTTTAATGGCAGCTTATTTCCATGCAATATTCAGTCCACTTCTTTCCACAGGGAAGCAAAATAATAAACAGTGCCATTGCTTTCCTGACAATTTTAATTCCCGCGGATAGTTTGGCTGCTGCCTACCTCCTCCCTGCCATTGGTCTCACCATGTGTGAACAAAGCACCCGAGGACAGATCACTTGGCAGTGTCTGAAAAATGGATCCTTTTTAAAGGAGTCTATTTGTGCATCTGACTGCAAACCACCAAGTGGTGTACATCTGTTACAGAGAAGCCCTAAGGGCTTCTCAGGGGTGTGGCTCCACTGCTGTCCCATGATTCGGACCCTGCAAGAGCTTCTGCCTTGCCCCATCCCCTTCTGTCTCTCGCCCAGCCCTACCTCCGCAACGATTGGGTAGACTTGCTCCATGCAGAGTGAGATGATGTTGGGTAAGAAAGGCTTGAAGACTTGGCCTGGCTCTTGCACCACCACCTGAAGGATCCTCAGAAATTTCTCTACCACTCGGCACCCGGTGCTCCCATCATGGAGGATGCTCTCGGCCAGCTGCTCTCTAAGGGCACAACACAAAAAACAATTAAGCTTTCAGGAAGACTTGGGTCTAGCTGTAGAGCATTTGTTTACAGGCAGTAAATGCATAGAGACTTCCCCGTCCCCTCTGAAATCTGAGCCACATACCAGTCTCAAAAGCGAGCTCCATCCTATTATTACATATTCATGTTCTGTGTCAAAGAAACAGCAGCAAAAGATTAGCGACAGAAAGTTGAGCGGGTTACCTGGTGAACATGTTGAGGAACGTCTGTATGACCTGTTCGGTGAAAGGCACACCCATCTGCACCCTCAGCCCTTGAAAGAGGGTGAGGAAGAAGCTCAGCATTTCATCTGTCACATCTGGAAATGGGAAGGCGGAGGAGCCAAAAAGGAAAGCGTTAACAAAAAAAGCATTGTTTTGACATGTGACTGTTCTTGGGCAGGAGCCACCTTTGCTATTTGACACTGGACTGGCAAAGTGAATCTTCCCCTGGCACCTACTGCACAGCTAATGCCAAAGGCTTGACATCTTAGCCCTCCTTAACCAGCAGGTTCGAGAAATGGACAGCTAAGCAGCTGGTGACAAGGCTCTGAGTGTTATCAGTGTAATAGCATGTACAGTGGTACCTTGGGTTAAGAACTTAATTCGTTCCAGAGGTCCGTACTTAACCTGAAACTGTTCTTAACCTGAGGTACCACTTTAGCTAATGGGGCCTCCTGCTGCTGCTGACGTGCCGCCGGAGCACGATTTCTGTTCTCATCCTGAAGCAAAGTTCTTAACCTGAAGCACTATTTCTGGGTTAGCGGAGTCTGTAACCTGAAGCGTATGTAACCTGAAGCGTATGTAACCCGAGGTACCACTGTACAGCCCCAGTCAATGGCAAGGCACTGGATTAGTGCACAGAATGGTTTAGATTGAACTCTAGTGGCTGACTGCGGAAATGCAGGACTGTAAAAAAAAAAAAAAAAATCTGACACCTGACCCTAAACTCTGTTAGAGGGTGGCCTATATACATATAGAAAATAAAAAACCAATAAAATAAAATAAATACTTGAAATGAACAGTAACCTCTAGCGAACAACCATACTTGGTGTTACAGTTGTGCACCTACTCAAAAAGAAGTCATGCTGAACTCAGTGAGGGCTCACACCCATTACTCACTTGGACATTTACAGTCAAATTTTTGTCATGTTTACAGGTATTTGTGATTTTAGATGCTCTGCTCCTCTTGCGGGCTCACACCCTTGCTCTAGGTTGATTTTTAGCACCAATGTTGGACCACAGTTTAGGGTTGGATGCGAGGTTTTGTGTGACAGCAATTAACTTGCTCAGCCACTATGAAACATTTTATACACTTTTTAGTTTTTGTACCATTTGGTATAGTACTGCCATGCAGTGGCTGCTGCTTAGCTTGGTGCTGATATATGATTGCATTGGAATGTTTATTTGTCATTAATTGATCCGTTTTAACAATCAATAGCTTGTTTTATTATCATTTTTAAATATTATAACATTCAGATAAATCAAGCTATTTATTTGATGGTCATGTTATGTTTGAAATGACAGAATTTTTGATTGCTATTGTAATGAAGCGTTGTATTTGTATTTTTGTTACTGCTTTCAGTAACAAAGCTGCTTTCAGCAAATTTACATGGAAAAGCAACATACAATTTAAAACAAATAAACAAATTACAAGTGGGCTATGGGTCGTAATCTAGAGTTGTATCCTTGGATTGCAATCCAACATGTTTTCTGTAGGTACTCAAGAAGAGGGCATGTGCTGGCTGGAAACATACAGAGCCAAGTGCTAAGACTTAGCAATGCAGGATCAAAACTGAAGTTCAGCACCGCATGAGGCACCTGAGCAAAAAACCACAGACCTCTTACATATGTAGGAACATAGGAATCTGCCTTATACAGTGTCAGACCAAGGTTGTTTTAAAGTTCAGAGGCATAAAATAATTTACACACAATATATTTTAGCTCTTTTCGCCCTTCTCCACCCAAATTATTGCCCCCTGACACCTTGGATCTCAGGGAACCTGGAGGACTGAGCAGGTGAGAGTTATTTCTCCAATTTAGTGATGGCCACCAGATAATAAAGATTCCTACTGGCTGAGACAAAGCAAGCATTCCTCCAGAAAGAGCGGATCGTGACCGGTTGGGTTTAAGCCGGTACAGCTAGGAAGTTGATTTCTTGGATCCCCTGCATTGCAAATTCCCAACATTTACCTGGGCACAATATGATAAGCATTTCTTGCTTGTAGCCACAGGCCATTGTAAGTACAATAAAATACAAAAGACGAAGCAGAAGCAAATTTAATCCCACTCAAAATGAAATGACAGTTAAAGTCAACGTAAAAAACCATTTGGGGTTGCCCTTAATTTCTGCTTGCTCAAATTAACGAGTCACCTTTGCAAACCACCCACATTTAGTTCGAACGCCTCGTTCAGATTTTCTTCACTGCAGTGAAACCTGATAGGACCTGTGTTCGAATTGTTCCCTGTACAGTGGTACCTCTGCTTACGTACTTAAATCATTCCGGAGGTCCGTTCTTAACCTGAAACTGTTCTTAACCTGAAGCACCACTTTAGCTTATGGGGCCTCCCACTGCCGCTGCACCACTGGAGCACGATTTCTGTTCTCATTCTGAAGCAAAGTTCTTAACCCGAGGTACTATTTCTGGGTTAGCAGAGTCTGTAAGCTGAAGCATCTGTAACCTGAAGCGTATTTAACCTGAAGCATATGTAACCCGAGGTACCACTGTACATGGGAAAGATCAACCAGTTGGGACAGCCCAGTGGCATGCATAGTGCCATCTTGATTCCTGATGAATATTCTCAACACAAGTGTGGGTAGGGGGGCAGGAATTTATGTGGCGCCGGCAGCGCCTGTACGACCATGGCAGCCCGATGGGACTTCTTGCCAAGTACTGGTGAGAGCTCCTGAATGACCCACGCCTGGAAAGGCTGCCCTGTGATTATACCTGACTGATGAATGAAAGCTGGGAAGAGGGCTAGCGAGACCTGCACAGACTCCTGTAGTGACTGGTAGCAGAGCTGGCGGGACTTGGTGGCTTCCCCAGAGATGCTTTCCACGATATCTTCCAAGACGCTGAGAGTCTGATGGATAACTGTCTTGGCTGCAAAATCAAGAGAGGACATTCAAACCATCAGCCCAGGGCACCAGTGGTGGTGAAAATAGATAAAAGTTAAGAGGTGGTAGCCCGAAATTCCCAAACCATTTGCTGTGAGAAAATGGCTAGGTTTTCCATGGGAAATTACAAAATGTAGACCCAAGACACCCATCCCAGAGGTGCATCTCTGTAAGATTCCCTACGCTGTCCTTGCCTCCTCCTAAACAGCTTCTACTGAGAATGGGTCAGTCTGTCCTGTCTCTGAAGAGACGCAGCATAATCACCAGAGTTGTGCAGCCTGTCTGGACAAATACAGGATCCCAAACCAAATTGGGCCAATCCAGGATTTGTCTAGGCAGCCCCAAACTGCTCCAGGTTGGATCCATCTGAAGTGATCCAGGGCTGCCAAATGAGGAAGCAGCTGGTTGGTGGAAAAGGGAGGCGGAAATGATGGCGGTAGAGACATTGGCTCCTTATTCCCTCCCCACACCGATCAAGTGTTTAATTAGGCTTTAAACCCCTGATTAAACATGCGGTTGCAAAAGTGCCTAAATCCTTTCCTTCTCCCCCTCAACCACCAACCACAGGTTGAATTAGGTTTTAAAACCTTAATTGAAGTGCTGCACAAGGTCTCCCTCATTGGGTTTGGGTAAGTGGTGAGCCTGCTGCAGTACACACTGCTTCCTGCCAAACAGCTGTTGAAGGGGTACCATAGCATCAGCGAGAGCTCCCACATGCCATTTTGGAGCCCTTGGAGTATTTTTTTCCTGGACTTTTGGCTCACTGACATCCTTTTCAGGCTCTGAGGAAGGTTTCCTTGCGAGCCACAAGGATTTTCCAGCTGTCTCTTGCCATTTCAGGTTAGGAATTGACTGCCTGGTGCCACATGTATACACAGTCACACACAAGTGGGGGGATGACTGTATTTATATAGTACCATTAGTGAGCACGACACTTTACAGAGTACGAGAGATGCATTTGTCTAAACCTCGCAACCCCCAGCACCAATCCCCTTATTTTCCCCAGAAGGACCAGCTGGAAGGGAAACAAAACTGATAGCAACCTCTCTTGGACTTAGGGGGACTTCAAGATCTCAATGTTACTCACAGCTATAAGTAAGGGTTAATTGCCAATGGACCATTGGGAACTGAGACATCAGTTATGCAAAGCTGCTATGTGAATACTTTGGCCAGAATGTCAGAGAGGTTTACTGATCCTTCTGTTCCGACTGTGCTAGCAGTTACTCTGCCGTTGCTAACAAGGCCTGTATTGGGGGAACTTACTATCGTCCTGCTGTATTTTCCTCTGGGGCAAGATGGCACTGGATTTCAGGCTGCGGTAATCCCTGGTAAGGGCGGAGATTAGGCTAGCATGGTTAGTCGAGCGAATGGCCCACTGCTGTTCACTTTCTGGGAGGTTTGGCCATGGCAGCAGCAGGATATTTGAGAGCGCTCGGCACACGAGTATCTGAGCCTGCGGAGAATAAGACAGATCAAACAAAAAGAAAAGAAAAGAGGTAAGGAGGGAGAGAGAGGAGAAGGAGCTGAGGAAACACAATCAGCAGCTCCGAAAGGGAAAAGGATGCTGGTGTCCAACCATTTAGATGGGGTTGCCTTGACACTACACTGCACAGACATGCCAACAGCAGAGCCAAAGAGCTTAGAGTCAACAGGCTTACTGAGCACTAAAAAGAAGAGGAGTTTGGATTTGATATCCCATTTTATCACTACCCTAAGGAGTCTCAAAGCGGCTAACAATCTCCTTTCCTTTCCTCCCCCACAACAAACACTCTTTGAGTGAGGCTGAGAGACTTCAGAGAAGTGTGACTAGCCCAAGATCACCCAGCAGCTGCATGTGGAGGAGCGGGGAAGCGAACCCGGTTCACCAGATTACGAGTCTACTGCTCTTAACCACTACACCACACTGGCTCTAAGCAAAACACACGTGCGTGGTTCAGATGCATGCTGCTCCTCTCCCCTCTCTTTATTGGAAGCAGCTGTGAGATCGGAAGCAGGCCACTTCTAAGCTACCCAGAATTACTTCTTGTGTCTGAACCATCTACAGTCAACGGACGTGCAGTGGTGTTGCTCCGCTATCCAAGCCAATACAATGGCAGCTCACTCACTAAGTCCCACTGTACCTTATCAGGGAGGCGCTGAGCAGAAGTATCTGTGATCCTGTTGAACATTTTCTGGACAGCTGGGATGCTGATAAGGAACACGGGCCGTACTGTGGTGGCCAAGGAGACGAGCAGGTGGCAGGAGGACAACAGTAACTTCTCTTGTACCTGAGCAGGGCGGGGGGAGGGGCAGGAGGACAGAGATCTTCAGCCTCTTTTGTAACTGAATCAACAGAAGGGTTTGATCCTGAAGATTCAGAAACAGTACATAAGAGTGAACAGGTTTGTTGTGGCTGCTACTCCACGGAGGGGCAGCTGAAGGACATGCACTGGTCTTCTGGAACCTCTTCAACAGCTTATGAATGAGGAGCCAACCAGCAGCAACAATAACCTAGCCAGAATACTGCTTACGCTGCTCTTTCAGCCCATGATTACAAGAGGCAGCAAGAAGTTTAAGACCTCTCAGGAGTTCTGAGGGAGAGCAATTTATCAAAAAGCTAAGCCAGCCTCCCCAATTGGCGACAAGGAAGACAAAAGACAGGAGCAGCCAGAACCCAACCTGAAAAGTTTTGGAGAGGACTGCAGCTCAACCACTGCTCTAAACAGCACAGGATGGACAGAGGAGAACCAGGTTGGAGGCAAAGTTTTCATGCTCTGGTTCTGTTTTTTTGAATGGTGATCTCTAGTCTTTTGTTCTCCTGAGCACTCTCTTTGAAAGATCACCTTCCACCCAAGAAAGGGAAGCTCGTACTGCTGCAAAATGGTAGCTCAACCCAGCAGCAGTTCACTACCGACAGTTCAAATGAGGCAGCTTCCCATTATACACATTGACCAATAATTTACGTCCCCTGCACAAGAATGGCCACCTTGCCCGGCAAAAGAGGGATAGTTTCAAGGCTTGGTTTTGTACACAATGGCTGATGCTGCTGGGTCATGCATTGTACCTTAGAACTGATTAGTGGAGTGATTGCTTCCAGGGCAGTAGAGACGAGGGAGACAAATTGTGTGGGGTTTTGCCGATGAACTTCACCATAGAACTGTGCTAGCCAGTGACAGTAAGCCTGCAGGGCTGCAAGGGATTGTGCATGCCTAGAGGAACAGAGAGACACAGAATCTCAAATGTAAGATGAAGGGAATAGAAGTACACAAGACCAATAATCTTCAGGTCTACTCATTTCCAGTTGTGTATCTGACTAGAACCCTAGCTTCCTAGGTCTAACATGCTAATCCAGCCTTTCTCAACCTGGGTCCCCAGATGTTGTTGGACTACAACTCCCATCATCCCTGACCACTAGTCAACCCAAGGCTGAGAAAGGCTGCATCATGTAGGCTCTGCGAAACTGGTTGGCTGGGCTCAGGTCATAGCAGTCCATGACATCATTTGGTTGGGGCAGTTGCATCATGAGGAAGTGAGCAACACAGAGGAAAGGATATGAGACACATGAGCTGGGCCTATGGAGTCAAGGAGTGAAAACATCTGACATTCCTAGCAATGCCATAATCTATTAAAAGGACTGTTGACAAGCTGCTACAGAAGCTGCACAGACCACCGTGGCACTCTGACCGTGCAACTCCCTCCCACAGGACATGGAGAAGCAAAACTTTGGGCGCATTGTTTAGCCTTGGGATAAGGAGGATCGCTAGCTGGGAAGGGACGTCTGGTGGGGCTGGGCTGTGGTCATTCAGACTCTGCTGGGCCCCTCTGATTTCCTGTGGAGGAAAGATCTTTCGCAACCCCCATCACTATCAACGACTGCAGGGTGAAGAACTCTAGAGAGTTCCCTTGCATAGGTACAAAACATGTCTTTTGGCTTCAGTAAGGAACCAGACTTCAAGTGAGCATTTCCAAAACACTTTCTAACACTGCATTTTTTATTATTATATCATACTCACACATCAATAAGATCAGGTTTCAGGACAGATGGCACAGCAGTTTCAATATTGTAGAGTTTAATCTGGGACCCATATAGAGTTACCTTGACCAGTCTGTGGGAGGAGATAAGAGGCAAGGAAATGAGGAAAAGTGGGACTCAATAATATACAGAATCCTCTGCTATATTGAACATAAACCCTGCTTTAAGTTGGATGCACAGAATCTATGCACAAAAGGGAAAGGATGGGAACGTGTGTCCCATTTTGCCCATTTATAAGTAATGTTGGTGGAAGACATTTTGGGGCCTGATGTTGTGATCAATTGCTTTTAGCAATTAAATGTTTAAAAAATGATTTTCAGGTTTATACATTTCACTAATTTTACAATCATTTTAACATTTCAAAACTTGACTTCCTTCCCCCTCTTTCTGCAGTTCCTTAATTTTTAAAAAATATCTTCTGCATATCCAAATTAACTTAATCTGCTCATTTATTCATCTACTTTAAATATATACTCTTATGAAACTGCAGGTTATTACACTAATCCTGCCAATGTTCTTATCTGTTTACAATTTATCTGTAAATATTCAATAAACCAATTCTATTCTTTTATAAAAAGTTTGTTATCTTGATTTCTTATTCTTCCGGTAAGTTTCGCCATTTCTGCATATTCCATAAGTTTTTGTACCCATTCTTCCTTTGCTGGGACTTCTGCTTCTTTCCATTTTTGGGCAAGTAACATTCTTGCCACTGCAGTAGCATACATGAATAAGTTTCTATGCAGTTTAGGTAGTTCTGTTCCTTTAATTCCCCAAAGAAACGTTTCTTCTTTTTTGTTTTTTACAAATGTTTATTTGTTTCTAACTTCTTATTGTTAGCTACTTTGAGCTATTCAAAGGAAAAGTAGAACGTCCTTTTTGGATACAGTCCTTCAGAACAAATAAGGAGTCTGAAGACATCTGATTTGGAAAGTTCTAACCCTCATCCAGCCTGCCAAACCTTACAAGTAATATGTTCTACTGCAGGGGTGGGAGGCTGGATCTGACAGGTGGGCAAGATCATGGCATCCCCATCTGCTGTCGGTGACTTTGACAGGTGGGCAGGACCAAACCCAGCATACCTGCGTTTAGTGCTGAATGTAAATATCGCTTGCTGCGGGTACAGATTTACCTTGGATTCCATTTCACAGCAAATTTACAAAGGTGCCAAATACAAATTCCAGTTGCAGATAAACAACCAGAGGTGCACTTTCCGGCTCATTAGTCCTTTGCAGCTGGCTTTGCCTGAGGTCATATCACATCAGTGTGGGACAGATGAGGAAATAGGGCTTCCTGGGTCAAATTAGGATCCTTGCCTGCTTTGGCCCACAGGTAAGAGGCTTGGATGCCTGCCCTACCACTTCCGCTGTCACTGCCAGTCAGTGAAGGAAATACTGAGCAAGACAGACCAGTGGCCTGATTTGGTATAAAGCATCTTTCTATTGTCTCCATTGGAAGCACAACACCCATAATCAAGGGTGCATATTGTAATCACTGGTGTTTATATTTTGGTGCTATAATGGGATTGCTTTATAGTATATTTGAATTATGGTGTATTTTAAAAATTCTTCAGCATTTTAACAATGCTGTGCTATTGATTTCTATGTTTTATTTATTTCTTTTATCTATTTAACTGCATTTATATGCTGCTCAGTCATCAGCATTTCTAAGCAGTGTGTGTAAACTGCTCAGGAGTCACCTTGGCATTTGGCAGCATAAAGAAGAGCAGGACTCTCTTAGGACTGCATGTAAAGACCTACAGGAGGCATATCATAAAGACAGACAGCGGCTGGAGCTGAAATGCCAGCAGCTATTAGCAGGCCTGTCCCAGAATCCAACTCTACAAGAGGGTCACGCTGCCTACCTCTCCACTACAGTATGAGCATCGCTGAACCTCGCGGCAAACATGTCCCCCGTGAAGTACTCGGCTAACCGACCAACCGCTTGGAGCAAGGAGCTGAGGTCGCGCAAGGAGCAGTGTAAGCGCCGGCAGTCGTTCTCTGCAGTGATGTTCAGCCTGTGACCTGAAAGGACAGCATGAGCCAGTGGGAATAAAAATGCAAGGAGAAACCGGAATGCAAGTGCTTCTGCTAATAGGGACAAATTGCTGCCCATTAAGGTGATTTAAAGAAATGGCTGCCTCCTGCACAAACTCAAATTCAAATACAAAGATTGTCCGAAGCCATAACCTTGTAACACACAAGGCACGCATATGAGAAATCTAATTATGCAGATAGCTTGCCAGGAAATGAAACATTTACCGTAATTACATTACATGCATTTTCTCTGCATTAGCTGTCTTGCAGGTCACAGTTCAAGCACCGAATGCAAGCAAGATTGCTAAATTAGGCAGCTTAGAAAGGGGCATTGTTAAAGAGGACATTGGGGTTTTAATCTTTACTAATTATTTGCAGCTCTTTTCCTCCCTAAAGGCTAAAATATTTTTCAGAACAGGGTGGCCCCGCTTTACCGCACAAGCAACAACAGGGACCCAAACAGCAGAAGTCAAAGTAGTTTAATCGGAGAAAGAAAATCCTGATTGGCTCAAGGGGGTGGGCTCTATACAACTGCAACACAGAGAAGCTGCGTGTTTCTAATATCCGCTGCTGAAGAGCACACCCACAAGAAAACACACTGGGATTTAGTACTTCCAGTTAAATAGCAGGAGTCAAAGCAATCTTAATTTTGTGACCAGAGGTGCCATCTTCTTAAGAGGATTGAGGGTGCCAGTTTCTCTTCAGCAGCGGATATACTTTGGTGGGGAAAGAGTCAAAACTGCCCCAGCCCCTAGGAGTTGGCGTGCCTGTTGTGGGCGGTTACCAGCCATTTTGACCTTGAACATGCCTAGCCTACGGTAAAACGCTTTACACAGGGCTGCTTTTCAGTCTGTGCAGAATGTGGCATCCAGATTCCTAACTTGTCTGGGTGTTCTGATCTTCTCTCGGGCCTCTCCTGCATTAGTTGCAGAGGTTCCTGGTCTGTTGCCGGTCCAAATTCAAACTGTCAGTTTGACCTTGAACATCTAGGGGTCCAAAAAGCAGCCCATCTCCAAATACACCTTTCTGTACCTTAACATGTTCAGCAGAAGGCCTTCCACAGAATGCCCTCACCATCTGAGGAGAGGTGGTTGTTTGGCAGGCAGGCAGGCAGAGGGCCTTCCCAGTGGTGGCACCCCAACTATGGAACAGCCTCACCCTAAAGAGGCTTACCTGGAATCATTTTTGTTATTTTGGTTCCAGGCAAAGGTCCTTTTTATTATTTTCATAAGCCTTTGTAATATTTTCTTTTTTAAATGTTTTACAGTCTGTTAACTGTTTTATGCTGCTTCAGTTTTACTGCCTTATTAGTTATACCTGTATCTGAAAGTTTACTTCGATCGAGACACTTCAGAAATAAAACTACTTGGGTGTTTAACCAAACTGTAGTATTATATGGAATTTTATTAAAGGGAGTGATATAAAATACATTGCCCCCCTCCCCCCGAAAAACCTCACTTGAGACAAGTTATATAATGCGCAAGTTAAAACACCTTTTTTGTAAAAAAGTGCATATAAAAGTCATATTTCTGTAAGCCAAAAAGGAATTTACAACAGGTAGAATGTATTAACCTCTATATAATGCAGAATAATACAGTTAGACACCATACAGAGTAAGCAAATTTTATCTACTGGGATGTTTTTGCCAGTATAAATTGCCGTTGATGTCAGTATGAACGTGCATACTTAAGCAGTTTTCCCAAGTTAAAGAATGCCAGCTCAGTGATCAGCCCCATATTATAGCAACACAAACAGCACACAGACATGAGATTTCAAACACTGGTAGTTTGCCTTACCTGTTCCTGAATTGACTATGAATTGTTGGAGTCCCAAATATACATCTAGATTTTCCTGGAGAACTGGAAACTGAGGAGAAGAAAACAAGCATAACTACAAGGTCCTCAACTATACTAAACATGTATGGTTCCCTGCTGTTTAGAAACTGGACCTAAGCACAATTCATCTGTCACCTAAACCTTCATGGACAGGGAAAATAAAAGTTTGGGAGTTCAGGATTGGTTCAGTATCATAGCCTTACAATGAAAATGATGTCAATGGGACACTGCAGGAAAACGATTCCACTGGGAAAGAAGCTTTTCCAAAACAGGACTTGCTTACTAATGGTCTGCAGAATGCTCTTAAATGTATGTTTGCAGAACTGCATGGGTCCCAGTGGTCAACAGTAACACCCTCCATTGCCTTTACCTGGCATTCAAGTGCCCCAAGGGCTTCACATACGTTACTGGGGATGTCTATGAAGATAGGCAAGGCACCAATAAAGGTAAGTCACTGTTCCCATTTTTTGTCCCACCTTTATGCAGTGGTCGCCAAGGTAGCATATATGCAACAGTGACACACAAGAACACACAAAATAAAGCAGATTAACATAAACAGTGTCAGCCTTACCAGCAGGAGGGAAATAACCATGAACAATTCCATAATGATAACCTGCCTGTAATCACCACCATCATAATGGGATGACTTATTCTGAGAGTGCAGCTTGTTTTTAAGGTTCCCTAGTCAATTTATGGTGAAGGGAGAGCTGGATCAGATTTATAGCACAACATCCTATGGTCAAAACTATGTGGCACTAAATATATCATTAGCAACAATGCCTGTGTTTTTCAAGAAAGTATTAAGATGCCACTCCCCGCATCTTCCATTTTTCGCAGGAAAAACTGTACATGAGAAAGGGAGGTTAAACCCTTCCTTTTCCAGTCACATTATTGCCATAAACAGCCCTACAATGCTCTGCAATTACTCTTAGAAAGTGTTCTTATAGGTACTAATGTGACTCCCACACCCTCAGGTTAAATATTGCAATGTTGCTGGGGTGGGGGGGGTGGTGGTAGGATAGTGGTATGATCCAGTTCCACTGAAATCTGCTTCCCCTAGCTTGATATTTTTTTTTAACCCAGATGTAATGGCAAACAAGGCATACAATGTCACATGCTAATATTGGCCAGGAAGGGAGGGGTTTAACCTGTCTCCAGTCTCTTGCAAACTTCCCCCAACAATGCATGTAGCACTACATGTGGTTTGTCACATTGATCATTTATAGCTACTATTCTGCTAGTGTACAGGTCAAGGGTCAGAGGATGAAGTGCTGAAAGACAGAAGAAGCAACACCAGCTCCCAAAATCTGAAAAGCCACACAGCCCCCCCCCCCCCCCGGACTGTAAGCCTTTAAACACACACCATGCTGCTAGGTATTCATTTGCAATATAGGTTTAAAACTGCACCATCTGTTGGCAAACTGCAGCATTGAGTGTCCCCAAACTGGAAAGCACCAAGTGATGAGCAGGGAATCCCTGCCAGAAGTGTCAATCTCACACCAAGGAATTCTAAGTGCTAATATAGCACCACCGGACAAGGAGATGGCATGCTGTGTTACTAGCCAGCAGGTATGTCACAGCTTTGCAACAGGGAAGCAAGATGGGAGACACAGGGAAACGATCAGAGGCCTTGGCTGCCATCCCAGGAGTCAATGTCATGTGGCAGGATTTAAACCGCATAGTTGTTCCAGCTAGGTCTATTAACTCAAAGCCTACCTCCTAGTGGGCAAAAGTTTAGCAGAGCCATCTCATACTACTACTAACTTGGCATTCTCCTCGTGGCAATAGCCGCAGAGAGGATGTACAAGATGCGATTTCTGCCAAGGAGGTGAGAAAACAGATATCCAGTCTCGAACTGGAACCCAGGGTAGAGGTGTGCCCATGTGAATGTGTATGATCTCGTGACATGTGCATGCCAGCATGTCGCTGTTAAAGGAGTGGCCAACCCTCAAAGTGGACCCTAGTCAGAAAAAGGTTAAGCCACCCCTGCTCTATACAAAAGTGGCACACAGGAACACAATTCCCACCAAATACTTTCACTTTACGCTTGCCAATTGATTTTAAGATTCCTTGAAAAGGTGAATGAATGAAGCACTGCTTGAAGTTAAGCTAATGCCTCAAAGAAACTTTGCAAGTGAGTCATGTGTACTGGGTATTTTTATTTTATTTTAAAGTTAATATTACTATTATTATTTGAGCCTCCATTCTAGGTCAGAAGGACCACAATCCTCAAACTCAAACATCTTTTCCCACCACCATCTACTAATCTGGCATGTTTATATCAAGACAACAGAACCTTGGGGTCAGGCTTTCGGTGAACTCAATGGAGTGAAGACCGCAAACAGGCAATTCTTCTAACCACCTGGAATTCCTGCTACACCTCACATCAAAAAGCAGGTCTTTGAAGTAACAATGGCATGGATCTGAAACTCTGAAGGACAGTGAGAGTAAAGCTCACACTCCCCACTTACCAGGGTCGAAAAGGCATGCGTTGGCAGGAGCTCCATTACTTTGGCCACTACTTCCAAGCTCTGGCGTAGGTACCGCTGCCACTCTGTCTGTTGCTGTGAGAAAGAAATACCATGATCAGCTGTTTTATTTGCCTTTGCACCAGGGTTGTTGGAACGGATTTTCCACAAGTAGAAAAATGAGGCGACAGAATGCTAAGTGGCTAGAGTGGGCAATTCCAGTTCATGCTATGGGTGAAGAAATGCCATTTAGGAACACTCTGACAACTTAAAAACAAATATGCAGGTAAAAATTTAAAAAACCTGGCACACCTGCAAAAAAGGTTCATAACCCCCACACCACACTTCCCAGGCTTGCAATCATAAGGCACAAGACATTGGAGGTGGTGCAAAGTCCTGTCAGCCTTAAAGATTTCAGCTATGCTATTCTGACATGCCTTTAGATTTCATAATGTGCAATGGAAGCATAATGTTTTCTACTTTCTACTTTCACAGTTATTACGATTCTCAAGTCTACAGTCTTCTGCTTCTTACATCGTCATCCAGCGTCTCGTCATCCAGCTCTTCCAACTGGGCCTGGTTGTACCTGAACTGTATCCGATTTAATACTTCTGTCAGCAGAAGAACCAGGGCATCTTCGTACCTGGGAAAGAGCAAAAGGAAAACCCCAATCAAATTTGGAACCATTATTATGGAAGGAAATAGTAGTCCATGGGAAGTTATACCAACGTTACTTAAACTTAAAGAGAAAAAGGCATGGTTGCAAAATAATAGTAATTATGGGGTGATGTTCAGCTAAGTTTTACTCAGAGTAGAGCTACTAAAATTAATGGAACTAAGTCATAACCACTAATACCAATGAGACCACTTTGAGCCAGACCTAGTTGAATTCTGTCCATTCTAGTAGAGTTGACAATGTATGGAATATATGGAAAATGAGTTTTAGCATCATTTGGTCTGACACCACATCCTTATTCAAGATAAGTCATTGCTAAACGAAGTACGAGAGAGGAAGTTCTCACTAAGGCCTTGGCAGAAAGCACCGTTTCATTTAAATAAGAGGACAATTGAGCTACTCAGAAAGGAATTCCGTTATGCATAATCAAATCTGATTGCTAAGTGTGTACATACCCTGGTGCTGCCTCCCCTAACCAGCTGTGCTCCAGATGTTTCCAGACCAGCCACGATGGCCAATAGTCAGAGATGATGGGAGTTTTAGCCCATCAGCATCTGGGCCGTACTAGGGTGGGTAAACTGCCCTAATATATCATCTGTTCATTCTCTCTCTCTTTATTCTTCTGCACACACTCTTCATGCTTCTGATACCATCTTGAAGTCCAAGATTCACTGTGCTACGTCCATATACATTGTTTCTCTCTTTTATTTGTCATTCTAATTTCCATTTCAAATCCAGGCTACACTTCCACGCCTGTTTTCCACAAGGCTAGTTCAACCTGCACAGTCACAGGCCTGGCCACTTTTAAGCGGGTAAGAGAAAGCACGTGCGCGCGCGCACACACACACACACACACGCCTCTTTAAGAAAGGAGTAATATGGAGTGAAAGTTTGCTTGTATATTCTGGGGGGAGAAAATCTATGTTTTAAGGTCAAACTCCAGTTGCGAGTGTGCAATGCTGCTGGTTTGAATTTCAAAATAATAGTGTTCCCTGTAACTTGAGATTTATCTACAATACTGATGCACCATACTCACATCAGATATTTATCGCCTTGAGATGTTTAGCTTTTCTTGTTAAAAACAAGCAGAACTTTAGTCCTAGAGGGCTTACAAGATATGCTTGGAAAGTGCGTCAATGAAATCTCAAGAGGCAGAAGTTGAACTGGATTATTAGTTTCCTAACAATGCTCTCCACTCTTCCCCACAGCCAGAATATGTTATGCAAATAAATACTATGAAAATTGGTTTGACTTGCTTAACTTATACAGGTTGCAGAAGTCTGCTTTTCCTAGTGCAGGACCCAAATACAGATATACATTAAATGCCCAGAACCCCAATCATGCACGAGGAACTGATGCCCTTTCCTACAAAACCGCAAATACCATTACAACATTTCCAGGTATGGCTTCATTTTTAAGACTGCCCTTCTTAGAAATGTGGTGTTTACTGCCTGAACAAATGCAGAACTCAGCCTATTTTCTCACGAAGCTCCCCAATTGCAAAACAAAAAGAAAAAAGCAACACACCACTGAGTGACATCAGCCCCAGCAGTGACCTAGCAAGTTGCAGGAAGTACTTGCTGTCCCACTATTCTTTCGTAAGAAAAATGCATTGAGAAAAAGCTCCCTCCAGCATATGCAAAAGACAAGTGAGCAAGCTAAAAATGTATTTCTCCCACCCCCACCTGCTTTGAGGGAGTCTGCTGACAGCTTATCTTACACGCTCTCGTGCTCTTCTCAGCGTGGTTAGAAATGAACTACTGAAGGAGAGATCCTGTGGTTATTTGAACATGCAGTCTGGGGAGATTTAAACCCCAAGATCCTGTATTCGAACCCACATTTCCCTTTTGGGTCATTTGTTTCCTCCTCCACTGAGGGGACTGAGCATGCAAACCCACGGTGTGCTCCCAAATCCCTTCCTGCAGACCATCTCAAGGGACAAACAACTACATTGAATAAGCTCTCTATCTTAAGCATGTGGAGAGTCTGAGCAAGGAATAGGGTCAGGCCAGGATGTCAATTGAACTGGGAGGCTGGTAGGAGCACCCAGACTAGCTGATTTGTACACGAGGCTCTGCTTGGAAGAGGCGTAAACTACAACGGACAGGAAGCCTCAAATGCTGTTCCTGTGGTGTAAGCACGCTTACGCTTATAGGTAAACACTTCCTGTCCCTATGACAGCTCTACAACTTCCTGTCCCTATGACAGCTGTAAGAGTTGCATTAAAAAGAAACACGTCCAGAAATAATGATGCAACTTCCCTCTTCTTGCATTCTTACAAGTAGCAAATGAAGGTTTGGAACTCCCTCTGTGAGCAACTAATCCTTTCTGGCTGCCAATCTCCTTAATCCAAGCCAGTGAGACTTGGGCTGAAACTGTTAAGGAGTGTTTCTTCCCACTATATTAGGTCTGCATACGCAGCTGTACAAAGCAGCAAAATGGATTACCCCTTTTCATACAGAATGGGACGGGAGGAGGTGGTGTTACTTTTTCTGAATGCACCTATGTGGGGAGAAAGGTCTAAAACTAGAAAGCTAGTCTGAGACAGAACTAATATTCCTTGAATGCTAGTTTGATTTTTAACTTTATGGTGGAATAAAACAACAACAACTTATATATGTGGGTGAGTATTCAAATTAACACCCCCCCCACTGACATGGTACAGTCCATTCTGGCACATCATTCTATTGCAAGTTTAGTAGATCAGGCTTTCATTTCTAGCTTAGAAACATATCTGAAGGCAAGCTTCTCTCCACTGTGCCCAGTGCAGTGCACCCAAATGGACTCTGTGAGAACAACAGCAAGTAAAAATAAAACTGGCCTTTTCCACTGCAATCCTGAATGCCTCTGCGCAGAGCAAGAGCAGCCACAGGATTATATCCCAAGTTGCTAGAAAAAGGACAAGCCTTTAAAAAAAAACACCACACCCTTTGTAGCCTTCAAAATGATGCCCAGTGAAGGAAGCAGCAGGAAAAGCTGTGATACAAATGAGCAGGGATCTTCCACTGCGCTGCTAATCTTGCTTACCTGTTGAGAACTGCTTCTTTATCTGCCAGACGACTCTTTATCTTACTGGTTAAGTAATCCAAGAAGAGAGTCCAGATGTCTAAGCAGGAGAAGTAACCTTCATGGGTAGGCTGAAACACGGAAGTCAACAGACAATTTTTAACAGTAGCACAAACTGGATATGGAGAGAGAATTGTAACAGCCACTTGATAGACAATGGAGCTTCTCTTCCTTGCCTTCCTCCTAATGTCACCTTAGACCACATTCACACCATACATTAAAAGCAGAATCATACCACTTTAAACAGTCATGGCTTCCCCAAAGAATTCTGTGAACTAGTTACGGGTGCTGGGAATTGTTTGGAGACTCCTATTCCCCTGCCAGAGCTACAATTCCCAGAGTTCCCTGGAAGAGGAATTGATTGTTAAACTACCCTGATAAGTTTTTAGGTCCCAATTTTGTTAGGTCTTTTCATTCTTATTTTCATGACCAGTTGCTCTGAGAACCCCTTGGGGTCTGAAGAGGGAGTAATGCATATGTTCTTTTTTTATTTAGGTTCTGTTTTAAATTCTCTTACTGTACCCTGGAGCTGGAAAACAACAACAACAATGCAGAGACAAAAGAAGATACGCAAACACCACATCTTGGCACAGAAGCATCTCATTCTGCACTCCTTATCTTTGAACAAGCCTGAGAGATTCAAATGCTTGTATCCTGCATTTGAAAGAAAAGCTGGTCCAAATAAAAGGTACATTTTAAAATCAAAACTAAATACTGTCTCATTGGCTACATATTTTTATTTTCCTGGAAACCAAAACAGCTACTGAGATTTGATCTCAGTCAAGACCTCTGTGTTGTGTGGTACTCAATATAATATTTCCAGGCGTGCCAGGAAATCACTGAAATATGCACCCAGGGCATTCAGCGGTCAATCTGGAGACCAGGATTGCTGCTATTTTGCAATGTAAGAGTAACATTTTAATTCAAATGCAGTAAAAACCTGACAGAGTGTTTTCACGTGAAACCTTATAGGATAATCAACTCTAAACAAAGCTGGATTAAGGAGAAGAGACATGCCAGTGTTGTACCTGATGAAACGTGTACTTGAACAGCAATGCAAGGAATTCAACCACGGGAAACTGGGAGTAGGACTCGATCCTCCTCAAGTGGACACTCACAAAGAGGCGCAGAAAGTCAGTAAACTTCTCTATGTAACTACAAGGGAAAGACGAGAGAAAACCTGATCAAGTCAACCTGAATACTGACAGAAGCAATAGCAGCACTGAAACATTTAAATTTACTTCATACCTCTTTCATTAAATAACACATTTTGCAGCCATTTTAAAAACAATTAAATTAAATCCCTACAGAAATTACCTACACGGCAGGAAACCCTTCATTCCATTATTACCTGAAACATAGCAAGAAAGAGATTCTTTCGTCAACGGCAACTTTGGCTTTTGTCAAAATACCAACTCAAACCTTCTGCTAAGAAATCCCATTATGTATTTCACTGTCACCTATGTTAGCTGAAACATAGTTGTGCATCTCAAGCCACAGCCTGCTATGCCACATAGCGTGCCAATTTTGAAACCAGAAGGACTTTCAGAGCTGGCCTTGATAGGGAATGATGGATGGGGGGAAGGGGTGGTGCTTCTGAAAACCAAATGATCCCAGTGGATCCATCTATAGCACAATTAATATCTTCTACTATTAAGGTATTGAATTATGAAAGAACACAAGGCTTTGGCAGCGAAGAACAAAGCTGTTCTCTTCCCCCAAAACTTTATAGTCCAGGGATTCCCGCTCCCATTGGCCCTGGTAGCTGGGGCTGATGGGAGTTGGAGCCCAACAATCTTTGGAGGGCTGCTGGTGCCCCAGCACTGTTCAAGTCAGGTCCCCACCTGAAGGCAGAACAATCACACAGCTGCAAAACCCTCCAGTTTTTGGGGGAGCGGAAGCTTATTAAAAGAACATTGCAAAACAGAGATACACACTCAAGTCCCCGCCCCCAGCCACAGAACTTGAGAGTTCCTTTGTACACAGCACACACTGAGACCCTGGACAACTTTACTGGTTGTCTTAACGTCTTCTGTTTTGTACCTTAAGTGCCTCTGAAAGAGAGACAAAATTATAATAATTGTTATTTGCCGAACATTTCTTTCACACGCTCAACTTGCTTTGTGTCAATTATCCTGGTGATCCTTAGATCTGCCCCAAAATGCAGACCAGTACTGTGACCCTCCAAGTATCAGATGTGAGGGAAATGGATTCCTTCAGGCCACCAAGAGAATTCAAACTTAGAATCGTCATTTTAACTCAGAAAGCAGCTCTCTCTACCAGGATTGGGCAAAGTCTGACCTGCTCCTGAAATATAGAGTGCTGGGCGGTGGTAGTGGTAAGAAGAAATGGGCAGGTAGACTTTTATGTAGTGAATGAGGAAAAAGTAGGCCAGAAAATCACAATAAGACTTTCCTCCCAAATATGGAGGAATTTTGAGAGGCCTGCTCACATTTGATTTGCTGCTCACAAATTTAATACTCAGTTCAGTTAATCCTCATTAAAAAAAAGAACAGCACAGCATGGTTACTAGTGACATGCAGGAGCTAGAAGATGTTTTACATAATATGCCCTCTCCTTTGAAGCAGAAGTGTCTACTAGGAAAGAAGGAAGATATTAGGTAAAAGATTGAGGTGAGTGGGTGTAGAAAAAACTGGGAATTGGATAAGGTATGACTAGGCTGGATGCCTTGCAGGTGCTCAAAGTCTAAGAAAAGTCAGACTAGTGCTGACTTATAACACCACTACTTCTTGTTTTTGACGTTAGCCTTCCAGGAACATTCATTTGTAGAAACAAATGATATTGTCAGTTGCACCAACAGATCCCTTGAATCCCTCTCTGGCAGCAATTTGAAGCACACAGAGTGCTAAATCCTATAACCATCTCTGCCAGTATCCACTTCAACAGCTCCTCTAGAAAGCCAAGGTACTTTTGCTTTATTGTCAAAAGTCATTGACAAAAGCAGCCCAAAGTTTTCTCAGTACATTTCTGTTTTAAAAACAAACTAACTTGACTTCCCTAAGGGTAGATCCCGCAGCATACATTTAATACACATTCAGCACTCATCTAAAACACATGGCTTTACCCAGAGGATCCTGGGAACTGCAGTTTGTTAAGGGAAACGGGAAGTGCAGTTCTCCAAGGAGAAAACTCGTTCCCAGAATTCTTTGGGGGGAGTCAAGCTTTAAATGTGCTTTAAATGTATAGTGTGGATGTGACCCAAGGTTACTAGTCTCTTGTCTAAAAAGAGTACAAGTAAATCTATAGATATTTAAAGGAACAGGAAAATAAACTGACTTCTTTTGCATAGCTGGTTCAATAGCACAAGCCACTGCAGCTCTCCTAAGTTACTTTAAAACCTCTAATGGTTCTGCGTGATTTCATGCCTACAATTAGCATCCCCATCTGTTTGGAATTTGACAGTAGAGGCCAGATAGAAAAGGAAGACCCTTTTACCTCACTATGTCTCTTTGGCTGCTTTTAGCAACAACCGAATGAAGGCAAATTCAAATCTTGTGCAACCTCAGACCTGCAGCCAAACTGTAATGAACCGGGGGGGGGGGGGGGGGAGGAAGAAGGAATACAAACACCGCAGTCGCTTTGCAACGTCAGCCTCCCACAGCCAACGTACCTGGTCACACCTACCTGCCCACCCTTCCTTCTTCATCACAGGACTCTGAAAAAAGGTGATTAGACACACCATGCATGACAAGAAATCAGTAAAGACCGTCTTGCAGTAAACAGAAAAGATCAACAATATCGATTTGTCTGGGCTGGCTCTCCCTTACCTCTCGTCCAGTTCCTCCAGCCGACTCTTCACCGTATGGGCATTGTTCTCCTTGGTGATCTTCTGCAAGAGGTAAAACGTCTGCTGGAACATCCGCAGCAAGTACTCCTCAAACTCCACAGGCACACAGTTCTTTGACATCAGTTCATTGATGCAAGACATGGCAAGCACCCCAAGCCGGCCACGTTCTTGATTCAAGACAGAGTTCTGGCTGCTGCCATTGATGGAGGACATCTTCCTGGCTCGGGTGTCGCAGCCAAAGCGGGCAAAATGGAATATGGTGGTGAGGAGGGAAGGGGTGATGCTCGTAGACAGAGGGATCCAGCTGAAGAGGTGGGCTAGGCACTCCAATGCCAGGGAACAAATGTACTCGCTCTCTGTGTCAAGGACGGGGATTGGCTGGTTCAATAGTTTGGCTGTGCTGGGACTCTGCAACAAGCTACTTAAAAGGTCACCTGGGGAAGGGAAGATTGAAACCAAGTCTACTTGTCAGAATTCACATGGATCAGAACCAAGCTCTTTTTGGTGCAGAGCTTTTGGCCATTTTGGCACACAAACCAGGAAATACAGATCTGGTAAACTGTGGTCAGGATCTACCACCACCTACTAAATTTCTATCCCATCTTTCCTCCATGGAGCTCATGGTGACATTTTACAAATATATATGTTTGACACACCCACACTCACACACACCAATCACACACGTATAAAATTGGAAAAGTATTCTTCAACAACAAGCTAGTGTAGAGAAATGATAAATGGAAACACCAGCATTATCATTCATACTTCTGTCCCTTGAAATTCTTATAGGACAACCCTGTCCTTTATTCTAACAGACTTGTTTTTGCCTCCAGCCCCATCCCTGTGGGGTAGGTGAAACAAAGGGATAGTAGCTGGTCCAAGATCACACAATGAGCTTCACTGTTTCCTAACATTCATATAGCACACTTGACTGTTCAAAGCAGTTCACATATTTTCTCTTGGTGATCCTAACAACACTAAACTAGACCAGTATTAGCATTCCTAAATTTCAGAATACGTGTGGGTGGTGGTGGGGTTGCATTACATCCAACTAGTCAAGGTTCTAGTTGAGGCAAAATTTGAATCAGGGACATCTCAACTCCCTGCTCACATTTTTAGACACTATGTTTTATCATTTCTGACTTTCCACCCACTATTTCACAGACTGAAGTCTCAGCTGTAGCTTACAGCAAGCTGCTCACAAGCATGTATGTGCTGAGGATCAGACTGAGGTTCCCAAACTTCCCAATGTTTTTCAATCTTCATGACATTTGGCAGTCCACAGCTACACACTGAAGTCCCTTGATTAAGAATCTTTTTCCAGGTGCATATATTCTGAGCATCCATTCCCTTTTTCTGTTTGAAAGTTATGCTGAGGTTTAACTAAGTACGCAGGGAAGCCCACTGAGCTTCTCCCCATTTAAATCATGCATTAGTCTGGACTGAATTTATTCAGCAAGATTAGGTTTTTTTGGTTACATCAACTAAGTTGTACTACTCCTCTCATTTTTCTGAAGTGAGCAAGTATAAATTGCCATATTCTGGCACACACTCATAAGCATTATGAGTGGCACATCTGCCAAGAATGAGATGAATGAATGTATGTCATCAGAAGGGTTCATTACAACATTGCCCAAGCAGCCAGAGTGCCACTGCAGCATGGCTCCTTGCCACATTGTTGGGTAAGTGTCAGAAGCCCTGGATCATAAGAAAGGAATTTACAATAAGGTTCCTTTCCAGCCAGGAACTAGGGCAATGATTGCACACCACAGACACTTCTCAATATGGTCCACAGTATAAAAAGGTGTTGTACTTCAGCAGCTCCCCTACAGCTTGAGAAATGAATTTCTTTTCTTTAATGGACAACACCTCATAGTTCTTCCCACGTAGGTAGGTCTTAATCCACAGTTTAAAAATCATTAATGATTAGTTCAAACCTTACCACTTTCTCCTGAAGTTGGAGATGGTGGTGGAGTGGCAGCAGTGACACTGTACTTATCCCAGATGCTTTCCAAAATACCTATCAGAAAAGAAGAGCAAAATCCCCAGCAATTGCATGAGAGTTCCCATTATACTACATTAAGTAACAGTTTCATGTAAACTAAGGCTGCTCCTGCACCCAGGGAAAGCATTGTTCCAAGCCTGACAGAGGAAGTCAGTACATGCCTTGCAGCAGAGAGCTCCATATTGTTTGCTTAGGCGTCACGAGAATTAATAGTTCTGCTGTATTCTTATGTCAGAGGAAGTTATGACCGTTGTCTCATCAGGGTCTCATATTTTGTACTGCTTTTTAATACAAGGATGCTGCCCCCTCCACCACCACATGTCTGTCATTTCCACTAACCTGTGAGAAGCCCAAGGACAGTCTGAACCTGCTCCAGGAGCAGTTTGCGCAACTCTTCCTTCCTTGCTATGCTGAGGTCCTCCCGTGGGCATGCCAACTCTTCCGATGTCGTCTTCAGCATGATCAGCCCAAGTGGAGTTGTCGCAGGGGATTGGATCAACTGTTAGGAAAGTCAGGTTTAAGTATTAGCAGACAACAGCTTCTTTGAATTTGGTAGATGAACTACAGAGTTCTAAAGGGGGGGGGGCAATAAATTTAGCCTTAGAATGCAGACATCTTATCTCTACAGTGTTTTTGAACAGGAAAGCTTCTACATGCCATCTTCTAGTCCCAAAGACATCAGTGGAAAGACAAAGTGGGAAAGAGCTATATATTCATTGTAGTAAACAGAAGGGCAAAAATTACCTGGAATATTGAATGAGAGAGAAAAGAAAGCAAAAAAAAATAAAAAATGGTACCAGCATAATACAGGAATTGGTCCTCCAGAGATGCACTTATATGTTACAACAGAGTGCATCTCTGGAGGACCAATTATTCTGGTGTGGAAGTCCATCTCCATGCCAGGAAAAGCAGGTACTGTGTTATGTGTGAACAGTCTTGCCAGTGTCTGTCAACTTTGTGTAGCCATTACACATAATGGATGTCCCCCAAGTTGACAGACACTGGCAAGACTGTTCACACATAACACAATACCTGCTTTTCCTGGCATGGAGATGGACTTCCACACCAGAATAAGCAATGTGTGAAGCCAGTCTAAGCAACAGTACAGATTTTTAATCATTTACTTGAAAATGCTAGCTCCCTGTGATATGGCAATTCTAATAATACAACGTGCATTTATAAAATGCTGTTTTCTGAGAGCAATATATATCACATAATTCTAACACTAACTTTGAAAGGTAGACTAGTTTATTATATGCATATTACAGATAGCATGCTGAAGTAGAGAGATGGTGAGATGATTCAAATAAGAGCATGGCTAAATGAAAATTTTAGCTATGGCACTTGGGTTCATAGCATGCTCTCTTATACTAGAACTAAAAGTTAGCAGATTTTAGACAGCTGTGTTACTGAAGATGATATATTTATGTAAGACAAGCTAGGCTTTAACAAAATGAAAGGATTTTTAGGAAACACATCACAATTTTATCCTTTGGTTTCCCTTCAACAAGAAAACTGAAAATGTACTAACATATTAGGCCATCATTCCCTCTCTCAAATTTTTCATTTGGACATGCTCAAGAAAGCCGACTTCAGTCAAGGATTTTCTAAGGACTGCCTTACCTGTAAGATGTTTGTAAAGAAGTCATGGTAGAACATTGGCCAGTCTTGCCGGCCAATATCCACAATGACTTTGCAAAGTTTGTTCCTAATGAAGTAAGGCAGAGTTTTGTGGTGAGTCAAAAGAAGCTTGGGCAGGCAGCTGCGAATCTCCATTTTATCTTGTGATGGAACCCCAAGCCACATCTTGTTAATCAGGTTCTGTGGGAAGAACAAAAGAAAGTGAGGTGTCATTTTGTACTAAACTTGGAATCTTTGAAATATCTTGCTTACGGCTACTATTAAGAGCTGACAGTCATCATATTAAACCTAGAGGGCACAATACCAAATCTAGGAAAATGCTGACTATCTGGAAATCTGCTTCAGAATATTTACTTAGTAATGGAATTAAACAGTAAAGTATTTGCTTACAATTGAACGATGTACAGTGGTGCCCCGCAAGACGAATGCCTCGCAAGACGGAAAAACCGCTAGACGAAAGGGTTTTCCGTTTTGGAGTTGCTTCGCAGGACGAATTCCCCTATGGGCTTGCTTCGCAAGACGAAAATGTCTTGAGAGTCTTGAGATTTTTTTTTCCGCTTTTCCCGCCCTTTATCTAATCTGCTAAGCCTTTAATAGCCTTTAATAGCCTTTTAGCAGCTAATCCCCTAAGCCTTTAATAGCAGCTAAACCGCTAATAGCGCTAATCCATTAAGCCGCTAATAGGGTTACTTCGCAAGACGAAAAAACCGCTAGACGAAGACTCTCGCGGAACGGATTAATTTCGTCTTGCGAGGCACCACTGTATTCCCAAGAGGGAATCGTAAAGAGGGGAAATCGTAACCCTACTACTTAGCACCTAAAGCATGTCCCTGTTCATGGCCAGAGCAGAAAATATTTAACCTTTCAAGACAGCTAACAAAAAACAAGGGGTATATTTAATGGTGATCATTAATACTAAGGCTAGACTGAAATTCTTGGGAATTATCTCATAAAATGCAATAAATAAACAAGATAATGGAAATCTGTCTGCCAAAAGGAAAACCCATCTGTAAGAATAACAGGTGACCAACATTTGCTATCTTTAAATCAGGGTTACAAAAAATCAATTCAAACTCATCACCTCTGCTGCTCTGTATGGAATGGGAAATACTCATAGTGCAAAACGTTGTCATTAAACACAGCAAACAATCTGATGGTATAGCGGAAGAATAATCTAAGGCAGCCTTTTCCAACCTTGGGTCCCCAGATGTTACTGGACTATAGTACCTATCATTCGCAACCATGCTGGCCAGGGCTCATGGGAGTTATAGTCCAATACCATCTGGGGACCCAAGGCTATCCATACCCCTGGACCAGCTCGAATTATCACCACAACAGAGTTAACGGAGTGAAACAGAACTTGTAAGAGGCATGCTTTGAGCAAGTTTACTCTTGCCTAGTACCTTACCTCAAACACTGTCAAACTGTACATCATTACATAGTCATTTCTTGTGCTCGACAGGAAATAGAGGCAGAATCTCCAGGCACCAATCTGCTGGGCAAAGTTGTTCAGGAGCTCCTCTGGTTAAAAAAAAACGCCAAAAACTGTGTTAAAATTCATAGAATTTCAAGTCATTTGGCAATTCAATAGCCAATTCAATAGTTCCAAATAAACTACACCTTACACAGGGGGCAGGGAAGGGCTCGCAGGTTATTATGCAATTGGACTTTGGGGCAACCTGGGGTACAAAATATAGTACCTTCTTGAACATAAAAGTAAGGAAGCTCAGGACTGCTAGCTCTCTGCGTTTATCATCCAATGGTGGAAAGCAGGGAAGGCCAAGCAGATTTCTAAAGGAAACAATGGGCTTCTGAATTTAGGTAACAGACATGGGAGTCTGGCAGGTCCAAGGAACACACTAGACATGATGGTGCTGTAAGACTGGTCTCTTTAATTGCAGCCCTGACCTGAGCACATGTCAAGCAAGGAAAGGGTGTGTGTCCTGTGTGCATTCTGCTTTGAGAACAAAGGAAGAAACAGGTAAGGGGTACTAATTTCTCTCCATGTCCACTGCTTATGCCAGGTTCATTTCTGGTACTTCTGGAAGACAAGATTGTGGGGGTGAGGTAACCTGTGGAGGGAGGGGGAGCAATTTCAACAACCCCTCCTCCTCGTGTACCCCTTTCATTCTTAAAATTAGAACTCCTGCTTTACACATGATTGAGCCAACTGCACGTTTAAAGAGGTGGGTCAACCTCTGCATCTAAATTTGACTCAAAACAACTTATCCAAAGGGAGTCAAGAGAAGGATAATAGGTTCTCATTATGGTTCACGTCAGACTTGAATCACCCTTCCAATGACTGGATACCTAAAGATAATGGCTCTGAACCTAGCTCATGCCTCCCAGCAGAGAAAATTTCTTTTGAAAGAGTCCTCTGGGGGCATATTGTGGTATGCAGACTATTCCCATGCTGAAATGGATGCAGGAGGCGGCAGCAAGTGGGAGAAAGTAAGAACTTGCAGTTTTGCAGTTCCACAAAAAGCTAAATAACACACACATACGTTCTGAATTCCATTTGTGCATTTCTGCTTGTGCATCTATTAAGTAAAGAAGGCACAGAGTCTACATGGCAGGGGTACCTGGCCTTTTGGGGCCCAGAGACACATCTAGAAATCTAAAAAGTTGTTGTTGGCACCATAAAATGCTAATTTCACAGAACAACAACTGGAATACTCAGAAGAGTAAACCCCCCAAACAAGCCAGTCTCCTCAAGAGTCATTTTCTCCAAAAGATAATACAAAACAAAATTAAAGATTGGGAGCGAGAGGGGGGTCTTGGCAGTGTCAGAGAGAGGGTATCTGAGGGCACAGTGATGCCCATGGGTTCCATGTTGGAGACCCCCACCTCTATAACAGCACATCATATAGGAAATGCCATTATCGACTTGCCTGAAGTAGTAACAATTCCTTCTGAGTGGTTCACTAATTCACAGCTCAAGAGGCATTGTAACACATCTATTCATTCATGTAGGTTTTTGGGGGCTTCTAAGCAAGACTTATAGGGACGCAGGTGGTGCTGTGGTCTAAACCACAGAGCCTAGGGCTTGCCGATCAGAAGGTCGGCGGTTCGAATCCCCGCGACGGGGTGAGCTCCCGTTGCTCGGTCCCTGCTCCTGCCAACCTAGCAGTTCGAAAGCACGTCAAAGTGCAAGTAGATAAATAGGTATCGCTCCGGCGGGAAGGTAAACGGCGTTTCTGTGCGCTGCTCTGGTTCGCCAGAAGCGGCTTAGTCATGCTGGCCACATGACCCGGAAGCTGTACGCCGGCTCCCTCGGCCAGTAAAGCGAGATGAGCGCCGCAACCCCAGAGTCGGTCATGACTGGACCTAATGGTCAGGGGTCCCTTTACCTTTAAGCAAGACTTGATCAAGCACTAAGCACAGATATTAGTACTTTGATCATCCAAATGACATCTGCCCTCCAGTCAAGGGAGGCCTATGTGTTTCTGAAAGCTTTGGTTGCATTCAAGGAGCTTTAAGCATGCAGTGAAATATGAATTGAAGTGGACATATAAAAAATATACACTGGGTTGCATCCAATGGTAGAACTACTCAGAGAATATCTTAGCTATGAAACCTGTTGCCATCCTTTCAGGTGTCATGCCTAGCCAAAGGCATTTGGTACTGAGGTTGGAGAATGTGGAAATGATACTGAGCTTACCAATCTCACGCTTCCTTTCATTAGTAGTGCAATTGTGGAAAAACTCTGTCATTAGACTCTCCAAAGCTCGCAGCGAGGCCTCTTCTGATGCCTGACAATGACATTTCAAGAACAGTGTTAACATTAGGTTCCCCTAGTTCAACCTAATATTGCTCTAAGGTTTTTTTTTCTTTAATTAATCTATCAAACATTCTCCTCACAAAAAAATTAAAAAACCAAAACCCCTCCTCAATCTTGTGAGCAAAATTATGCAGTGTAGATCCATTTAAGTTTTGTGTTTACAAGCACATTTGGGCATTCTTATTACAGAATTTGGAAGTGTGGAGGCAGAGTTCACAGAGCCCTTAATGGAACAAAGGATCTGTTTAAGTACCAAAGCCAGGGTTTACAGATCAAGACTGGGCATACCTAGGAAGAAGAGGGCAGGGGAATTTGCACACAAGAGAGGAAGGGATGAGTAAGGTGAGCTCAAACAAGCTCGTCTAACAGGGCCTAAGGCTGCATGCACAACATACACCTTTAAAGTACAGTGATACCTCAGTTCCCAAATGCCCCCGCTGTCAAATGTTTCAGAAGCCAAACGCCAAAAACCTGGAAGTAAATGCTTCCGTTTTCTAACGTTTTTTGGAACCCGAACATGTGATGTGGCTTCCGCTGAGAGCAAGATGATTATGTTCGGGAACCGAGGTACTGTACATTCAAATCACATGTCCCCCCTAAAAAGAATTGTGGGCACTGTAGTTTACCCCTCAAAGAGCTACAATTCTCAGCAACTCTTAACAAACCACATTGCCCAGAATTCTTTGAGGGGAGAAATGTGCTTTGAATGTGCTCTAAGTAACAGAGTGTACACAGCCTAGTCATCTTACTAATAGTTATGGATGAATAAGATAGCCGAAGTATTGTTAGAACAGGTAATAATTTGCTTTTAAAATGTTACACAGAGAATGAAGCCTAACTATTGTTGCATATTCAGTATTAAATGACAAAAGCAGGCAGCCAGAGCTCAAGGAATCCAGCATCGCAACTGTTCTAGAGAGCTTTCCAAAACTATGCCTGAAAAATATTTTTAGCTTTTAACATACAAAACTACATTTCTAGAGTGTCCACCCTGTTACAACTGGATTTCCTCAATTTCCAATGGAAAGTAGTGGTAAGGAAAAATATACTTAACCAGTTCTGAACTCAGAAACACCTTTACAAAAGCTACATTTAGACAGGCTTACACACTGCAGTTTGTTTCTTAGCAACAAAATACTGCATTTTCATATTCTCTTCATAAGCTTAAAATAGAAACCTATCCCTTAAGAATGTTTGTTGAGAGAAGGTTATTCTAATAACGATAAAGAATGGACGGTTGTCAAAACCAATCCTGCGTTTATATGCTCTAAGGACTCTAAGTTATTCTTTAATCACATTTTTGACAGCAGATGCAAAAGCAGAACTGTACACAAGACTTTCTACCATACTTTTTCTTCAGTTCTCTAAGCTACTTTGTATGCTATTACATACAAATATTTTCGAAAAGGTTTTTTTAAAAAAAATCTTTCCCGGTTCCATGCTTGGCCAGAATGCTCAGAACAGCTATTCTGTACTCCTTTGCCTTGCACTGGGATTCAAAATCCAAAAGGTCCCAGGTTCCACCTCCAGCATCTCTAAGTAGGGTTGGGAGGGACCCCTGTCTGAAACCCTAGAAAGCTGCTGCCATTCACTGTAGACAATACTGAATTAATTGACCAGTTGTCTAACTCAGGATAAGAAAAGAGGTCAACAACAACAAAAGATAACCTATTGCCAAGTACTGTATCCCCCTGCAGCAGCAGACAAAGACCAGGTACACCTTCCAAGGTTACCTTCTGAACCCTATTCTGGCCTTCGTAGACACAATGCTGAACAATTCTGGAAAACTGGGGTCTTTCCTAGCTTGCCATGGCTCAAACTGTTCCTTCTTATCCACTTTTCTTATCTGTAAAATGGGAATCTCAGCCATGCTGCAATTCTACCCGCAATTCCAAATGTATTCAACTCTGAATCCATGTGCACTGCCAGACATTTACAAAAAGGATGTGTTTTAATTCCATCAGTGCATAATTCAAAATAAAAGGCTCTCTGGAAGAGGAAGCATGAAGATTTGGGAAATTTTTTATAATTCCTATACTCCAGTGGGCTGGGTTCCGAGTGAGCTCTTTAGAATACAAAAGAAACTCATTTTTTAGATTTCAGCTGCTATGTCTAAAGAGCAGTGAAGCAGTGTTAAAAACTGAGCTAAATGGCACCTTCAACCTAGATTATGGGTGCAACAACGGAATGTCCGGGCACGCTTTTTTATAACCAGAATACAAAAGTGAAAATGAATGAACTGCAGCTAAAATATTATGTTCCATTTTTCACATGGTCTAGTCATTCCCCTGCCCACCCCCTCCTAATATTCTTAAGAGGGTCTCTTCTCCAGTCTTCAGAGAGTAGCTGGAAGTGGGAAGGCAGAAAAAGGTCCTTCTTTCCTTCCACTCTGCAGTTTTAATCTGAAATCGTAGGCGCAGTTCAGCGCCCAGAGCTCAGAAACTGCTCATGCTAATCTAATTCCCTGTCACAAAATGTGCCTAGAGCAATGGGAGTTGTGAACACCGTAGTGAAGTACTCCCTGCACCACCAAACACTGGGACTAATGAATTCAACCTTGGTTCTGTTGGAGCATGTGCTTGGAAATGGGATATTTTTAAAAGCTGTAACATTATGAGCACAAGCTGTTAACCTCATTTGTCTTCAATCAGCAGCTCAAAACAGAATATTGATTGCAACAATATATGAGAGGTAAATATGGCAAATCCTGACCAAATGCTAAACCACATGAAACACTTAAGGCCAAGGGAAACAAGCATTTTCGTTGAAGCTCTAATGCACCGCACAGCCCCAAACTACTAGTCTCTCTCTGTCTCTGAGGCTGCCTAGAAGGGCACCAATGGCAAAAGGGGGGGCAGCCAAGAGAAGAGAGTGTGTCGTTGAGGGTGGATGGTGGGCAGCACGTGGGGCCAGTCTCTCTTTGTGTGCGCACACCTGTTAGTTGCCCTCCCCATCCCCTTCCTCTCCCTTCAGCCCAACTGCCGTTTCTCCTCACACCACCTTCATCCTCAATAAACCTATTTTCGCGTGGCATCATATACACCACAAAGCTCAACAATTTGGGGTCTGTTTTACTTTTTGAAATATGGCAAGCCTAGGTTAAGTCCAGTCAAAGGCAACTATGGGTAGTGGTCTAAACCACTGAGCCTCTTGGGCTTGCCAATCAGAAGGTTGACGGTTCGAATCCCCGTGACGAGGTGAGCCCCTGTTGCTCTGTCCCAGCTCCTGCCAACCTAGCAGTTTGAAAACACACCAGTGCAAGTAGATAAATAGGTACCGCTATGGCAGGAAGGTAAACGGCGTTTCTGTGCACTCTGGCACTCGTCACGGTGTCCTATTGCGCCAGAAGCGGTTTAGTCAGGCTGGCCACATGACCCAGAAAGCTGTCTGTGAACAAATGTCGGCTCCCTCAGCCTGAAGCTAAATGAGCGCTGCTCCCCATAGTCACCTTTGACTGGACTTAACCGTCTAGGGGTCCTTTACCTTTTTACCTATATACAAAGGTGTGAGCTTGCTTTATGCTGGGTAATCTCATTTATATTAGGTCTAATTTAAGACAAACAAACTTTCACCTCATCAACACAAATAAGCCTTTCTCTTTTCTGGTCTTCCATAGTTGTCAAACCTGAAAATCCTTGTTCACAACAATATATTGTGGAGAACTGCAGAAGAGTAACCTCTTGAAGTGAAGCGTGGGTACTGCGTGTGTGTGTGTGTGTGTGTGTGTGTGTGTGTGTGTGTGTATATATATATATATATAATTTTGACACTGCGCTATACTATATTACAATGAAATGTTTAAATATTTCTTTGATTGCCCTTGAATCTTCCTGCCATCCTCTCCTGTATGCCACACCAGTGTGGTTGGGCTTTCACACCCTTTAAGAACCACTGATCTAACATATTTGATGTGTGCATGGTAATCATTTACAGCCTAATCTAACCACATTTTCCGCCTCATGCTATAATCTCTCTCAGATCCTGAAATAAATTTTACAGCACTTTTCAGCAGAGTAGTTCACAACTCTGGCTCATTTTCAGATGAAGCCTAAACTATAAGGAAGTCACACTCTGTTTTAGTAGGGCCAGCTCAGCATGCTTTGCAGCTAGATGAGAATTTATCCAAATCTGACATTTTAGCTCCTGTACTTGTTAGGTTCTCACCTTGAGTCATTCTGATAGGTAGCAAACAATTCCACAAGTTTAGACTGCCTGCCAGTGTGAGGTTTCTTAACATGGCTTGAAATATAGATTTAGGTGCTCTTGAATTAGCCAGCCTTCTCTGAACAAGTCTGCATAAATTGGCATGATTTATTCTGATAAAAGTAATGGTATTCAAAATGTGAAGCAAACAAGGATTGTGGGCAAGAGAAAGGGTAGGCCTGATGCACTGTGTTTTCACAAACACACAATATCTTCCTTTTAAGCAATGGAGCAAAGGCTGCTTTTTTAAAAAGAGAGACCCAAGTTTACTTAGAAGTGATGTGGAAGCGGGGATGGGGGGTGTACGTACACTAATCTTCAACTGGAGGATCACGGTCTGATCAAAGGTAGGTCACAACAGGAGCACTACCATCATGCAAATATATGATGAAATATTTTTTTAAAGGGTCCCCAAATGAATGCTGGGGTTAAAAGTGGGTCTGAAAAGATTGAAGATACCTGTCTTATTACATTCTTCTTTTGCTCCCTCCACACCCCCGTGGTGAACTCAAGGGTTTCAGGCACAAACCAGACTCACATATGCTTAGCTTTAGCAAGGTAGCCACAGATACTCAAGTAGTCAGATCAGGTCAAAATAATTCAAGAGTGCATCCAGCTTTAATGGAGTGCCCTCCACTAAAGAAAGGTGCTAAAGTCAGTCTGGCCAGATTTGAGAAGATTGAGGGAATCAGGTTTCTTATGCAGGCATACGAGCATATCACAGCACAGGTAATTAGTTGTTAGGGCAGTGCTTTGACAAGTACTCAAATGTTCTGGGTCAAGTTCTTAATTGACAATCACACCAGGGGACGTAAACTGAACCCAGCTCTCTTCTGGGGTTTCTCAGGATAGTTAGAACAGCATTCTTCACACTGCTCCTGGCAAATACAGCACACTCAAAAGGTTATCCAGCCAGCTAATAGAAAACAAATATTAACAGGCATTAAAGACATCCTTCTCCACCTCCACTTAGGCATATTTCCCCAGTTGACACATGCCAGAGCCCAACGACCTTTCTAAATCAGTGGCAAACTACATAGAACTTGAAAAAGAAAGACATAATATACTTCTTACCAGAAAGATCAATGACAAAGTGGGGACCGAAAACAAAGAATTGCATGGAGTTCGTATTAAATTACTTGGACAAGCAGGAAAGCTGTCTTTGATAGCAGAGAGGAGAAATACTGAAATAACAGACTCCAGTGGTTTTAGATGTGTGTCATAGTGAAGCTGCAATGGAGAAGAGCAGTGCCCTCTCATTACACACAGTACACAAAATACACCCAATATGTTTCCTCAGTTCAGTCTGCTTGTTCCACTATTTCTCCCTATGTAGATTCTTAAGCTACATTTGAGGAAGTGGGTGGAAGATACACATCCGTCACTTCAATAGTCAGACATGTTCAGTGAGAAAAAGCCTGAAGAAAAACACTGAGCACCTGTCTGAGATGAAAACTTCAAATCTGGTTTTGCACACACATTTTAATCAGCGGCCCATCAATTTTGACTGGCCTTGGTAGTTGGCCACATTTCTGCTTGCTCTGATCCTGCACCCCCTGAAGTGGCTTGCATGGCAGCTGCTCAAGGTCCATTGCAAGTTGTGGGGAAGGAAGGAGGGGGTTCTTCCTTCTTCCACCATGCTGAACTGCAAAAAAGTGACAGTTCATGCCTGTTGTGCTGAGTATAGACATTCCAGCAATCAGAGAAAAGTCTCGCGGCTCTCAAAGTATCTGCAAGGCTTAGGAAACTGCCAGGGAGATTCTCCATCCTTCTCGGTTCAGTAGTAGTATAGGAATTCTCCTTGATATTGCCCTCACCAGGTTACCTTGACTACAGTGTTAGAAACTGGGATAGAAAAGCTAGGAGCCAACTGGCTCATGGGACTTGGGTTGTGGGTGCCAAAACAGAATGTTTAGTTGCCATTGGGGGGGCAGTAACACTTTCTTTTTATTTATTTTGATAAGCATGAACTACTACACAATTCACATAATTGACACATTGTTAATATCACATTTTTAACAGAAATTGTTAATACATGTTTAATTTGGTGTTTACAATAAAAATATTGGTATCATACTTCAGTTTTCAAAACACTCTACTCTTTATTGTTTAACATACTGTCTATCCTTAACATATGCTTCAGGGCTTCAAAGCACATACATTTCAGTCAGCCAGGTGCAAAAAAATGGCACCCAGACCTTTTGAGGTGCTCGCAAATGGAGAATCTTTAGGCACGAAATGCTCCTGGCGCCCTGCTAATTTCAAACCCTGCTCATCTAATAGGTGAATGAGTTTGTGGACCTTCGATGTTAACAATCGTTACAGGGGAAAGTGGCATGAGAAGCAGGAAATAACTTGAATATGATATAACTTATGGGAAGAAGTGATTGTTCTCCTGTACATGAGCCTGTTCAATAACTTATCCCACACCCAAGACCTTTTCGTCCCCTGCATTCAACAGAAACTTTTGAGTGGCACATGCTTATAAAGGTGAGACATAAAATTTCATTATAAATAAATAGCTCTAATTAAAACTTTTAGAGCTAGGGTACCACAGGTGCTAACCATACAATGAACTATACACAAAGAAGTCATCAATTCTAGTCTCATCTCTGCTATGAACCTTATGGGTGTCTTTAGGCAACCTATTAACTTTTTATCCCTGCTTCCTCTACCACTGCAATGTGAGGATAAGAATATTGACCTATATATAAGGATTATTGCGATAACATGGTGTAATGGGGCACAGGTTAAAAATTCCTCTCTGTCATGAAATTCAGTGGGGGACTCGGAGAGTCTTTATCTCACATCCTAACCTGAGAGGGCTGTTGTAAACTGGGATAATCCTTTTGTACACCACCCTAGGCTTCTGCAATAATGTAAGCACTCTAAATACCCTGCTCAGTGCTCTGCAAATGCTATTGTTGCCATCAACAATATCAGGATTTCACAATTCCGCTTGCCATGGCAAGCCCTCTGATGAGCCCCCAAGCTTCCTCCCAACCTTGGAAATGGAGAAAGGGACTGGAAACGTTCCCACAGTTGTGCTCACCTTCTAGTGATAATTCTCCCTCCATCTCGCTCCCCAAAGTTGATAGTATACCTGGCACTTGGGTTTTGGTACTGCACCTTCAAAGGCATACCACCCTCTTCATGGTGAATTCAGATGCACCGTGTGAGGTCAGCGACAAGTCCATATTCCTAATGTGAGAGCCCCGAAGACCAAAAACTTTTGGTTGGCTACCAAGACCAGTCAAAGTTTGTGGACCCCCAATTGTCACCACCATCATCAAAACACTACCTGTGCCAGCAAATGCTTTAACCATACATGCTTCTTTCCTATGGAAGATGGTTCTAACCAGTGGCCTTTATAGCAGCAAAAAACTCTTTGGTCAATGATCAAAACAGCACTCTGCAGCAGAATTATACTAAAGACACAGCATGCTCCTCCTCTCACTTACAACTTGGAGAAAAGAATTCAATAGATCAAGCCAGTATGACTCAAATTGCTCAAAGAGAACAGGAAATAAAGCGGCAATGAACAATTCGAGCTTTGAGTCTCATGCATAGAAGTGCAATGATTAAGCCATCCAATTTATATAAGAGTGGGGTGTGTTTGGTGGAGGAATGTCCGTGCATACATGGACTTTTCTCTTGGATTGAATGCTTAAATAAGAGGGAGAATTATATGACTGTAAACATTCAAGGCACCCAGTAATCCAAAGGCACCTAAACATTTGAGGCCAGGTCTGAAGAAGTCATTGAAAAATGTGTCATCCATTTTTCAAATGACACACAATAGCATCATTTGCTGCAGAGCCTCTCCAACTCTTATTACTACATCCATGCCTCTACTAGCTTATATGAAGGGTTGGTTACTTGCTTGCATTTTTTAAATTCTTTTGAAGCAAATTCCTCTCATCCGCTTAGCAGATTGGGATGGCCTGGCCTCAACTGTTCATGTTCTGGTGACCTCCCACCTGGAGGACCACTACAATTTGTTTTACTATCTTCGCAGTCCAGAGACTACAGCTAGTGAGGAATGTGGCTGCTATACTGTTAAGTGGGGTAGACCTGTGGGACCACTGATCCTTAGAGCACTGCACTGTCCATCAGTGAACGATTGGGCGCAATTCAACATATTAGTACTAGCAAACAAAGCCCTAAATGGCTCAGGACCCAAGTATCAAAAAGAGTGTATTTTCCAGTATCAACCACCTTGGGCCTTATGGCCACCAGAGGAGGCCACATTGGTGGTGACCCATGTAATGGCGTTCTTGGAGGTGGTTCCACATTTTTTGAGGTTTTAACTGTATAGCTTTAGTACTGACATGTTTGCTGCCCTGGGCAGAAGATACTTTTAATGAACAAATGAGCATTTCAATTAACCCATGCCCAACTGATAGTACAACCATGTGGTGGCCAAGGTAGAACACACCACAGCAATGTAAATTTATAGACCTCACAAACTCAACATTTACTATTCTATGTGCAAGTATCTCTAGAGACACACAAAGGCAGCAAGGAAAGCTTAGTTCAGGCATAGGCAAACTCGGCCCTCCAGATGTTTTGGGACTACAACTCCCATCATCCCTGACCACTGATCCTGTTAGCTAGGGATGATGGGAGTTGTAGTCCCAAAACATCTGGAGGGCTGAGTTTGCCTATGCTTTGCTTAGTTAGTCAAACCACCTACATGCCAACTTCAGCGGCAAGATGCTTGAAAGCTCTGTTCTTGAGTATATGAGGCAATGTACATTTACCTAGGACAGCTTCCAGTCAGATGCTAAATTGAAAACCATGAAAATCAAAACATGGATTTTCAGTCTGCAACATATAAAACTTCCCAAGCCCTCAACAGTCTTGTCTCCAAACAAGCCAATACAACTGCAAGATTAGAGGTCTTAAGACTGCAGTTTAGATAGTGAGTCCATTTCCCACATGACAGCCCTTTATTTCATTTTATTTCATTTCCAGAAGGGTTTCTGCAGCTCTGCAGATGCATGAACTTATATTCCTCTTTAAGGCCCTGGTTTGCATGAAGCACTTTTCCTTGATGACAACCAGCTACCTATTACAGCTGACAGGGAATAATATCAGAATCCTAAGTTGCAAAGTTCACCAGTGTCCAATATGCTTTGTTAGCACACTATTAGGCCCTGAAGCCAGTCCTTTGAAACACAACTTAACTGCAGGTACCCAGGTACCTTCCAACAACAGCATCTTATTGGAATGCTTTTAAATTCCTTTAACATACTTGGAAAGACATCCATCAGCAAAGCATCCACTCAGAATTGTTACTAATACTGATGGCTAAGATGAGATAACATGCAGCCTTAGGCAAATCTATCTCTAGGCCTAAGCACCGCACCCTCCAAATCTTTACAATGAGGATACCACTTTCTTTAAAAAAAGAATTGAGACAAAATGTTCTGAACACCTGAAATGCACAATATATGCTAAGAATTATTATACTTCCAACGTACACATATGACAGTATAGAACATGTGACACATATAGCAGTGTATCACACATAACAAGATATCACACATGATCACACTATCAGAAACAACCCAATATACTAAATTTAAAACTTACCATTGTGGCTGGGGAGGCGTCTGGGATGATTTGGGCTCTTGAGAGCTTGGCTTCTTCCCCTCCCCTAGCTCATGTCATGGTCCAAGAGGTAGCTTCCTAGGAGGACCATCTTCCTCCATTAGGGTAAAAAAATTTAAAAATGGGAGAGTGGGAAGAAATCACCCACCCTACCCTAGCTTTTCGCTCCCTGCCTTTGGCTTCAGGAACCCATCGGAGAGCAGTAGCTAGCAGAAATATTTTTTTAAAAAAAAACACCCCTAACTTCCCCGTTTTCTAAAAAGAAGGTCTTCAGAGCAGGGTATTTATGCAATGGGTTTAAAAACGAGAGATCTCCCAGACAGACACTCCAGTGCAAGCAGAGGCCTACACGCCGTGTATTTTCTGGGTGGAAATGAAAAGGAGGATCCTTTCAGAGGGGGGAAGGTCTGAGGGCCTGTGCTTGGCGCTGCCTATCTCTTGTTGGGGGGGGGCACTGGCTGTCTCTTGGGAAGGAAGTGGGGCCTTCCTGCCTGGTGGGGCCTGCCTGTCCCTAGGAACCCAAAGTCGCCCCCTTTCCTAGCCCCCTCCTCCCTTCAGCTCACACAGCCCCTGTGCAAGTCACCGCCGAGCCTTCCTCAGAGCGCTCGCCCTCCTTTATCTCCGGGTGGGTTTTCCTCCTCCTCCCTCCTCCTCCTCCTTCCTCTCAGTCTCCGGGGTTGGGGGAGGGGAACCACCGCCACCAACCAACGCTGCTGCTGCTGCTGCTGACGCCCCGCCCACGGCCCCGCCCACCTCGCGCACGGCCCCGCGACCACAAACTCTCTCTCTTCCCACCCAGCCCGCGCCGACCTCGGCCTTCCTTCTGTGACGTAACAGGAAGCGACCCGCGAGGGCGGATCCCGACAGGCGCGCGCGGCGGAGCGGGCCCGCGCCACCGACCAATCCCGGAAGGGCAGGGTGGTGACGCCACGGCGCGCGCGCTCGGCAAAACCCCAAGCTGCCAAGGCGCCGCATACGCGCGTGCGCGTGAGCGAGGAGGTAGAGGCGAAAGTGGTTTGTCGCCTCCTCCTACTAAAAAATTAACCCTTTTAACCTGCTGCTTTGAGGGTCTTCCTTAGAAACAATAAAGGCGGAGAAAGAGCTTCTTCCCACCAACCACCAGTCTGCCTTCCCTCGCTTCTTACTGCCCACCCTGAACCCGAATGAGATGCCTCTGCTCTGACAGATTTAGTTTTCTTAAGTGTTTGCGTGTGGAGAAATAAACAGGTCTGTGGCGGTAGCCAGTGCTAGTCCTACTCAGAGTAGGCAACTGAACTCCTTGCTAATGAACTTCCCCCAAAGAATTAGCCAATCATGTGCAGCCCATTGTGTAAATAATGTATATAAAGCAGATACAACTAGAGCCAGGGCTTTCTCGGCTGCGGCTCCAATCTGGTGGAACGCTCTGCCACAAGAGACTAGGGCCCTGCGGGACCTGACATCTTTCCGCAAGGCCTGCAAGACAGAGTTGTTCCACCAGGCCTTTGGTCAGGGCCCCAGCCTGACTCCCTCCTCTGGCAACCTGCACAGAACTTTGCTTAACGGTTGCCATCAATTTGATTTTAATTAATTTTTATAATGAAATGTTTTAGAATGTTGGATTATTTGATTGTTTGATTATTTGATTGTTGTTAGCCGCCCTGAGCCCGGCTTTGGCTGGGGAGGGCGGGATATAAATAAAATTTATTATTATTATTATTATTATACTTTGAGGGGACATTCATTCATTCCTCCTCACCACTATGAGCTGAATAAAGAGCATGAAATCACTTTGCGACTCTGAGTATATTTCAGCTAGTTTACCCTTCACTGAGCTACAATTCCCAGTACTCTTAACAAACTACAGATCCCAATATTCTTTGGGAGAAGCCATATACTTTAAAAGGCATGGTGTGTATGCAAGCCAAAGGTCTTTATAATCATATCTATTTTGACCCTGAGATAGTATGTGACCTTTACTGCCCTGGGAGCTGACATGATTAAATGTCCGTCCTTAACAAAAAAAACAACACCACCAAAACAAATACATGTTAGATTTTTACTTTTTTACTACTGACTTCACCTTTACTGTGTCGGGTATAGAGAGAGAAAAATCCCCGCTTTCCCCTGTAGTACTAAAACTCAGAGAAATCCAAGAAGCTGAACTCTGGAAGACTCAGGGCAGACGAAATGATGTCTTCTTGCACGCAGTGCATAGTTAAACTATGGAATTTGCTCCCACACAGTGTAGTGCTGGCCACCAACGTGGGTGCCTTTAAAAGACTATTCTCTAAATTCACGGAGGATAAGGTTATCCGTAGCTACAAACCACAATGCCTCTGCTTTGCCCCCACTGGCAGAGACTGTATGCCTCTGAATATCAATTGCTGGGAATCACAGATGGGCAGAGTGCTGTTGCACCCAGGTCCTGTCTGGGGGCTTCCTATGGTTGTCTGGTCGGCCACTGCGAGGACAGGATGCTGAGCTTCCTGGGTCTTTAGCCTCATGCACTGTAGAGCTCCTCTTCTTATGCAAACAGTACCCTCTGCTGGAAGAAAAATGCCATATCACCGTCATCGGTGCCTCCGTACCGCTGTCATCCGTGCCTTAGTTTGGTCTTTATTGGATGTGTGGGCAACCACTAGTAGGTTTCAGCCTTACCTTTGCAGAATATAAAGAGAAATGGCCTTAAAATGGGCATTTCCCTGCAGTATCGAATGCATCATTGCCCCATCATTGTTCTTAAGCATGTATGGCAGAATTTCACATACACAGCAGACATTTGTGCAGCCAGCCAGTGCCTTCAAGCAGGGCATTCCAGCCTATTCCCATTATTCCAGTTTTCTTTCCCATTCTACATTCCATGGCTAGTGAGCATGTTCAGTTCTCACTGGGCTGTTGGATTCCCCCCTCCCAAAAAATTTTTAAGGTTGCATTGCTGCAAATATTGAGGTTCCCCTGAGAATGCTTATTTAATAAATTTACAGCGAAATTCAACTAACTAGTGCCACTAGTAGAAGCCTGTGCAAGGATCTCTGCTAGTGCAACAGGACTCCTCCCCTCCTCTTGTGCCCCCAAAATGACTTGGGAGGGGTCAGGAGAAACCCCAAAACCGCACATGGAGGGGAGGTTCTGTCAGGCAAGCAAAAATGCTTGCTCTGGTGGAATATTTGTAACAGTGCAACATTGAATTTATCCCTTGTTATGCTAGACATTCATTATTTAATAAATGTATGTACCACTTTTCAAGAAAATGTGGTTTGTAAGGCACACACAAAATGTACAATAAAATACAAATTATAACCATAAAACACCACAAAAACCTCAAAATATTTCAAATAATATATTACTAAAAGTTATGGGGAACATTCACACTGATATCCCCTTCTTGTTTCTTAGTTGCTTAATTTTGATGACAGCCCTGTGGCCACTCAACACCTGAATTCTCCATTAGGAGGAAGATTTCAGGGCAGTGAGCAAACCCAATAATAAAATGACATAAAAATTCTGAACTGAAATTATAACAAGCCTGGGTAAAACAATTTTTTTGGCAGGCACTGAAAATACTATAGCAGAGTCTGCAAGAAAACCGCTTTAGGCTCATCTTCTAAAACCTGACAGTGCTGAGCTGTGCAGGCAGTCTTATGTTAATCTTCACACAAAAATGACATCATCAATGCCCATTCAACGAACAGCCTGCATGTGAGTGACTGATCAGAATAAAGTGGGCTTATTTTTCATGTTATTTGAATGGAATAAATCATGCATGCAAATTGTACACCAAGTCATAGCTAACAAATGCAACTGGAAAAACAACAACAAAACAAGTTGTAAAAACAGAGGGGATGCCTAAGACTCTTCTTGCTAGGGGTATGTTTTTGGGGTAGGGCTGGTAATGCTTGTAGCAGGGCTGGGGTATTGATCAGGGGGGTAGACCCCTGAAGTTCATGGAGATGACTAACTTAGGTACATTGATTTTAATAGGTCTACTCTGAGCAGGACTTATTTGAATACAACCCAACACCTCCAGGGATGATGAGAGAATCAGCCACTCCAGTGGGAAGACACCCATTTCTGTTCCAGACACTTTTTCTTTTCTTCTAGATGTAGCAGCCGTTTTGTGATGTGCCATATCCCCATGACAGCCATTTTGTTAGGCCGCATGCCCCACAACTGCCACTGTATGGCTGATGCACGCACAGCATTTTCTCAACATTCCAAATGTGACCACTGGCCCCCAAAGGTTGGCTACCCCCATTCTAAATTACGTAAAGGCTTTATTTAAGTTTAAAAGCAATGCATTAAAACGGTTAGAGCAACCAGTGAGTGTGCATGCTTGCTTAGGGAATACAAGAATTTTAGAAAAGGAAACTTGATTGAACTCAACAGGCTGTATTCTGGGTTAATCCTACAGTGGTACCTCGGGTTAAGTACTTAATTCGTTCCGGAGGGCCGTTCTTAACCTGAAACTGTTCTTAACCTGAAGCACCACTTTAGCTAATGGGGCCTCCTGCTGCAGCTGCGCCGCCAGAGCACGATTTCTGTTCTCATACTGAAGCAAAGTTCTTAACCCGAGGTACTATTTCTGGGTTAGCGGAGTCTGTAACCTGAAGCTTATGTAACCCGAGGTACCACTGTATTTCGAGTTTGCCCATTGGAATGGATGGACATTACTATCTTAGGTTCACTGATCTCAATGGGTCTACTCTGAGTTGAACTTGGTTTGATGCAGGCCATTGATAAAATCCCTCCCCCCCCCTTGATGATTTAAATAAATGATTTGCATTGCCTTAATTTAAATTCATCCACCTTAACCCATAGCTCTTCACTGTATGCACTGCTGCATAGTTCACCCATAGGGGCTTCCTATGCCAATGATGCCCGCATCTAGGATGGAAAAACATCCAATGTCTCTTCTGCAGGTCCCATGAAGAGTTAACTTTTTCTAATCCCCTAAGAAGCTAGAATTATAAATCTATAAAGTCTTTCCAAATCTGTTTCTGAGCTCTCCAGCAGCTCAAATTTAGTTAAATGGATTAATATGCAAATGGGGTATAAAACTTGCAGGAGTGCGAAGCTGTCTTTAGCTTTGATCTGATCAGCTTTTGGGAAAGGGACAGGATCCTCTCTGTGTCTCTGGGCAGAATAGTGTTGATACTGACATCTGTTTGCCCCCCCCCCACTCCAATTTCCCTGGCCGCAGGCTTATCTGGTGGTAGAGACCTGTTCTGGGAAGCCACCCATCATGTTAGAGTTCCCACAATGGCCCCTGAGAGCCCACTAAGAGCAGGCACTCTGGGCCAATGTAAGATATTAGCCACAATGGCTCGGTTCCACCTCCGCAGTCAGAGACAATAAGTGGGGACAGTGCTGTTGCGCTTATGGCTGCTTGCAGGTTTCCCGTGGGAATGGAATACGATGCCCTCTTACACCCCTAACATATGTATGCAGTTAGTTGCTTCGCAATATTCCTAATGATATGTGTGTACTACAGTAGATTTACCGTAGGTTTTCTTGTATCTCTTTACATGATGAATGCACACAATTTATCAACGAATCGGTCATAACGCTTAACCCCCTCCCCCACTTCTATCCAAATCTCATAAAGAAAACTCAAGCGGTGCCATTTGATTCAATCTTGAGTGCATCAAGAAGCTAAGAATAGGGTTAACAAAGAGCAGCCGGGGGGATCAAAGTAGATAATTTCTGACTTGCCAATTAAAGATCTTATTGAATTGAAGAGGGATTATACACATACACATACACATTGAATTATAAGAAGTCCCGTCAT